TCCATAACAAATACAAGCTACATGTGGTGGTCTTAAAAATTGACAACGCCCAACTTTATAACCAAGTTCTTGACATCTTCTATTACACCATCTTTGAATACATTTTGCTGGTGGCTGAGGGTGTGGTGGCGTAGGATAAGTCCAAGGCTCTGGGTCATTGGGATTTTTCAAAAGAAATTAATTTCATTTAATTGTTTTATATATTGTATATGAATTATAATTTTCAAAATGATGATTTACTTGTCGTCGTTGTCGTTGTTGTTGTTGTTGTTTTTTTTTCATAACGACCTGTAGTTTTACATTTTATTGATCCTAGCCAAAAACAAAATGAGAATGATGATAGTCATAATGAAATGTTTTTTGCAGAAATCCATTCATAAATTACTAACCATTGAATATTAGAAAAATGAAAAAAATTATAATAACATGAATTGATTTTTGATCCATAATTATAAAATGATGAGATCAATGTCGATTTATTGATTGAATGTCAGCATTGCTTGATATTTATATACCCTACGGAAAATAATCAATCGATGCCATTTATCCATTTATGGTTCATTAATATTATATTCGATCAATCATTATTGATTGATATTTTTGTGCATAAATTTTTTCCATCTAGATATGAAAAAGTCAAATGTTTTTTCATTCCATTCCATTCATGATGATTATCTCATTATCGCATATTTTTTTTGGCACAATGATCGAGTTTTAATTTTCATTTTGATTAGAGAAAAAAAATCTGAATAATAATAATCTTGACCGATTACCCAAAACATTTTTTTTTCTTGTCTGTTTCACATACAAATATATTATTTCATATTTTGTATCCCAAAAATAATTTTTTTTTTGCTATGAAATATGATTAAGATATTATTTATGTCCAATGATTCATCTGGATATATTTATAAAGGAAAAAAATCAAACATCTGGATCTACTTTTTTAGATTTCAATCAATCAGTAAATAATAATGATGTTTATCTCGAAACATTTGATTGAATTTACTAATTAATCTATCATGAAACATCATGAGGTTATCATATTCGAATGTTGTTGTTTTTTTCTGTTTGTTGATCATATCATATATGTGATATGGTAGCCGGAACAAAAGATAATTCATCAATTGTTTTGTTTGTTGTTGTTGTTATTTATTCTACTTATGTATCATGTTTGATCTACTGTGTAAATGCTTTTTTGTTGTTTTGTTGTTGTTGTTGTTGTTGTCATCTGTTAGTTGATCTCTTAGATTGAGGAAGAAAGTATTATTCCTTAATAATTATTATATTGTTATTAAGCCCTAAAGAACATCGACACATACTACATACAACAGCATTTTTTGGTTCCTGGATCATTTGATAATGATGATTATGATGTCATTTCAATGAAATGAAAAACTCAAAATTCATGTGGTGTCTAATCATCAACACACACTCACGCATATGTTTGTAACATACGTCAATCATCAATGATTATGATTGCCTTGAAGAAAACAACAACATTACATGTGGCGAAGTGTGTTTCTCATTAATAGATTGGGATTATCTTAATTGTAATTCAGTTAACATATTTTTTTTCATATCATAAAGATAAAGATTCATTCAACATTCACTATATAAGAAAACCTTTATCATCAATCCTTTTTTTTGCCATTTTATCATCATTTTATAATTTACTTCTCATCATCATCATCATCGAATGATTTATTCATTTCAATTAGCTGATCACATTAGATTTCTGGTCACATAGATGAAATTCAATATGTACAATTTTTAGATGAAAATAATGATTAAACAAAATGAAAATGGTAAACATCAATCAAAAGATAAAAGAAGTATAACAAAAATGAATTGAAATTGAATTTTTTTTTTAATTTCTAGTCAAGTGATAAAGCCAAGTTATAATTTTTTCATCATTATTATTATTATTCAGGCCACTCATGTGAATAATATTATCGTAGGTGATAAATTGTATTTAGATTTTCAACAAAAAAGAATTAGATCAGTTTTATTGTGTTGTTTTGTATCGATTTTACTTGATTTTACTGTTTGTTCCATGCACTTGTCAATTGTTCATAAATGTAAAATGAAAATTTAATTAGATTTAAAATTTATTCAAAATATGAATAAGAAAACCATGAATTAGTTTGCCTGATGAGGCGCTTTGTCAATCATTTGTCAATGATTGTTATTCATCGATTGAGATTGTGATCGATACGATTCAATACCATTGGTCATTTGGCCAATTCTCCAACAACAATTGATGTTAAAATTCGATTAATCAAAAAAAAAAAATGACAAACGATCCTCCTCTCTCCCGATTTCACATGTGATCAAAGATTGAATGAAAATGAAAAAAAGGTCAATTGGTCAATATTTTTTTTCAAGTTAAATGTTATGGTAATTTTTTTATCATATTTTTTTTGTCTCGAACCATTGTCATCGAGAATGATTTTTTTTTTTTTTGTGTGTGTGCGTGTGTGTTGTCCATATTACCACATTGTATTGTCTCTGTTTTTTTTTTTCAATCGAAACGGATTTCCATTTGCATCACAATTCTATTCATTATCATTCAAAAAAATGTGATTATAAAAAACTCAATATTGCTGATTACTTTTCCATCACATCTATTCATTCATACAATCAATCAATCATTCGATCGATCGATCGATCCATTCATCCATCCATCCATCCATCGTATGCTTCTGTGTTCTCAATCATCAATTGTCAATTGTATATATTGATTCTGTGTGTGTGTTTGATTATTATAACACAATAAAAACTATTTGATCCTTTCAAAATTTTGGATAGAAAAAACTTTTGATTTTTTTTTCTCTTAAACATTCTGTCATACTGACATTATTTCATTTTTTTCCTCTTCTCCATATGGCCATATTTTGTAATCCGTTCAAAAAAAAAAAATTTTTTTGTTTCGTGACTTATGCACCACCATCATTTTATTATTGATTGGAATTTTTTTTTTCATTTTCATGTTTCATTCCCCATTATCACCAACAAGCCATGTATGTGAACGACGATAATCTTTTGAATATTTAGCCATTTAAAATATTTTTTGCCTAAATAGATCAACATCACGAATCCAATTTTCTAAAAAAAAAAAAAAATAAATAAAGTCGTTTTTATCAGTTCAATTATCAAATGTCAAAAAAAAAAAATTATTTGTTATTATTTATCATCAATTCAAAAGGTTATTTAAATTTTCAAACATAATTTTTTCCCCAGTTACAGATAAATACCAATATATAAATAAATGATGATGATCAGAATATTTGGCAAAAAAAAAAACATCAATTCAATCATCATTTGAAAAATTCAACTTTTCAACCAATAATCAATGAAACAATAGAAATTTTTTTTTTCTTTTGCAATTACCAGCATTTTTTGTTTTCCGTTTAATTTGTTCCATGTACACAATGTGGCCATAAATTATAAGAGAATCTATTACGAAAACTGAAGATGAAATGAAAATTGCCCACGTATAAAGATCATAATCATAATGATGATATATGATGATGATGATGATGGTTACCACTTCAATCTATCAATTTGGTGATCCATTTTTGTTGTTTTTTCTCATCTAAATCATTTTTTTTTCTGGGAAAAAATTTTTGTTTTTTCTGCTTTGATTTACTTGAATTCATCAATTATTTTCTCTTACTACTATTTGATTGAGCGTTTATTTCAAATTGTTTAGCTTTACTTTCAACTTTAATTAAATCTATTATATACGAAATGCTAAAAACTAAGGAGGAAAACTATGAAATCCAGGAACGGATGTTTAAACAGTATCACCCAATCACTATAATAGTAATAATAATAGGCCAAATGATAATGGTTGACCAGGTGTACCGAAAAATAAAATAAAATCAAAGTAATGTTTGTTGTTATTGTTTGTGTTTGATCATCATAATCATCATCATAATCATGGACAAAAAAAAAATAAAATAAAATGACCCAATTTATGAACGAGAAATAAATAAATATACAAGAAATTTTGCTTCCGCAGCAATATTCCAGAACAAACAAAAAAACAAATGTTCCAACAACAACAACAACAACACATTCATTATAAGAAAACTATATATGACCTATTGAAATTTCACACAATAATAACCCGGTGCTTTCGATTTCATCATTCAATTATATATATTTTATTTAATTTGAATGAATTGGAAAAAAAACGAAATTAGTATCTTTGTGAAAATTTTTATTTTTCATCTCCCCCCCCAGTGTTTTTGTCATCTGTTTTCTCGACAAAAAAAAAATAAAGATTTATTTGCTGGAAAAAAAATCTCGCTAAAAGGGATTTCGAAAATATAATGTATGATGATTTTATCTTGTAACGACGACAATAACAAAAAAAAACAAGTCGTTCGAAGCCATTGAACGAAAATGAGAAAAAAATCCTTGACTCTTTTTCAAGATTGGTGTTGTGGCAAAAAAAAACAATTTTTGTTACAAGTTTTTAGATTTTATCCAGAAGCAAAAAAAAATGGCAAATAAAAATTATTTTTTATTTAGATCGGGGGCGTGTTTCATTTCTTTTTCTTCTTCTTCTTCTTCTCCGATCAATGTCCCGTTAGCGATGACAATAAATCGTCAACATCATTAAATCCTTTTTACAGGTACAGATTTAAAAACCTACTTGAACGATCACGTTTCGCGTTGTTTACAAATCCATCATTCAAAAAAAAAAACGAAAAAAAATCCTAGTATGGTAAATTTAACTTATGAATTTTCCAATTATCCATTTATCATATGTTTTTATTACAAGAAAATCATTATTATGCTTTGAAAAAAATATCTCATTATTCAATCATATATTGAATTACTGAATATCAAATAACATGAATGATTTTTTCCCGCTCAAATATGGATGAAAATTTTCGAAACACTTTTCAAACTATTCGATTCTCAATATCGATAGTATCGTCTATTACTTTTTTTTGTTTATGTATCCATATGATATGATGATTAAACATTGACTTTCATTGCGCGAAAAGGATATTCGATTTTTTTTGTCGTATATATGAATCTGGATTTAATTCACAATGGTTTGCTCGATTTTCTTCATTTTTAAAATGTAATTTATGACAATGAAATTTTTCAAAATAATAATACTTTTAATTGCTGTCTAATTATCCAGGTAACTTCAACGGAATGTCATTTTTCGTAACTAACGTTGGTGAAAATTTTATAAAAATTTTGTCACCATATTTGAATAGTCATTGTTGTTTAACGACTGGTCATTATCATGCTCGTTCACTATGGACAACTAAACCTTTTCATTATGTTCAAAAACAACAAGAAAATTACTACGATATTCTTGGATTGAAACGAGATTGTTCACAAGATCAAATTCGTACGGCCTATTTGGATTTGTGTAAAAAATTCCATCCAGATAAATCAGCTAAAAACAATGCCAGTGAACAACAAATAATCAAAGATACTGCCCGTTTTCAAAAGATCAACGAAGCTTATAATTGTCTCTGTAAAGCGGACACTCGCAATCAATATGATTTGTCACTTAACTTTGGCCTTGGTGACAATCCATTCATAAAAAGGCCAACAAAAGGATATTATTATCATCATCCCCCTCCAATGAATCATAATGACCCGTATCATCATCGCTATTATAATCATCAATCACCATTCAGTGATCGTGCCACTTACAATTATTACAATCATATTCGCCGTGAAACCATGCGTCAAGAGCATGAAAGATATTCACAATTTCATCGTGAAATGTTTGGTTCTAAATTTACTGGTTTTATGCTGTTGACCTTGGTTATAACGACTATATTACAGGTTTGTTTTTATGTTGAAAAATTTTATTTTTCTTAAAAAATCAGTTGAAATTTTTTAGGCAAAATTACAAGTGATGTAAATTTTTTTTTACTATGGATCATTAATTTCCCTTTCATTCTTTTTCTTTTTTTTCAATCAGGGCATTAATATTTTGTTGAATTATGAAATGTATGAGATCAATATGAAAAAACGATATGATGACATCACCAATATTTATAAAGAGTAATTTATGATTGAATAATTTATTTTCATATTTACATTCATTTCTTATTCAAAGTCCTATGAATGTTCGTGTCCGATATCAAAAAAAAAAAAAAAGAAAGATTTACATCGCTTTAATTTTTGTCTATCTTTAGATTTTCAATTGATTATTTTTGTTTCAACAAATACTTATCAAATTTTATATCTTTAATTTATTTCAAATAGATTAGATTTTATATTTTATGGAAAGAAAGTGTGAAAAATAGACGTTCAATAATAATGGAAGATTTGAATAATACAATATCGGCCACGAACAAACATGGACTACGATCACGAATGTATGAATAGATTTTTTTGTTTTTGTTTTGTAAAATAAGAAAACAAACTAATATAAATTTTTTTTTTTTTTGATTATATCATAGGCATCTACAGCGAAATGTTATCGATCAGAAACAAGATAAAAAAACATGATTAATATCTACTGTTTTGTTATTTGTATGAAAGATTTTTTTTTGTAACAAATTGAAAATGAAAAAACAACAATTGTGATAATATATTTGTGTGTTTCACTTTTTTTTGTAATTTCACTAAAATAATTGAAATAATAATTTATAAAATAAATATATAAAATTAGATTGAATTTTTTTATTTAGTTTTGTTCGTTTTATTATAATCATCACTGTCGTCGTCGTCGTCGTCGTTGTCGTTGTCATCATGTTTTTTATCCTTTGTTTTATTATTGTTGACATCATTTCTTGCATTTTCAATAGCCGATTGGAATCGTATTCCTTGTTCTGATTGAACTGATCGTAGATAAACTGGTATTTTTTCTATATATCCACGACTACCATCCAGATCATCATCATCATATTCTTCAATAATTTCAAAACTATCAATATATTCTCGAAGATTTTGGATCTCTTCTTCAAGCACATTCGAATAGAAATATGCTTTGGCCAGATCTCTTTGTAGCATTTTCTTCTTTTTCTTCAATTTTTCAATCTGTCTTTCATGTGGTGCACGAATGGCTGTTATAATAGCATGTACCACACGTAATACACGCCATACTCGAAGAATAATCAACAGATAAAGATATTTTTTCATTTTATGATCTAAAAATACGATATCCAAACCAAACGAAACCATAACGATCAATGCATCCAATGCGATTTCCAAATGCAAAAAATATTTATATCCTTCGGAGTAAAGACGAACCAAAAGTTCTACATTAAACAAGAACAATATGAAAATCGAAGTCAAATGGAAAACATTTTCAACATTGTGCAACAGGTGGGCAGAATGTTCACAATCGGAAAGATGGCGATCATGAGCACTAATACCATGACCAGGCTCATGTCCATGTCCAGAAACGTTTGATTCATGTCCACCATGTTCGACTATAGGTTGTACAGTTGTTGATTGAAGTAATGGCCCAATCGTTGATGAAACAATTGCATTCGCCACTTGTTTTGCTGCTTCTTGATGTCCGTGTGGACAATCTTCATTCTGAAACAATCTTAATTCGATGATCATTTCACCCAATACCATGACACAATCCAAAATAATCAATACAACCATTAAAATTTGAAAATTATAAGTATTCATTACTGAACGTAATTTAGCCTTAAAACTTGGTTCATCATCCGGAATGTCCGACAATAGCCGATGTGCGCTAGCAATGTGTTTGTTGGTATACAAACCACGTTTCGGTGGTTCCGGACTTTCTTTTTTCTCCATATCAATCGGAACGTCGTCCGGTTGTTTTTTAGTAAGTTTCTCATATTGTTGTTGCTGATGTTTCTTGTGGACCAAAGATGTATAACTTTTCCCGATGGATTGTTTCTGTTGTGGACTTAAATGATTCAAACGATACATACTAGTTGTACGAGAGCCATAACGATTTAATCGCTGTAGACTTTGTTGCGATGGATATGGCGGTCTTCGTATTCGTCTGTTGCTTAAACGACCTGTTGATCCATGTGTAGGGCCATCACCGGCTGTATTCTTGTCGAACCGTACCGAATGTCCGGTCATTATTCCAAATTATTCGCCTAAGACGATAACACATCCACGGGCATATAAACACAAAAGCAAATTAATGTTTTTTTCTATGAACATAATAAAGTCACCAAATCAAAAAGGATTTATCCTTTCTTGATCAAGGAGGTTTTATATTTAGCTAATATTGAGGGGCAAAAATGTTAAAAATTAATGTTCAATAGGTGGAAAAATTGATCAATTAATTAATGCCGATTCATGTTTTTCTTTCAGTAAAAAATTCAATTTTTTTATTTCTCTTTCTTTTTCTGTCTCTATACATTGGTTACAACAACAACGGTGAACGGAATCGATATAATAATAATAATGATTGATATGGTTTTTGAAAAAAATCCCCTTATTGAATGTATTTAACCTTGATAAATTAATTTTGTATACCGTATTATATGATGAAATTGAAAAGATGATCTATTAATATTGATTTTTGATTAAATTCAAATTGTTGATTATATTATTATTATGGCTTATGGATTTCTCCTAAGAAAAGAATCTGTCCAGATAAATTATGGCGAATAAATAAAACAAATGGATGATTGAATTTATAAACGGATGCTGGTTGTAATGACATTTTAACGAAACCAACATAAGTTGAGGCTGCTGCTTCAGTTCCATCTTCATTGATATCGATCAATGCTGTATGGCGAACATCATCGACGGCAATCGGCAAGTCTTCGCTGATTCCTGACAAATCGGCTCGTCCAAATTCAAAAATATTTACTAAACCCATATCTTTCAATGTTTCTTTCAAATTATATCGACCCATAATACGTAATTTAGGAAATATAATTGTTGCTTCACTATCATCTTCATTTAAACGACTAATGGCAGCTTCAACATACCAAGGATTCAATGCTTTACGAATGTACATAAGATTCGATGAAGTTGCATTTCGTGGTAGTATAGCAAACATGCTTACATCTTCACCTTCGTAAGGAAATTCCACCAAATCAGATTCCAATTCCGAAAGATAAGCTGTAGCTACCCTTCCTTGTCGTTTCATGTATAAAACATCAGTATATGTTTCATTATCCAAACCATAGAATAGTCCTGGTGCTGTTTGATTAGCAAGGAATCTATTTCTCCAATTTCCTTTAAAATATATAGCATTAATCAATGCCAATTGAGTTGTTCTTGCTGGTGGTTGACGAAGAAAGTTACGAATCATGCCATTTGTTCGCGCTGAACACCATTGATTAATGGTAGCCATTACCAATTCACTTTCGCTTATGAAATCAGCTTCCAATAATTCACTATCGAAATATCGTAGAATAGTTTCATTGAAATTTTCTCGTATACGATAATTTCTGTTGATCATCAATGCATTAGCCATCTTCAATGATATTGAATTTAATCCATTTTGATCCAGTGAAGCTAACTGTTCTATGGCTCTTAAGGCACGTTTGGCCACTTTTTCTTTATCATCGATATTAGCCATACGAAAACCAAGTACAGAATTGATTTGATCAAATGTTTCACCATTTGAACCTTGTTGAAGCATTGACATGATGATTGTTATGCTGAATGGTGATAGGAAAATATTATCTCGAATTTCTTGTCGTTCATTTTCTTGAGATCTTCTCTGTAGAACATTAAAACCAAAAGTATTGCTAGCCAATACAAATTCTTTTGGAACTACTGGTTCCGGATAGGAAATGACTGATGTAAATAATAGACAAAACGAAATCAAACAAAACCAAGACATTTTTAGAACAACGAAAAACAAACGAATGATGCTCAAGTTACGATGGTGATAATGAAATAAAAATCTAAGAGTAAAAGTTCAAAAATAAATGGTTGGTCATTTCTTTATATCGATGATAGAAGAAGACGAACAAAGTAGTATATTTTCTTTATTTCCCTCCCTTATACATTTAACATTGCTCGAAAAAAACCGGAATAATTTTGGCTAGAATGTAAAATGTATTATATAATAACAAGAAACTAGAATTTATTCATATAAAAGTGGCAAAACATGAATTGACGAATTTAAAATTAATGACTAGTTTTCATTTTTCAAAGTGGATCCTTCACAGGCAAATATAAAGAAAACTTTTTATTCGGTTGTTCACATTATCATAGATCTTTTTTCGGATTTTATCGGATCTTTGAATATCCTCACGGGCACACACATATACACGCGTAAGCACACATACGCGAACATTGACCATTTAATCAAGGTCAAAAAATGAAAGAAAAACCAGTTTAGTGATTTTTGTGGGGACAAGTGGTAAAAACCTATTTACTATCGACATTAATAAAAAAGAAACTACTTGGCTAGACTTTATACGTGATAAAATCTTCTATTAATAATGGATCGGAAATAAACCAAATTTTTATTTAAAAAAAGGTTTTATTTTACAAAATTTTAATTTTAAAAAAACCAATGACAATTTTGATTGACGATTTCAATCACCAATTATATGATGACAATTTTGAGAAAAAATGCACAGAAAAAGAGAGGAGAGAGAGACTTAGATGATAATCTATTAGCGTTTCAATTTTGTCAAATCATTTCATCTTTTTTTGGTAAATCGACCTTGTTCGATAGAATTAAAGATGGATGGATGGATGGAGGGTGAATTTGTTGTCGAAATAGAAAAACGAAAAAACAACGTCGATCAGAAATAAAAGTTCGAAAGAAAAAAAAATCCATTTCGACTCATATTTATCCAATCAATGGAAAATTATTGAAAAATAATAATAAAAATTCATTAAAATTAAAACGCCTGGAATATATATAGTGTTTATATTTGTATGTTTGTGAGTGTGTTAAAGTGGGAGAGATGAAAAAATTTCTAATTTTTTTTTCATTTTGTACTAAACCAATTTTTTCATTGTATTTATGGGGGGAGGGGAGGGTATTGGTGGAAGGTCGTCTTTTTTCAATCGAAAAACCTAATGATAAGATAATTTCTTGATAGTATTCATGATAATAAATATTCAATATTGTTTCGATTGATAGAAAATCTTTTTAAATTTTAAAGACCATTTTAACGGGATAAATTGGTTGTATGCAGGGGCGTGTGTAGGGTGTTTTAGAAGAGTATATATTATAATAATATGCATTTGTAAAACATACATGTATACACACACACACATGCAGCCAAAAATTATACATACAAATATTTATAAAATAACTTTTTGTTTTGTTTTTTGTTGTTGTTGTTGCTGTTGTTGTAAAGAATTCAACTTTTTCATCGATTTGTCTCTGTGTATGTACTTTCTCAATGAATACAGATGGAAAAGTTGATAAATCGGTATTTATTTATAAAGATTTTGTTTTTCGTTGTCATTCGCACGTTTCGCATAATTTTATAATTAAATATTATTAGATTTTTTTTTATTGATCGACTTTTTTCAAATATATTGCGCTATCCAACGGAATCCTTCACCATAGCCTTGTCGCCGTAACACTGAACACATGAACAATTCTAATGGTCTTCCGGGTAGTTCACTTTTGGCTATTTTAGCCTGTGGAACGAATAAAAACGAAATTATTATTAGAGATTGAGAAAAAAAATAATTTTTTGTTTTACTTTTCCAGTGGTTTGACCATTAAGGTTGAAATAACCACGAATTTCATCTTCACTTGCGGCACCCATTTTATCAATTTTGTTGCCCAATATCAAAACAGGACAATTGGATAATTGTTCATCACATAGTAAACTCTATTAATTAATCGATCAAATGATTAAGAGTGATAAGAATTATTTATAAAAAAAATTCTTACATCGAGTTCATATTTCGCTTCTGGAAAACGTTCACGATCGCAAGCATCAATAAGAAATACAATTGCATCTACAGCTGGAAAATAATCTTTCCATACACGACGAGCTTGTGAATGGCCACCTAAATCAAAGGTGGTGAAACGTATATTTCCGATCGATAATTCTTCTGATGCTAAATAAAGGAAAATGTATCAATAAAAATGTCAATAATAGATGAATAAAAATATCAACTACTTACTCGGATGTAACGTTGGTACATGTTGAGCCATACGATCATCTCTGAGCATATGTAACAATGTTGTTTTACCCGCATTGTCCAAACCAAGAAACAAAAGTTTACCACTTTTTTTCCAAAGGCCTAAATGTGAAAATCCGAAAACGGGATGTTTTTTTTTTAAAAAGAAACAAATTTTAATCAATCACTCAATCAATCAATTATATTTCGATGATCAATAAAAAATTAATATACAAAACACATACACCAAACACACACACATTTGATATCAATAACAATATCAACAAGTTGACATGAGTGATTTTAATTATCTCGATTTTAATGTATGTTCATAGTGATGATGATAATTTCTAAACAGTTATTAACAAACTAAAAGTAAGAGAAATCTACGTCATATAATATTTTAAATTTCGACAATTGTTGATTTTTTTCCATAATTTCAATGTACCCTGTATGGCAATTTTTATATTAAAATTTTTTCAATGCAATTTTCGTAGTAATAATGCATGTATGTAATAAATGAACAAATTGACAACATACCGAGAAAACCGAGAACACCGGTGAAAAAATCCAATATGAACATAATTGTTTATTAAATGATGATTTGTTGTTGTTTGGTGTTTTATATATAATTCTTCCAATTATCAGGAGATTATTTTCGATTGAATAATAAAAAACAATCGATTAATTTATTCGCACAAGAAAAACAATGAGTTCAACAGGGAAAATCTTTGAAAAAGATTTAAATATAAAGAAAAAAAATTCAATTAATTGATTTAATTAAAAAAAAGGAAATCTGATCGATTTGTATGAAGTTTTTTTATATATAAAAAATAACGAAACAAATAGCTGAAATGTAAGCTTTTTTCTTCATACAATATACATGAATTATATTTGTTTATAGATATTTACAAGGTGAAAAGCATTCAAGAACAAAGACGAAATTTGGCAATGAAATATAGAGAGAGAGATTAAAAATGTAAAATAAAATGATTATAAAGGAATGAAAAAAGTGATAAAGAATGAAACGGTAAGGCACACATTTATGAATAAAAAAATTTGATTTTTGGAAATTCCAATTTTAATTATGAAATTCTTCATTAATCAAGCGGTACACATACCTTTGTTAGTGGAATTATTTCTGAATTTTGAAAGAAAAAAAAATTGATCTTGTAGTACGGTCTTTGAGTAATGGACCGATTTTTATCCATTCAATCGTATGATGATGACTATACCGATGATTTGCTGATGGTGATGATGGTGAGGGTGATGATGATGATGATGATGATGATGACGGCAACGCGTTGAGGACAATATCAGGCAATTGTAACGCTGATGTGGAAATGGAGTTATCAACATGGTTGCTACTACCACTAAGTTATAATTACAGAATTGTTATTTCGAACATTTTTTTTTTTTTTTTTTGCTACTACGATTTAATTTACCAGATCAAATTTAAGCTTTTATATTAACCACTACTTTAAATAAATCCATTCATAAATTCATAACAAGAGAAAATTATTTTTTAATAACGACATTTATGTATGATGTTTGTATAATATTCGGTGTATGAATTTGGCAAAAATCAAAAATTAAATCAAATATGCCATGTGATTGTTGTGAATTTTAATTTTTTTCAATTGTTTGAAAATAAATAAGAGAATCATGAATAGATTTTGTATTCAATTGAAAAATTCTATTGCTCACATCAATTCAACTTTGGTGAAAGATCCAAAAATTTTATCCGGATCTCCGATCATCTTATATAATCCAAGTCGGCAAAAATGTCAAGCTGGACGTTATAAGGTTACATTGAAACGTAACCGTCCTTTAACCTATGAACAAGCAAATAAACCTAGCTATATTGGTGTTCGGAAAGGTTGGAATTCATGGAATACTAGTTCTTTGCCTGGCGTATCATTGACAAGCGAAGTTAGCATTGATGATGCTTTCATAAGAAAATTTATAGCTGGTACATGGCATCGCTTATTTCTAAGCGAAGTGATAATCAAACGTCGCGGTAATATGATTCATATTGGCGGTATTGTTAATCAGGCCATTCCAGTGCGAAAATATTATTGGCTCATCGGTTACACGGAAGAGTTATTGTCTCATCTATTAAAATGTCCGGTCAAGATTGATGTTCAAACAACAGCCGATCGTAATGCCCTTATTTATAAATACATTTAGATTTCAGATTTTTGTGTAAATAAAATCATAGATCAATTAATAAAATCTCAATTTATTCTTTAATTATACGAATGTTTGAAATATATGAATTATTTATTTCATTTGAAAATATTTGGTCAATTTTTCAGTGTCCCGAGCCATCATGGCAGCATTCAATCGAACCGTTTCGATTGATTGTTGAATCGAACGTTCCCAAGCTTGGACGGGATTCTTGCGAAAAAATTCTTCGATTTCATGAGCCATTTCTTCAGTTTGAAAATTTTCGGTCACAGATTTGACCAACAAATTGCCAAGGAATCCATTTTCATAACGATTTTTGAATAGTTCAAAATTGGCAAGGTAAAATTCCCAGGCAGCTCGACGAGCCACTGGATTACGGGCCACAGAGGCAACAACAAAAACGCTGTCTTGTGAACGTACCTTATCCTATGATTATACAAATATATTACTAGTTAAAATATAAAATTTTCCAATCATGAATCAAAACTTACGCTAATTGCAAATTTAAGGACACGATCAATAAATTCAGATTTTTTAACAGCACCTAATGATGATGCTAGTCGATTTTTTTCCTCTTGAAGATCGGTTTCATCGTAAAGCTTCATAAATTTATCCCAAATTTCTTCCGTACTTTGATGTGCCATAGCTCGGTATACAGCAGAACGAAGATCTGCCGGTATTGATTTGCGTTTAGTTACGTGATCATCAAAGGCTTCCTGACATTTTTTAATTATTTCAGGATATTCAAATGTAACCAAACGATTAATCAACAATGGACGAAGTAAAGTTTGCAGATATGGTTCTGCTGGTTTTGGATCCCAACCAATTTCTCCGAAAACTTTGTATGTGATTAAATTGCTACCGAATTGAACAAATTTTGGATGAAAATCATAACCATGAAGCAATTGATTATATTTGGCCATTATGATGCTTATTACTGTCCATACGGTATATTCACACTCATTACGGAATGAATCGATAGCTCGGAAAAGAACTTCCGAATTATTACGTCCAGCCAATGTCATCGAGTAGAGGTCATTGATCAAATTCAAACGATCGACTGGGTCTAATTTTTGTTGGCCAATACCTTCTTCAAAGAGACGAATAAATAGTTCTTCCGGTTGATATTGGACACGATATGTTGCCACAGCCGAAGGATTTAATTTTATCCATTCTTTTTGCAAATCAATAGTGTCATCAAGTTCAAGAAAATCGTTACGCTTTTCAAAAAGAATTTCGGATTTCGGTTTTTGAACATTATGGGCTGTGATTACTTGAACTGGTACTGCCCATAACAATGTCTTATCAGCATCAGACAAACGGCCATTAGAGTTGAATTTTTCCTGAGTGAGTTCCAATCGACGAGATCCTTGACAATTCACAGTAACAACGGGATAGCCTTTTTGCATAGTCCAGGTGGTCATCATACGACGCACAGGTTTTTGACTGGCCTCTTCCAAAGCATTCCACAAGTCTTCAGTTTGGGCATTTTTATAACTATGACGTGAGAGATACATTTTCATTCCTTTACGAAAAATTTCATCGCCAATATAATGATACAACATTCTAATGACGGAAGCTCCTTTTTCATAAGAAATAGTATCGAAAATTTCATCAACTTCTGATGGATGGCCAACAAGAATTTCGATAGGATGTGAATTATCCAATGAATCCAAATCCATCGCAGATAAGAATATATCAGAAACAAATTGTTTCCAGATATTAAATTCAGGAAATATATGATCCACACACAGAAATTCCATGAACATTGCAAAGCCTTCGTTTAGCCAAAGATCTGTTAGCAAAATAGTATAGTATTATATATATATATATTTATTACGGTTTAAGTTCAAAAACAAATATGGAATAGCTTACGTGTCCACCATTCCATTGTGACCAAATTGCCAAACCATTGATGAGACAATTCATGGGCAACAACCAATGAAATATTTTGTTTTTTGATCGTAGAAGTATTAGCTGGATCAACCAACAGACATTCTTCCCGATAGGTAATCAAACCCCAATTTTCCATAGCGCCACCATCAAAATCAGATAAGGCAATCAAATCCAATTTAATCAATGGATAAGGAATTTGAAAATAATCGGTCAAAAAATCCAAAGATCGAGCAGCAACATCTAAAGCAAAACGGCCTTGTTCTGATTTTTGTAAAGGTGTATACACTCTAACCAGAACACCATGTTTGGATCGAGTTTCAATGTAATCATATTCGCCAATAACGAATGCAACCAAATAGGTGGACATAATAGGAGTACGTTCAAATTTGACCACACGTCGTTTTTGTGAATCTCGAATTTCCTCTTTCATGGGCATATTGCTTAAAGCAACGATTTTGTCATCATTATCACCAGCAGGTATGATCAAGGTAATATCAAACGTAGCTTTATGTGCCGGTTCATCCCAACATGGAAAAGCCTGGCGAGCATAAGTTGACTCGAATTGAGTAACAGCAGACAAACGTTCTTTTCCATCTGGACCGATATAACGACTTATGTAGAATCCGTGTAATTGTTTATTAAATTCCCCGGTGAATTCCAAATTCAAGATTGCATTCATTCCGGGTTCCAATTTTTCATCCAATGATAAAGTCACAGTTTCTTCTTCAGCATTGTACTTAATTTCTTTTATTTTGATTGCTATGACGAAGAAAAGAAAATATTAGTGAGATAAAGCAAATGATTCAATATTGAATCTATTATCAAATCTACATACTTTTGTCATCCTTTGGCAATTTGACATTGCATTTTTCGGCACTGTTTTCCATTGTCAATTTATTGGAGTTCAAAACAATTTCAGAAGTTGATTCATTCACTTTAATATCAATTGATTCGGAGCCTTCAAATGACAATTTTTCAAAATTTGGTGCCAATCTTATCTGATAATTGATCGGAGTGATCAAACAAGGCAAACGTTTGAATGGTCGTTTATTTTCGGTAGCCATTTTTTTATTCGTACACAAATCGGAAAATGGACGATGAATAGAAACGTAAATTGATGATCGATAAATCTGAAAACTAGGAGAGAAAAATTGTTTTTCAGCTATGAAAATCCTAAAATGTGAATATAGACGGCTGGTAATTGTCACTGGGGAAAAAGACAAAATTGTTGATTCAAATCGGATTTGATAAACAAAACGAAGAACAAAAATCTAATTGAGCATCGGTTAAAAAATTATGCCAGTTATAACTATCAGTAAAATTTTATTTTTTTCACTTACTTAATGAAGTTTTTTATATTTGTATTTTAAAAAAATTATTATATTATAAAAATTGTCAAAATCGAATTTGTCGACATTTATTGCTCGATGATAAGAAACAAAAAAAAAGTGAGGATGACTGAATGAGTGAAGCCATAGTCGACATGCTTTCATTACATATCCGTATGGCCACAATGTACTCTATTCTCGATTCTACTATCATTTGATTGATAAGTATAAATAATGCTTCTATGATAGAACGTAATTGATTGTGACTCATACCGCGGAGAAAAATTGCAGTTTTTTCCAAGTTTAAATTGTCAGCTGAATGAAATCTGGAAAATGATTTTGTCTATCAATTGTATTCGTTTTCGATTTCAACAAACATTTTACATTTGTCGTAAATATTGTCACAATAATATTCGATCAGTTGAAACAATTAAAACAATTCTGGAACATGGCCAACCATCTGATGTTCATCGTTATAAAGTTTATGTACGTTTTTCTATAATATTGAAATTTGAAAATATAGTAATTTCATTCAGGAAAATTTTTTTTTTTAGGGTTGGATACGTGGAAAGGTACAAAAGAAAAAAACCAAATGGTTTCTTCAACTAGATGATGGCAGTTCTGCTGAACGTTTACAGATTATTATACCTGCATCATTGATGGAACAGTGTGATCGTTCCAGAATACAGAACGGTGCCTCATTAGAATGTATTGGACGTTTATTGAAAAGTTTAGGCCATCAGCAATCATTGGATTTTCTTTGTGATCAATTCACTGTTATTGGTGAATGTCCACCTGACGATTATCAGATTGCTCATTTGAAAACTGGTATGGAATTCGATTTGCTTCGTGAACAAATTCATCTGAGACCCAGGGTTCGATATTTTCAATCGATTCTGAGGATAAGAAATGAATTATCTCGAGCCATTCATAAATTTATGGCAGATAATCAATTCATTGAAGTACAAGTACCATTAATTACCGCAAACGATTGTGAAGGTGGTGGCGAATGTTTTACATTGAAACCTGCCAATTGGCCGATTACAAATCCAGAAAAATTATATTTTGATCGTCCCACATATTTAACGGTATCAGGTCAACTTCATCTTGAAGCAATGGCCAGTTCATTATCCCGTGTTTATTGTTTAAGTTCAGTGTTTCGAGCCGAAAAATCAATGTCTCCCAAGCATCTAAGTGAATTTTTAATGCTTGAATTAGAACAAGCTTTTCTCTTTGATCTCAAAACCTTAATGTCCATTGTGGAAAAGCTTTTCCGTTATCTACTCGTTGAAATCGAAAAAAATTGTCCAAAAGATTTAGAATTACTGTTGGAAAAGAATCAACATCATAAATATTATGATAAGCTTAAAAGTTGTAAATTCCTACAAATTTCTTATGGAGAAGCTTGTCAAATGTTATCCAGTAAATATCCAAAATTGAATGCAGATAGTATAATGAATTTTAATGCAGAAATGGAACGATCCCTATTGGAAATTTGTGATCATCAGCCAATATTTGTAACGAATTTTCCTATGGAAATTAAACCATTTTATATGAAAACTACTGATGATGGTCAAATGGCAGAATGTTTTGATTTATTAACTCCTATTTGTGGTGAAGTATGTGGTGGTAGTCTCAGAGAAAATCGTTACGACCGTTTATATGAACAAATCAAATTGAAAAATGTGATCAAAAACAATGCCAATAATAATCATCAATTAGAATGGTATCTAGATTTACGAAGATTTGGATCAGTACCAACTGGCGGTTTTGGTTTTGGTTTTGATCGTTTCTTACAGACTGTTTGTGGTGTTGCCAACATTAAAGATGTTGTTCCATTTCCTCGTTGGCCTTATCATTGTCGTTTATGATTTTTGATTTTTTTTTTTAAAAATTTTATTCTAATCATTAATAATAATTAAATTGATTAATGTTAGAAAATAAAAACTAAATTCTTTATTCATTCATAGATATTTTCTTTTTCTTTCATTGCTGTTGCTACTGCTGAACGAGTTGAAAATGAAAAATAAAACACTTCTATATTATGATTCAAATGATTTAGCCATGTAAATTGGAAATATATAGCATAGTTACTTGAGTTACCACTAACAAAAAAAAATAACAAACTTCCCCCTCACCAATTCTAGACTAGACAAAAATATTGGTTACTAGTTCAAGGATACTCAAATTTTTACTATTCTCATCGCAAATCAAATCATGTCTTTCTGTGTCTTTATGTATGGTGTATATGTGTGTAGGTGTTCACTTTTTATAGAGAAAGAATTCTGGGATTCTAGAACAAAATAGATCCCAGATATGTACATGATTGATCAAAAAAATAACAACATAGACAAAATTTTTCATGATAATCTCCAATCGAAAAAAGTGAACTTGTCAACTTTTCAACAGTCTTAAAAAAAACGAAAATTATCATCATTTTTTTCCTGTAATATTGTTATGTGATGGCAACATTCACAAGGCGGAAGTAAACATAACATAACAACAAAAGCAACAACAACAAAATGAACATTCGAATTTGTTTCGAGTTCGATCATTAAAATCAAAATCATTATCTCTTATACTTGATTCTTTTGAATTTTCAATTTACCTTATTCATATTTAGTCATAATTATGATAATAATCTACCTAATTTGGTTTTTTTTCTTGTGATGAAGACCATATCACAATTGATGACAATTTTTGTCATTATTTAATGTGTCACCATTACAATACAGCCATAGTAGCCAGCTTCATGATGATATTGTGGTCCATTTTCAACTTGCTCTAGAAATTTTTCATTTGTCATTTCAATTATCCATCTTTCTTTCTTTTTTTTTCATTATTACTTGTGTGGTTATCATTTTTTTTTCTTCACTGTTTCCACTCTGTTTTTCATGATAATAATTTTCTGTTCCTTGATCGTATCATTTTCGATGATGATGATTGTGGTGTTTGCTCGCTTGTTATATATGTGTACAGCAAAAATGTATTATTTCAAATAATGTTTGCATCGATGCCTGGCTTTCAAGATTTTCAATATGGTAAGTGTGATTTTTTTTACATTCATTCATTCAATTTCAAAATTCGAATTTGCTCGAAAAATAGAATGAATTTTTTTTCAAAAAAAAGAGGGTGTGAATAACAAAACAATAAACTCATTGTTGTTAATTATTATAGAAAGAGGTTTTTTTTTTGGTTCTAATTCGGGAATCACATCACAAAAACAATAACAAGAACAACGAATTTTGTATACAAAACAAAAAAGTTTTAATCATTTTTAGCAACAATCAAAAAACTGTTTGATCACATCTATCAAATCTAAACAGAACATTTGAAAAAATGAATCCATAATCTATAAGCTTGTATATAATGTTAATGTTTATAATAATCGTGAACTATGGTATTATATATAGTTTATTGGACAACAAAGTGAACCAAAAATTACATGATGATCAAAGGTACTGTGATGATGATGATGATGATGATGTAGTTTTTTTTGTTTGCAAAAAATTTTCACATCCATTCAAATGAATTGAATTAGTTGTTACTGTTAATTCAAATTTTGAAAATTCCCATTTTTTCTTTGATAATTGATGAATGGTGGGTGGGTGGCCAAAGTGATTAACATCATTTTTTTACTCGAAATATTTTTTTCCATCATCATTCAATTACCTGAATAATTCATTTCAGGTGTGTACCGTTTTTTTTTCCAATTTGTTTGTTTCCACACTTTATTCATCAAAAACTAGATATTTTCTCTGTATAACTGAATTTTGAATTCAAAAAAAACAAAGAAAAAAATTTATATGACCATCATCATCATCATCATTGCAATACAATATTGTACATAACATTATCATAATCATTATGAGTTTTTCCGACATATTAAACGAGGTAAAATGGCCATATACTCCTATATTGTTTGTTTGTGTGTATCCTGTGTTGTTGGTTATACAAGTTTTGTTGTTGATCCAGTTTTTTTTTCTATGCTTACCTTATATATATTTAATACCGGCTAAAGAAACGGAAAATCTAGTGCACAACGTTATTGATTTATTTTTTCATATATTTCACTGATTTGATGATATATGATAAATTATCTTTTATGAAATCATTAAATAATTACTCAATGATTATATACTATATATGGGTTAGTCAATTGATTGATTTGGTTAGCAATGGTGTAATTGGTAATTCACATTCATTCACCAATTCTTTCAATTTCGCACTTGTGTTTTTTTTTCTCATTTATATATACCGACGATTGTTTGAATGATCTGAATGTTGTTGTATGTGTTTAAATTTGAATCGTTTGATACACTCTGCCTACACTTTTTTTTCTATCTTTGTTTTGATTTTCTTCTTTACAACATTTATGATTATGATCACTACCGTAAAACATACCATACATTTGTTTGTCCTAAATTCATTCAACCTTTTCTTTCAGTTTGTTTTTTTTTCGGTGCATCAAAACGAATCGAATCACCTTGTGTTCATGATGATGATCAACAAACGACAACCTGGATAAAAACAAAGAAAAAAGAATTTGAATGATTTGACTCCACACCCAATCATTCATTGATGCATTTTTTGTGTGTGTGTGTGTGAGTATGTTTTATATGTCATCATCATCATCATCGTTTATCGTTTATATTATCTCATTTGCTTCGACGATGATGATCCTCACTTTATACCAACAATTGTGTTTTGTTGATTTGGCCATTGAGTTTTTTTTTTTATTATTATTTATTTAATACATAATCTACATACATAACAAAAAACATTATGAATTGTCCATTGGTTATCTTGGTTTGTCATATAAATTTTTTTTTTATTTACTGTTCGTGTCTTCTTCACTCAAAAAGAGATGATATTTGATTTCTTTTCTGATGATGATGATGATGATGATTATTATTGCCATGAACTTGAACAATGAATGTTGTTTTTTTTATTGAAGGCTAATTTTCACATCATTTTGTTCCAGAAAAAAATGTATTTTTTTTTCACTTTTGACACATTTATTTTATAATGATCATCATCATTTTTGATTGTTTTGTTTGTTTCTAAAAAATAAATCATTACATTGCAATTATAATATAACTCTTATTAATATCAATAATATCTCATTATCGTTAAAAAATAAAAATGCAAAAAAAAATTTTGAAATTTTTTTTTCGGTTAATGACTATGGCAATAATGAATGTCGATGTTTTTTTTGCCATCATCAATGTTGAATTCGAACATTTCAAATTCATTGAAAAACACAGGTAAAATGCGTTCATTATTACCACAACACCCTAAGCATATATATTCGTAATATAAAATTTTACCTTTGCCATAAATAAAATGAGGCCCCTTCATCTGGTGTTCATTCATTCAAGTCTGTCGAACTAATCTTATAACTGTCGAACTTTGACCTCCATTCATCATCATCAACAACAACAACTTTCTCCCCAACATATAATTGTTCGTATCGAAAAAAATTTTTTTTTTAAAGTAATCGTCATCCATTGGTATTGGCATCATTTTTTAAGATGATAAGGCCATAGTTACATTTTTTCTTCGGTCCCTTGCTGCGATCATCAAACACACACACACACACACATAGATCTTATTAGATTATATAATGAAAAAAATTGCCATCAAATAAAATGATTCGAATCTATGAACAAACGAAACCGGACCCATTTTGTAAAAAAATCAGACTAGGTTGATGTGTTTTTGCTTTTGAATCTTCGATTCCAAAGAAATATGTATGTTAAATCTATACAATAGATCTCGCTGTGTAGGTAGGTAATGAAAACTGCAATAGCAATAAATGTGATTGTCATTGAAGGTAGATGAACCATACCAGGTAAAAAAAAAAAAAGTAGAAAGATCAATCAAGATCATCGGTATTACCATTGGTATAGCGCAAAACTAAATCAAGTATTTCAAATGCAATAACTAAATGATACAACAAACAATAGATTTTTTTTTTCTTCTTCTTCTTTTTTTTTTTTCTGTTCTCATTTGGTCAACATGATGATGATTTTTTTTTTTTGACTTTAAATTTCGGCTGCAATTGACATCTATTCAATCTCAATGTTGAATCCACACTGTGTGTTGATCTCTTTCTATTCGTTGTCTATAGAACATTTCAGTTTATCTATCATGCATCCACATATTACAACAATATTCACGATTTTTTTTCTGTTCATTTTTTTTGGCACATAATAAGATCAGGTCGTGGTCATGCATATATACATGCATCACAAAAATAGAAGGAATTGTTCTCCAACATATTCATCATCATCATTATCAACATGTTATGGTAACATCATTACAACAGATTTTTTTTCTGCTAGCAGTACAGGTAAAGGTGAAATGTTGATGATGATGATGATTGATTATTGTATCACTTGTTGAATGGCAACGAAGATCTCTGTCTCTCTTTTCATCTTTTCTTGTCGTCATTGCCGTTCAGTATTGTTATCAATATATAGTTGATATACATGAGAGTCTTTTGAACGTGAAAACTTTTTTTTTCTAGTGTAATAATAATGTTGGATCGGTTTCTATCATCATCATTCTCATTATTATCATCATCTTCATAATAATCTCGACATTCGGCTGTTTATTCAACAACGAAAAAAAAAAAAAATTTCAAAATCTTTTTTCTTCAAGATTCAACATCATTATTTATAAGTTTTTTTTCCACGAAAAAAATTAGTTATCCTCATTATTCAATTTGTTGTTGATGTTGATATTTTTTTTCTTGTTTTTCGGTTTATTTGTGTGACATTTTTGTTGTTGTTGTTCTATAAGCGATCAGTTGTTGATTACGGATTTCGATTTTCTTGGTCGCGCTCTGTTTAGTTTCTGGTGTTCATATTATGTGTTTGTGTGTCATTTGTTGTTGTTCCATTTTGTTCGTTTATTTTGGTGATTGACAAATTTTGTATTTTATTTCATAAGTGTGTGTGTGATCAGATGATCTGTGATCCGAAATAATTGTCACAAGTAAATGAAAAAGAAAAAATCTTTGCCATCATTTTGAGTGTGTAACAAATTTTTATCCTGGTTTAAATGAATAAAATGATGATGATGGTTGTTGATTCATCATATATGTGATTCTCCCATAAAATAAAAATGCGAAAAAAAATCTTTGAACCAAAGTAAAAATAAAAATTTCCAAAGGATCCTTCAGTCATTCAATATCGCATTCCATTGTTGTCGTATTCGAATAATCATCGTTTGAACAATTTGACCTCGCTTTCTTTTGTTATGAAAATTATTCACCAAACAACCAACCACCTCTTGCTTACTCTGAAACATTACTCTACATGTAGTCCTTGGAACCTTTTTTTCGACCTTGGTTTTTTTTGATGGACCATTTTTTGAACCCAGATAGACTATTGTGTTGAATGTATGTGTGTGTGTGTGGTGAACAATACAAATTAAAAATCAGCAATGAACAAATATTAAGTAAATGATTGGTGTTATTGTGACCTTTTTTTATGACCGCTCTCTTCATTCGTATAATCTAACTCAACATTCTAATACGAAGATGATGAATTTTTTTCTTCTTTTTCTAATAATTTCACTAAACTAGTAAAAAAAACACACACACACATTTGAATGATGTAATTCGGACATGGAAAAATCATTTTTACATGTGAAACATTAAGTATTTTGCCAGAACTTTTTTTTTTCTTATTATTATTATTATTAATCGGTATATATAGAAACAAAAAAAGTTTCGTTATTGCGCCATCAAAAAAAGAAAAACAACCCTACCTAGTTATGTTTATCTATCTTGCTTATTAATGTAAAGGTGTGTCTACGAAATTACCGACAACACAAACGAAATTCTTTTTTTTTTTTTCTTCAACCAAAATGAAAACCAGATCAACTAGTCCGATGATGTTTCATCATCAACATTATCACCATTATTATTATCATAAGTCGATCATTATAATTCTAATCATTAATTTCATCACTATTATATCTATGTCGAATATGGTAACATCATTAACAACAGCGATGACGACGAATACGACATCATTGACATCATTAACCGCAAATATTACAAATAAAATAATAATAGTAGTAGTAATGATGATCTTGGTGAATCTAAAGTAGCCCAAACAACTTTCACTAATTCCACATCATTATTATTGTCGACAAAAATACGTAATCCTTTAACTACTACCATTATTACAAATAATAATAAAAATAATGATGAATTACATACACCCAAAATTTATCGTCATAATTCAATAATGATGATACGGCCATCATCATCATCATCATCATCATCGATAGCAATAATAATAATAATAATATTATGAACCTCAATCAACAACAGAATTCGAATATATTGAATAATAATTCATTCAATCATCATCATCATCATCATTACAATAATAATGATGATGCCACAATTTGTATACATAGATTATGTGTACGACAAAATGGTAATAATTTGTTTTCTTCTTCCACTTTTTTAAGAAATTTTTTTTTTTGAAATAATTCAATGTGATATACATACAAAGCAGAGATAAGTTATGACCTTTCAACTTTTTTTTCAATAGATTCATAAATTGATTGTGTGATTGCAATGGAAATGCTATTTTATTTTTTTGTTTTATATATTTAGCTACTGGTTTCTTCATTTTCATCTTTTATATAAATTAAATATTTTTCTATAGATACCGATTCAAATGTTGTGATGAGTCACGATCTAAATTGACCAAAATAGCCTATAATCTTGATTTTTTTTTTGTATGAGGCCAGCCAACCAACCATCATGATCATGATCATGCAACAGGTATATTTTATGTGATATTACCTGTCTAGAATAAGAAAAAATTGATTCGATTGTTGTTGTTGTTGTTGTTTGATGATTGTGTGATGATGATGACCACAAGATCATAATCACCATTATGATCAACACTTGAACGTGAAGAAATGATTCATTTCTTAAATATTCAATATGATGACTTGTATAAAACATGAAATGCCTATTTTCAAAATCTGGTCGGTATAACTTGTATGTATGAAAGAGCAGTATAGATTTCAATCGACAATTGCAATAACCAAAAAAAAAAATAATATCAAATCGGATTTACTGAAGGAATATTGACCTTGGATTTTTTTTGATAGTCCACATAAATTTATTCAATTCAATAGTGAAATTGAATTTGTTGTTGTTGTTGTTGTTGTTGTTGTATAGAAGTGTGAACAAATCACATAGACTAAAAAATGAATTGCAAATTTTTCTTCGTTGTTTCTCATAAATCAAGTTTTGAATAATTCATCGATGCAATTTTCTTCGACATTATCATCATTATTATTAAGGACATTTGATGAAAGAAAAGTACGAATTTTTTTTCTTATGATTGATGCGGAAATTGATGATGATACACACACACACACACACATTGGATAACACATGACATTGTAATTTGTGGCAAATCTACCTCTAGGTAAAAAAAAAAATTTTCTCTCAATTTTCTAGTGAAACAAAATTGTCATAACCTCCGTTACGATAATCATTATCCACATTTACAAATGAATTGAATGAATGAAAACATTTGGATTTTATTTTATTTTTTTTTGTTTTGTTTTTATTCGAAAAATATCATCATCAGACATATGTCGTTGCACGAGTTTGTTTATATTATCAAAGGAAAGATGAAAAAAAATTGATTCAAAACACATTTAAAAAGAAAAAAGATTTTAATTTTTCTTCTAGGATCCATCAACATCATTATCATGATAATGATATCTATCATTTTTTTTTCTTATTATCCCTGAAGCTATGGAAGCAGGATCCTCTCCATCATCTTTATCATCATCATTATATAATTGTTGTTCATCTAAAGATTGAATGGTAAACTTTTCGTTGGTTTCCATTTCATTCATTCATTCATTCACACACAAAGTATAATATATGTGGATAATAATGGCCAATCCAGTGCTTAATAATGAAAGTTTTATTCGTCGTTCATAGGGCAGATATAAATGATGATGATGATGATGATGATTATTATTTTATTATTGTGAGGTTCATGGCCGATTCCAGTAATATTTTTTTAAAATAAAATTTTCATTTTTTTAAATTCATTCAACACAATGATGTTTGATGATTGGATTTGAGTATAGAAAATTAAATTGATAAAGGCTACCATTTTTGGAGGTTTGTTAGTAATTTTTTTTCAAGTTTAAAATGTAAACCAGTCAGTTTTATTCAAAAAATTGACCATGCTCATCTGATTTACTAATATATTTTCATTTATTTACTGACCAACTTCATTTATTTTTGTTCAATTCTTTCTATTTCTCACAAACAAAAATAACAGGCCATCCACAGCCATCAACCGGTGTTGAAATATGTTATAATGATAAAGGTGATATAGTTAAACATGGTGAACAATATGTTCCACTTGGAATCGATACTTGTACACAGGTTTGTTTGATTGATTTGATAATTTTAATTTTTCCTGAAAATTATTTATTTTTTTTTCAAAAAAAAAACTAAATCATCAATATAGTGTACATGTATGCATGGAAAAGCGGAAATGTGCATATCGGTACTATGTTCACCACCGGAAAATTGTCGGTTAGTATAACTTGTAAATTGATATAAATTACATAATTTATTCTATTTAATTGTGAATAAATCTCTTTAAAAAATTAATTAACAAAACGGCAAAGGTCAACAATTTATTATCTTTCCCTCTCCTGTTGAATAATCCATGAATTTACAGTAATACATAATCAATGGCAATTATCTTGTTAACCTTGAAACCAATCTTTTTGCCACCATGTAACAATAATATTTATAGTGTAAATTTTAATTAAATTTTGTTTATTTTCTCTCATAGACGTTATCATGAAGTAACAAATAAATGCTGTGAATTTCTATGTATCGATGGTGGCAATGGAAACCAAGTGATAGGTTCGAATCATGGTAATAGTGATATGGCTATACGATTGATGAACACCGGTAACGGACATCATCATACACAATCTACAAACAATTTTAATGGTGGATTACAGAATGGTTTACGTTTCTTTGGCAACAATAAGACTGCCATATTGACAAAAGGCGAAACGAAAACATTCCATTCGATTCCAACATCAAATCTTGGTCTACGGTTAATCACTAGTACTGTGACATCATTTTTAATTCTAGCATTATTATTATTCATGATTCATCGATTACGTCAACGTCGTCTTCTGGTGATGATCCGTCGTTTACAGAATCGTCGACTTGATCATATGAATGGTCGTAATTCTAGCCACCACCCTACTCCGGCACCTCCACATTGTAGTGATTCTACAGGTTATGCGGGCGATCAATTGGTTACAACACCTATGCGTTTATTTGGTCTGGGTGGCCATTCATCTATTAATGGACCATTTGGACCTTTTGATTTGATGGGACCTAATTCGATTGAACCACCACCACCATATACATTTTGGAAACCTCCATCAATGCCTGCTCAATCGACTGAACAACAACAGCAGCAGCAGCCACAATTCTCTAGTTTATCCGAAACAAATGGCCTATCACCTGTTCAATCCTTACCGAATGAAGCTCCACCAAGCTATGAAGAATCAATTCAAGTTGGTAACAGCAACAATATTATTATGTCGAATGCAGCCCTTATTATTAGTTGTCAACAAAATTCGTTATCGCAACCATCTAATAACATAGAAGTAACACCGTCTTCAAATCATCAAAATGGAATAATCAATGTATTAGAACATCAGCCATCATATTCGGGTCATGTCATAACACAATCACAATCACAAAATTGGTTGTCGACAACGACAACAACACCACATAATTCAATAATTGGATCAATTAATTTGCCTCAACAGTCTGTGTTTGAAGGTCACTCAATGGATCAAATACAGCAAACATACACCAAACAAATTAGCCATTCCAATTTATCAGGTGACAGAATTAATAGATATGTGCATCATCATAATCATCATCATCAGCCAAATAATTTAATTCATCAGAATAGAATGGTAGCGGCCGAAATTAAACCTCATCCAATTGCTTATCGAGAACAATCTTCGAATGTTGTCGATCCACAAATTCGCCCTTGCATTCCAAATCCGCCCGCAATAATGCGAAATAATCTTTTCTATCCACAAAGATTGATCTCACATTTAACATCATCATTAACACCACATAATGGTATGAAATAAATGAAATAAAATTTTCTATTAAATTTTATTGCAAATTAAAAATTTTGCAGATTTTTCACAATCACAAACGTCTGGACGATCATTATCACCCGATCAACATATTACACGATTACATGTTGGATCACCAATATCAAATCAAATACCTGTGACTTATGTTAGATCAATGATAATGCCTGTAAATAATAATTCGCAATTATCACACGAAACAACAACATTCCGATCACATTATCCAAATTCTAGATCAGCATTGTTACAGCAGCAGCAATATCAACAACAACAATCATCGATAATGTCTCGATGCATTTACAACAATAATATTCATCAACAGCCACAACAAACACAAAAGCGTTCTAAAATTACGAATAATCAATCATCTTTAATGATGATTAACAATAATATTGATGAATCAGCAAAAGAGTTGGTCATTCAAAATGATTCAATCTGTTCACCATCCTCATCTTCTGAATCATTATCACAATGTACGATTGTTCGCAAACCAATTGATGTACATCAAACGGTAGCAACCGTTGAACAATCGTCATCAAGACAATCGATGGTATCTAATCAACAATCTCAAAACCATCATCATCATCATCACAATTCGAATCGGCATCGAAAAAAATCTAAATCAAATCAAGATTCAAATAATCAAACCGTGAAATCAAATTATTCTTCTTCTTCCTCGTCATCATCATCATTATCATCATCATCATCATCATCGTTGGCCAATTCATATTCAGATGATGGTAGTACGCCATCGACAAAAATATCAGTTTCATCATCATCCTCATCGTTGTCTTCATCAAGGACGAACAACACGATGTTGACGACTACGACGACGACCACCCCAACGACAACAAATGATAATAATAATACTGTAATTCAAGTTAAAGTTGATACGATCAGCCATCTTTGATCTTGTCAATTAAATTTAGTTTGTTTTTTGTTTTGTCAATTGCCAACATATTTTTTCTTTTAACAATTTTTTTTGTGGCCAAAGTTGTGATTAGATAATAATATTCTCCCATGTTCTGGTCATTGATAGAGGGATATTATTTTTGTGAATATTTTAAAAATAAAAATAAAAATAAATTGTGTAAAAAAATCCTGTCAAAAAATTGGCCCTCCCGACTTTTTCGTCGATCATATATAAACACGGCACAATTATCGAACAAATAAAATTCTGTCGATCAGAATAATAATGTTGTCCATAATTGTTTCGTTTGGAATTTCAGCTTGGAAATTAGTTGGAATTCTAACTGGTCTTATCTGGCAGCTAGGACATCTTGTAGTGGAAATTGGATCGTGTTGTTTTAATTTTGGTAACTTTTTTTGTTGTTAAATGTTATATAACGGTGAAACGTCATATGCTCCATCTGATGGGTAGGATTGAAATTGAATTTATCATTTTTTCAACGTGTTTTTTTACATTTATCTTGATTTATTAAATTTTTTTTTGCTATAGTCTTCAACAAAAATTATGTCAGAAATAGAATTTATAGTTCGTGATGCTCGATCATCAGATTGTCATTCGATCCATTCGTTAATATGTGAGTTGGCTGAATATGAAAAAATGCCCGATCAAGTAGAAATAACGGCCGAACGTTTAAAAGAGGATGGATTCGGTCCTGATCATCAACCTCGTTTTCATTGTTTTGTTGTGGAAAATATTGCCGAAAAAACTATAGTTGGCTTTTTACTTTATGTTCAAAAATATTCAACTTGGAAAGGGCCATTCTTATGGATGGAAGATCTCTACATTCAACCAAAATATCGTCGTTTTGGTCTTGGACGATCATTAGTTTGTACATTGATACGTCGAGCACATCAACTGCAGATGCCAAGAATCGAATGGAATGTACTTGGCTGGAATCATTTAGCTAGAGAATTTTATCACAATAAACTTGGAGCAATCGATCTTACTCATGATGATGATTGGCTTACATATCGTTTGACTAGGAATCGTTTCGAAAATCTTTTACAACTAAATCCTTCGAATGTACGAATCGATGAAAAATAAAATTTTGAAAAATAAATTTAATAGCTTGTTTTTTAGATAATTGAATTTGATAATTTTTATCATCAGAATAAATTTTTTTTTTTTTTTTTTTGGCGATCTGCCACGAAAACATTACACATGCTTGAACCTAATGATCATTTATATTGGGCTATGGCTACAATGTCGACCATTCTCTGTTTACATACAGAATTATAGAACTGTATACAGTATAAACACCGTATACGGTATAAAGAATAGTTATTGACCCTCACGGTTTGTCATTGTGACAAAACCGGATTGATGAGAGAGGGTAGTGTATAGGCGTGTATGCGTATGTGTGTGTGTCACTCAATGCGGTAATGATTTTGTCAAATAAGGACGAAACGTTCCATTTTTGTTCCAATTGTTTTTAAATTATTACACATTGTTGTAGCCGGTTTTGTGCTTGTTTGTGTTCAATCCTGTGATCAAAAAAATAATTTTATTTTTTTCCAATTAAATGTTCAATTTAAACTCATCAATACAATGTAATGACATTGAGATTTTATATATTTATTATATAATTCATTAATTCATGACGTCAATCATTCATGAAAGCAGCTATAATCATCATCATCAATCGTAGTTTTTAATTTTAAATTTAAAAATTTTCGATTTATTCCTACTGAGTACATCACCAAAATTTTAGGAAACAACAAATTTTTTTCTACTAGATCAAAATAATCATTTTACATTCATAATCAATTCTAACGACAATTAACGTTATAATTACTGATATCTTCCAATTAAAGAAACAACTTGACTTTTTTCATATTTTTGATACATTTTAACTTTTATACAATTTTAACTGAATTCGGTTATTTACGCCATTCACTGCAATAAATCAAGCTTTCGAATTTTAATCTTTTTTCATCGAATTCATTTCGAATTATTATAATTCAAACTAGAATCATGACAATGTTAACTTTAACACCGACCACTGGTCTATTAGTTGCTACCATATCTTCCATTGCCATTAATCGTATAAGTTTTATATTGGCAAATACAAAATTTATCTATCCAAAAAATGTTCGAGAATCCAATCAATCATATTACTATTGGCGTTATCGAAATTTTTTCATCTCATTCATACATGCATTCATAACGGGCGTCGGTTCTCTCCTATGGTAAAGAAACAAAAAAAATCATTTTGATTTATATCTAATTTAAAATCATCATTTCAGTGTTTTGTCGAATCCAATGCTTTTATTGGATGTGGTGGATACAGCTTCTGATTGGGGATATCTTTTAACAGCATTTTCACTTGGTAATAGTTTTAATTCCAGTGGAATTATTTTTCTCATTTTATTGTCATTGTTTCTTTTTCTCGTTTGTTATTCAGGTTATTTCATATATGATACAGTTGAAATGGCAGCCTATCTGAAAAAGAAAGGAACTGCTGAATTGTTGTTGCATCATTTTTTCGTATGTAATTGCACCATAGTGATAAACTATTAATATTGATCAATTATGTATTTATAATTTTAGGTAATATCCTGTTTTCTCAATACAGTTATGTATAAACGATTCATTGGTTATAATATGTTGGCATTGCTCATTGAAATTTCCAATGTTTTTCTTCATTTTCGTCAATTATTATTGCTTTCAAAGCATTCAAAATTATCGAGCCTTTATCGAATTAATAGCGTAACGAATATTGGTATTTTTATAATAATTTATTTCTCTTAAATAAACAAAATAAACAATAATGACATTTTTTTTGTCTTTTTCCAGTATTATTCGTATTAGTACGTGGCGCCTGTATGTTTGGTCTTTGGTATACGTTGATTTTATTTATTGATCGACTACCATTCATTACAAAATTAACTGCCATCATTTCGATGATTGGAATATCCATTACCACTGTCATTCTATTTCAACGAATATGGAATTCTGATTTTGTTAGCATTAGTGAACAACGTCGTAAAAAATTGCTGAATGAAAACAGCAATAGCTGCTCAAAAAACAGTAAATTTAAAATGAACCAATATGAAGATGATTTCACTTATGAAGGTTCCATTGAAGATGTCAAATCTGGAATGGTAAAAAAATCAAATTAAATTGTATCGATATATTTATCAAAAGACAAACCCCAATTAACGATAACATTTAACAAATTTATTTACATTCAATTTATAGAATATTCAATCGATCAAATAACCATTTATATGTTCATCTGTGTGTATGTGTTTGTGTTGTTTTAATCAAATATTCTTTTTTGTTTTGCTTGCACTCAAAAAACCAAAATCTTTACATTAATAATTCATATTATCAGTATTTCTAATAATAACAATAAATTTTCATTTATACACCTGTCAATTAATTATAATTAATATCTAAGGCCAGATTTTTTTTTATTATTTCGAATGTTTTTAACTCTTCGTTTATGTTGACCATCATTAATCCTTTGATGGACTAATTGTGCATCATCATTTACATCATTAACGATTGTTTGATGTCCATCATTTTCATATTCAGTATTTGCTGGAGATGTTAAAGTATTTTGATTACCCGAGGTTGTATCATCATCATTTGGATCATATTGATAATCACCTAATGGTTGATTTTCGTGATCTTCATAATCCGGAATAGAAGGTGGAATAGTAGCGGCAGCCACATCGTCATTTCCCGTTAGATCACCATTACCTTGTTTTCCATCATCAATATAATCTTCAGGAGTAGAATTCTGATCATCATCATGACCATGATCATAATTATTATGGTGAATATTATCTTCTTCATAATTATGATTATGATAGTCAGGTATATGGGGATTAAAATCATTAAATGGATCACCGAATGATACAGATGCTGGTAGATATCGTGGTTTATGAAGATACGGATTGCCCATAAAAGTTGATGAGCCAAAATCATTGGAAGGTAAAAAGAGATGATTAGGTGTGAATATCTGTGGATAGAATGGTTCATTCATTGTATTTGAAAAATCTGACCAACTCCATAATGGTAATTTATTTGGTTTTAAATCAGCAAGATGATCATCTAAATTAGTGTAAACGAATGGTAACGTGTGATGGTTATGATAATGATGTGAGTTTCTTGGCTTTGTTGTTCGTAGATGTTTTTTTGGCCGATAAAATGTTTGTCGCCAATATTCATCGTCATTTGTATATGGATCTATTTGTTGCATATTAGATGGATAATTATTCTCATGTTTTTGTTTCCTACGCTTTCGATAATAGGTATGAAAATGAGGATATGGTTTCGAATGATAACGAGTTTCATCATCAAATTCTTTCATCGGCGAATGGTCACTTTCCATTAACATTGATTGTAGAGATGGTTGTGATAAGGAAGGTGGATAAAAATTAGGATAAACAGGCATAAAATCAATATTTTTCGAGAATTTTAGATTTTTTGGTTTTTGTTCCGAAAATGATGACATTGCAATATTACGTCGCGTTCTTCGGAGTGGTTTCATTTCTTTAGGAACTTTCTCGATTGACGGTATTGGAAAAGATTCATCATTATCACGATCATCATCGTCATCATCATCACGATCATCATCTTCTTCATTTGATGGTGGTTCATCACTGTCCGATTCTCCTCGGGGTTCATTCTTGGTTGCTGTTTGTGTATCAAATTGGTTATCAAAATCATCGCGTAAATCTTCAGGATCTGCATCTGGTTCTTTGTCCGGTTCTGGTTCTGACTCAGGTTCCTGTTCTTCCTTTTCTTGGACATTGCTCGGTGATTCCGATGTTTCATTAGCATTGCTGTCATTGGTTTCACTACTTTCAGGCTGGGTGTTATCACTTGAAATATCTTTTCCATTGTTTGTATCGTGATTGTCATTCTCTTCTATTTTTTCAGGATTCGGTGCCGTATCTGGCAATTCTTCAATATAATTTTGACTTCCATCATTGATTTCTTTGTTTGATTGAATCGATTTGCGGTGACGATTTAGATATTCGAACGGATCATAAGGTAAAGGGTTGTCATCATCAGTATTTTCTTCTTCTTTGTCATCATGATGATTATCATTAGTGTCATCATTGTTGTCTTCATCATCGCTAACATCGTTTGGATAATCGTCGCTTTCTTTCTCCAAACATTTATCTACTTTATCGGGTTCATTCGACCTTATCGGTTTATTATCATCTGAAGGAGCTGAACAAGGAAAAGTTTGCCGTTGATGATCTGAATCAGAAATTTGTTTTGAATCTGTGCAATCATTTTTTGGTTTATCAAATTTCCAGTCATTTGACATATCTAATGATGGTAATCCAAACGATGTGAATTCATCTAATGAATACGTAGGTGAAAATGTTGATTGTGGAAACATTTGTGGTTGAAAATTCAAAAGTAATTCAGGCTGACCTGACAACACTAAGGAATTGGGTTCCATCATCGTTAATGATGATGATTCCGGAAGAAATTGTTGAGTATTTGATTGTTGATTCGGAATATTATTGATTTGAATGTCCAATTTATTATTATGATCAGACAGTAAAAATTGTGGACGCCAATTTGTATCGAAAATATTCAATATGGATTCAGATCCGGTGAGATTTTCATTCTTATTGATTTGTTTTTCATTATTAACTGTAGAAGAATTTGAAACTTTAAGTAGAATTTGGCGAAGAATATCCGGTTTCATCACTTTTTGATCGCACAAACAATTATTCAAATTGAATGCTGTAATGATAATATATGAAAACAGTAAACTTTTAAAAATATTTTTTGTTGGAACAGACATGTTGACAACAGGACGAACAACGTTGACAATGTTCCAATAAGATACGATATGATAAACCAATCCATCCATTCTAATCTCATTCAAGATCAATACGAACAAGTTTTTGTTATTTTGCCAAAATTCATCAGTTCATTTGATAGAGTGATTCGGGAATGAATGAAAATAATGATGATAAAAAAAACAATATAAAGAGAAATAGTATAGACGATTCCCGGTATTGTAAGTTGTCGGTAATCATGTGTGTCGAGCATATATACAAACACAGGATTTCCTTATTCGTTCACGAAAAAAAAATCATATCAATTGTTCATCACGAACTGTGTGAAATAAAAAAAAAAATTTAATCAATCTGAATGAAATTGAAACCAAAATTTATAATTTGTTTTTTTTTCTTTTTTTGAAAGAAATTGAAAAGAAAAATCCACTTTTTTCAATCGAATGCACGTTCATCTTGAATTGTGTCTGTGTAGCAAACATAAAATTCGGTATATAACGATAAAATGGAAAAAAAATATTGGAAACCAATATAATTATCGAATGCGGAAAAAAAACATAAAATTGACATTAGATTGAGTAGAAAAATTAAATGAAGAACAGGAAACATCTAAGTTTGTTTTAAAAATTTTCAGAAACAAAAATTTAATGAACGAAAAAATTCCCGTACGCTAAGCAAATCAGCTGTTTCCAAAGTTGATTGATATTATTCTATTGGATTATACCAAACAGATCATTATGTCTTTTATATTCTTTTGTTATTTAATTTGTTGAATCCAATTTCCAACTACGAATACACATTGATCATTATCTATGGATAAAGTTCCAGTGGAATTGTGGATGAAAATCTTTTCATCATTAACAAATAATGATTTATTGTCATTAAGATTGGTCAATCATCATTGTAATGATATTGTTCTACAATGTATCCAACCTATTATCGTTTATTTTCGTTACATTACACCAGGATCTAAAAATTTCCAAGCAATTCTACAGAAAGATGAATCATTAAATAATTCAAATATTCATTACAAAATATTTTATAATCATTGGAAAAAATTTCAAGAATTTAGCAAGGTATTTGAGATTGAACATTTGTGTATAGAAAATTTAGAAGATCCAATCTATTGGAAATCGATTCTAGAAAATGATGAACTATTTCAGACACAATTGAAAACAATTTTTAGTCATCTTAAATCATTGCGATTTAAAAATTGTTTAAATTTTGAAATATTAAAAATTGGTTGGGAAATTATCGTGAAAACCGTGAAAAAATTATATCTAAATGATTGTTTTTTAATCAATAATAATTTCGATTATTATTCAACAGAAAAAATTAATTCATCACTAATCACAACACTCGATCTACAAGGAAGTCGGTTGAATGATAAAATCTTTTACAACATAACCAAACATTTAAATCGATTAAAACATTTGAATTGTGCCAATACACGAATGCGTTTCTATTTTCATCTCATTCGACGTTCATATTTCTTATTAACATCATTGAACAATATCGATTTTCAACCTGTTACAACCTATGCATTCACATATTGTGCTCTTTCCTATTATTTGAACCAAATTCAAAATGAATCAAATTCATATTTGGAAGAGATTCAAATTGGACCATTACTCAATGTGGAAAATCTAACCGATTTGATTAGTTGTTCTGGTTCAAAAAATTTACGAAAAATTCATCTATGGTTTTATGAAATGGATTTCGATGCAAGACGACAAGAATTTGAAAAAAATTTCAGTCATTGTATTGTAAAAATTATATATCATCGTCTTCCATGTGATATTCAAGTAAAAATTTGAAAATAATCGATACTGAATTTGCTTAAAACAATCGATAGTATTCTAAACACGTGTTATTTTTTAAAAATATATTTAAAGTCATATCAATATCAATCATTATCAATTTTTGTAAAATTTAAATTGTAAAAATGGTTTCTATTGAAGGTATATTGAAAAAAGCCTCAGACCAAGAGGAGAAAGCTCAACAATTAGTTACTGTTGATTCGAAACAAATCGATTTAACCTATGACTTGGCACATCTTGCTGCATTTGATCCGAATATATTGGATTTACAATCTCTCAAGTGAGTATAAAACGTGAAATTATAAATTAATAAATTAAATTCATTTAAATTTTCGATAAAAAGGTCTGAAAAACGTGAAGAATATATTAAATCATTAACCAGAGACAATACACAACTTGTTTTGAACCAGATTTGGAATTTGGAGACAAAACGTGTTGATAATGTAATAACTGCAGTGTTACCTAAACAAGCAGTCTATAACCTACCGCGAACTAAACCAATTCCTAAACCTAAACCTCCCACTAAATGGGAACTTTTTGCTCGTTCTAAAGGTATTACCAAAAAGAAAAAGGAACGAATGGTTTGGGATGAAGTTACCAAACAATGGCGTCCACGTTTCGGTTATCGTTCGATTGCTCAACAAAAACAAGAAAATGAATGGATGATTGAAGTACCTGATCAGGCAAATCCTAACGAAGATTATTTCGCTAAACGATCCGAAGAACGAAATGAACGTGTTGCTAAGAATGAATTACAACGACTTCGAAATATCTCAAGAAATCTAAAATTACGATTACCTGGAACATCTGGTATCCTACCAAATCTTGACTCCAATAACAAAACGGATCAATTGATTAATGCCAAAAATTTGACCCAAAAATCTAATGCATCTATGGGTAAATTTTTTAAAGTTGATTCACCAAAAGAATCAACACCGAGAAAGACTACCGGAGAGAAGAGAAAATTCGAATCAAATTTCAAATCCGATCTACAAGATGAAAAGCAAAAAAATATTGAATTAATGAACAAGGTTTTGGCCACACAGAAGCGTCAATCTGCTGATAGGAATGCCATGGAACATCAAACAAATAAAACGTAAATGATTTTAATATTTTAATGTGTAATTTAATGATTATATTATAACTGTGATTGTAGATTGAAACAGATGAATAAGCGATTGAATATAGTTTCGCAACAAAAACGCACCAACACTGATAATGAGGAAAATGGACCAAAATCGAATGCCAAAAAAGGACCTAAAGGAAACAAAACAAATAAAGGAATCAAAAAAGCCAGATTGAAACAAAGTAAAAAAGTCGGCAATCGAAAAAAGGGAAAATAGATACAAAATCTCTTACATGTCTTCTTTTCAATTGAATCTATATTTCTTATTTTTCGAATGTTCATTAATTTTCGAATAAAAAGAGTGTGATGAAAAATTTAATTTTTCAATTGGTTTTGAATTTGATTCCAGAAATTCTTGATTTTCAGCTGTTTGAAATTCGAAATCTGCATTGTTTAGCGCTATCATATTCTCAACTACAATTGGTAATCGATAAGAGATAGATTCCACATCACTTGATGTAAACATTAATCTTGAAGTTTGAAAATCCACTGACATTCTTTCCAATTCTTTTCTGACACAAGGTTCGAACAGTAATTTTTGTGTTTTCAAATATCTCATGTAGTAATATAAGGCTGCAAATGAATAATTCATCCATTTGCAGCAATCGATACCTTGAGTACGTTTTTTCAAGTTATCAGAATATTGTTCGAATAAATTACGTTCGATTCGAATGTATTTATCGAATCGCTCATATGATTCCATTCCTTGAATGTTGATAAAATGTTTACTTGAATCGTGAGAAAAAATTCGACGATTGAATTCAGCCAAATTATTCAATGTCTTCAGTTCCAAACATTCTTTAGGCAATTCTAGAGCTTCATATAAGAATCCTTTGGTGAATAGATAAGCGACATCAGGAACCGATGATCGAAAAACTTTTTGGAAGCAAAACTTCTCGTCCATTAAATAGAAATTTGAGCTTTCTTTGTCCATAAGAAAGAAACATTCATTAATTCGTGATTGTTCATAAGAATGATAAATATTTTCGATTTTAATATTGGGAATAAGATGAATAATTGATGTCTTGAAATAACGTACACCTAACAAATTGAATTGAAAAAGCTTTCCATCATCATCTAACAATAAAGTGATACGATGACTCATGATGATCTTTTTCAAGTCAGCAAACATTTCATTCACGCTGCCAATTATTAATTCTTCGGATGAATTTTTCGGGATTCTACCGTAACGTAAATGTCCATCCTCATAATATATCAAGAAACATTTATTAGGGCCACAGGCAATCATTTTCACAGATATTGAGATTTTTATGGGGAAGTTATAAAATGACATTGATTCTTGACTCCAATCTTGAATCATCAAATTTCCTTGATGATTTACGGATATTAATTTACGAATACTGCAATCGAAATCGATAATTTGTTTGTCAATCAGAATTGGCCTATCAACAATTCTATCGTCGAATCTAAATTGATTGTGTTCATTTATGCCCCATCCATATAAATCACCACCAGTGGTCAGAGCATATACAATACTTCCATAACGATTAGTAATTATTTTTTTGATAGGTTTGCCAGCCAATTCGGTAAATTCACTCCAAGCTAATGGGTCATTATTTGGCTGTAACTTACTTCGACAAATGTTGAGACGGAATGAGAAAACCCGATGTTGTCGACTATTCCACACAATAACAGACTGATTTGCATCATAAAGTAAACATTTGTCGAATTCGTATTTTTCAAGATATACAGATGGAATCATTGATAAAACTGGATATAAATTGATATCGTGAATTTTGGACATTTTTGAGTGAATTTCGAAATGAAATCGTCGTTTGTAGAATTTAAAGTGGCAAGCACACACCGGACACAGTGAAAAGGAGCAATACTATCGATTAATTTTTCGATAGTGAAGAACAAGTAAACAAATAAATGTTTTATTCGAAAAAAAAATTTTCAATATAAAGAAAAGTTTACCAAATTATTATTTGAATCAAATTTTCCTCGCCATATGGAAAGGTTTTTAAATTAAAAGTTTAATGAAAAATCCAACCAATTATCGTTTATTTTCTTTACATTACACCAGGATCTAAAAATTTTCATGTGATATTCAAACAATCGATAGTATTCTAAACACGTGCAGGTGTTATTTTTGTATTTTTGAATTATTTTTTGTGAAATTTAAATTATAAAAATGATTTCTATTGATGGTATATTGAAAAAAGCCTCAGACCAAGAGGAGAAAGCTCAACAATTAGTCACTGTTGATTCGAAACAAATCGATTTAACCTATGACTTGGCACATCTTGCTGTATTTGATCCGAATATATTAGATTTACAAGCTCTCAAGTGAGTATAAAACGTGAAATTATAAATAAATTAATTAATGTTCAATTATATTTTTTATGAAAAGGTGTGAAAAACGTGAAAATTATATTAAATCGTTGACCAGAGACAATACACAACTTGTTTTGAACCAGATTTGGAATTTGGAAACAAAACGGGTTGATAATGCAATAACTGCAGTGTTACCTAAACAAGCAGTCTATAACCTGCCACGAACTAAAACAATTCCTAAACCTAAACCTCCCACCAAATGGGAACTTTTTGCTCGTTCTAAAGGTATTACCAAAAAGAAAAAGGAACGAATGGTTTGGGATGAAGTTACCAAACAATGGCGTCCACGTTTCGGTTATCATTCGATTGCTCAACAAAAACAAGAAAATGAATGGGTGATTAAAGTACCTGATCAGGCAAACGTTAACGAAGACTATTTTGCTAAACGATCCAAAGAACGAAATGAACGTGTTGCAAGAAATGAATTACAACGACTTCGAAACCTAAATTAAAATTTTTTAACTAAACTAAACAAATAAACAAATAAATTTTTTATTCGAAAAAAATTTTTTCAATTAAAAGAAAAGTTTACCAAATTATTCTTTGAATCAAATTTTCCTCTCCATATGGAAAGGTTTTAAAATTAAAAATTAATAGTGTAGCCAAATTCAAACAGGTTATCCAAAATAATTCCAATATTAATCGAGTGATCATACATGCTTCTCGATCGATAATATGCAAACGCCAAAACAGATAAGGAGTGATGAAATAACGAAATTCAATCAAACGTTGTGGTATGATGACGATGGTTAGTAGAATAAAAAATACTATTTTTCGAATATTCTCGAATGCATTTCGAATCGACTTTTTAGAATCTTCTAAATAATTATTTGATGATGACCAATTTAAACAATTGAGATTAAACAGATTCCACATTGATACGGCTGTTATTATATATAATGGTAACGGAGAATAACGAGTCCATGGTCGATCTGTTCGATACCAGAATCGTTTCCAAAGATAAAAAACATAATGACGATTATCAGCCAATAAGTATGGATGTTCATAAGTGAATGGTGGTGATAGACAGTTAGCTAAAAGAATGGCTATCAATAAGAACCAAGATGGTTTAGAGATGAATTGTCGGAAAATTCGTAACAAATTATTTCGTGTTAAAATCCAAGGCCATGCAAATAAAAACACGAAAGTTAGAAAATATGGAATTTGAGCCAAATGTAGAACGGCCTGATGGGCATTTCGATCGCCCAATACAATTCCTAGAAAAAATTATAATTTTTGTTTAAAACCTATTTGATAATAAAAATGATTTATTAAATAAATAAAATACCTTGATTAAGATAGATGAAAGTAAGAAAAGCCAAACCATTCAGGATGTAACCGTAACAGTGTCGAAAAATTTGAAGTATCCAATCCAATAGAAAACAAATCAAATAATATGGATGAGAGAGCTGATGTTGATGCAAACGAAAACGCATCTTTATCGATCCGAATTCAAATTGTAACTTTTTATAATCATAATATTGGCTATAAGATTCAGCAAAAATCTGCATTGGAAAAAAAGATGTTAATACAATAAATCAATTTGAATGAAAAAAAAATAAAATAAAATCCATATATCTCTTACATTTATAGCTGTAATTGAAGCAAGAAAAAATATCCATATAATGTTAGTCTGACGAAACCAAAGCGATATAAAACCAATAAATGATGCCCAATTATTTTTTTGATTTAAATGATAATAGTACATAAGAAGTGTAAAGAATATTGATCCAGAATCAGTGTAGTATAAAAAAGTAAACATGAACATCGGCGGTAAATGAATGACAATAAAAGATGATAATTTTGTCAAGATCAAAACTTGACGTTCGACAACTTCGTTATTGGCAGACAAATTTTGGTTTAAAATTTTATACAATAAAATGAAATTTCCCAATGAAAATAAAATATTTATAAAACGAAGTGCAGCCAATGATTGGCAATATCCATTCGTGTTTGAAAGTAATAAATCAATAGGTTTCAATACCATCGTTGCTATTAAATATAGACCAGGTGGTGTAGTAATTTTTGCATCCCACTAAAAATATTAAAATTTTTTTTAAATATCTAGCAATTATTTTAAAAAAGGAATTTTTACCTTTGTGAAATTGCCTTGGCAATAAGAAAGTGTTTGTCCACGATGAAATTGTTCGTCAATGAATTCTTTTGGCTGGATTCGATTGAACCACAAAAAAGATAGAATGAAACATTCTATAAAATAGAATGAAAATAAAAATTCTGGTTTCTTTAACAGTATCATCATTTGTCTAGTCACATGATGATTATCAAGCCAAATTTGAATGGCTGTCAGCTGTTTTTCAACCACTGACATATATTCTTCTGTCTTTGACTTTTGTTTGGATGAAGATTGGTCATTTTTAGTAAGAGTCGATAATAGTATGGTTGAATCCAGATCATCGATTTCAGTTTCAATGGTTGAATCTAAATCTTCTTCAAATAAATACTCTCCAGGATGAATTAAGGATTTTTTATTTCGTGATAATGTAATCGATGATGTCTTAGAAGGATTTTCTTTGGTACTTGTCATCGTCTGTTTGATATTTGGCATCATTATTCGACCAGTGCGACGATCTCTTCGACGATATAACCAAGATGAAGGAGAAGAATCTCGTGGTAACTTGCCAGCTATTGAATGATTGTGGTATGGTATGGTAGGCGTGGATGATAAAGATCGATGATCCGAACAATTGACTGAATCCGGTGTTTGGGATCGTGAAGAATGTTGTGATGATGTTGAGAATATGGATGATTGATCCATAGATTGAATTTTAGCACGAAGTAAATAACATTGTGAACAATTACTTTGAGCCAATTTTTCGGGTGTCAACGAACGACGAATTGTAGACGTCGACATCAATGATCTGGATGACAACGTGGATTTTGGCGATTTGTCATTTGGTTGATTTGACATTTTTATAAATTTTTATAATTTTATTTACGATAAAAGAATCGATTTTCATCATTTATAGAATTATTACAAATATCAGAATTCTGTTGCAAACGTGTTGACAAAGAATTTTCTTTTCTTTTACTAATAGATGACGCTGTTTTTCGAATCTAAATTTTTTCATTTGAATTTAGAATTTTTTGTTTCTATCTATTCATATCGTGCACGCGTTAATGGGAAAAAATTTAATTCAATTAAATCATACAAAAAAAATGTATAATTCGCAACACGCGTGTGATCAATAAATTCAATGATTATATGATTTTTTTTTCTCAATTAATTCAATCGAAAAATTTGGTGATTTATGACCCATTATGTTTGATGCGAAAATAATAATAATATATGTATGAATGCCATTATTCCTGAAGAAAAAAAAAATTCCAATTTTCATTCAACTAATGCTTTGTTATCATGAACAACAATCAATGATGATGATTTCTGATGATGTTGTTCATTCGGTTCGTTTTCAACGCCATCACTATGATGATAGTGATGAGAATGATTGATCATAATTTTGGCAATAAAATCGGCGCTGACATTGAAACATTGTTTTATATTCATATAACGTAATGTCAATGCATTAGTATTGTTAATCATTATCATGGTTGTCGTCGTCGTCGTCGTCATACTCGTCGTTATTGTTGTTGTTGTTGTTGATAGTACAATATTTTTTATCGGCAATCTTATTCGTACAATTGTTATCGGTATTTGCATCAAACTTTTATATTGATGATGACGTTGAATATGTAATCCAAAAAATTTGAAAATAAATATTGTTTTTTTTTCACGTAACAAAATATTTTTGAGAAAACGAAAAAAAAAATTTCTCAACAATTTTTTTTTTTGAATAAAAATATAGAATTGATAAAGAAAATTGAACAGCATTAATTGATGAAATGTTAAAAATTTACATATAATTATAGCATCATTTATTGATCACTAAAACGAAACAAACAAAAAAGAAACTCTTTTTCAATGTCGAAATGATATATTCGAATATCTAATGTTTGTGCACAACACCGGTCTGGATCGACAACGATAATCTTCATTTTTTTTTGTTCTGTGGAATCAAATGAATGCATTAAAATCTTTTTCTCGTCAGTTTTTTTCCATTTTTTTTCTTTTTCTTGAAACAAGACATTACCATTCTAATTAACATTTGTTTGATGCTACATGATTCATTGAAGAAAACAAAAATTTAAATTCAAAAAAAAAAATAACAAAAAACAAGAAAGATGAACACAACAACAACAACAAAAATCACATTCTAACATTGATCATCATTGCCTTGATTTTTTTTGACGAAAGAAAAAAAAATGCGTGTATATGTATGTGTTTGAAATTCATTTTTTTTTATATTCGTTGTTGCTATCTATCGATTCTTTTTATGGCATTCAAAAAAAAAACAATGATTTTATCAATGTTTTTCACACATTTTCTTTATTTATAAAAAAAAATTAGCACGCACAACACAGCGATGGGTAATGGTAAATTCATAATCACATAAGCTATATAAGATATATAATCAATAATCAATGATCGATTAAATAGCTCAATATCAAATTGGTATATATTGATTTTCTGGATAGAATTTTAATTTTTTTTATTATAATTGCCATCTTCATTGTGTATTGAAATTGATTTCTCTCTCACTTTTTCGTGTGCGTGTTGATAGTGATTATCGTGGTCGACATATATGCTAAATATATGATAATTTTTTCTTGAATTTCTTTTCATTTTCGTATGAATAAACGAATCAATGATTTGTTTATAACGGAATGGGTGATTCATCATCAACATTATCATGAAAATCCAATGATCATCATCATATAAGATTTTTGTTTTGCATTTAATAATTAAAATTTTGAATTTAAATATTTTGAATTTTTTTTAAATATGTACCAAAGATGTCATGATTGGCCATCGGCAATTGTCACTTTAAAATTTTTTTTTTTTTTTGGAGAAAAAACCAATCATTTTTGTCATTGTTGGATTAAATTGAATTTTGTTTTTCATATCCATATCCTTGATTAAACAAATAATTAATTAATGTATAAATAAAATTAATTTTGTTTTTCTTGCAATTAATGGCCCATGTAATTCTTTGTGAAATTCGGTTCAAGGCCAAGGATATATCTGTGTGTTTCATTGTGATTTGACTCTTGAAACTTTGTCAAAGTTTATATCACATGATGACATTATTTATTATTCAGTATTTGTTTTGTTTTGAACACGCACACACACACACACACACACAAATGGTGAAAGCAAAAAAAAATCAAACTTAATAAATAAAAGAAATTCAAAAAAAAAACAACAACAACGAAAAGAATCAAATGGCCTTCAAATTTTATTAAAGTTTCAATTTTGAATAAAATCTATTCTATTCTTGATCATAAAAAAGAATACATTTTCGATAAGAAAATTAATGACCAAAAGCATCTTCAGTTAGTTTCAATAAATAACATTTTGGTTCGAAAAATGAACAAACAAATTTTTTTCCTTTGAAACACAATGATACTGTGTCATCACGAAATGTGTTTTCATGTTTCTTTGAATATTAAACTTACAATTATCATTTTGAGCAAACACAAACTAACACATTTGAGATTGTCTTCAATCATAACAACGAATCCAGGATTATGAAAGTCAGACAAATTGAAAATGAAACGAAGGAACAAGAAAATGAAAAAAAATTGAGCTAAATTGATATTGTGATCCGTTTAATCCGTGTTTTACTATGAATAAATTCTTGTCCTGTCCATTTGTGTATCTGTCATTTTTGTTTTTGTGATATGTACATAAAATTCGATGACAAGCTACTACTTACTGGATTACTAATTTCGTTTGTTCTTTGATTTTTTTTTCTGGGCATTTTTGGATAATTTTTGGATAATCCAAAAATGAATTCTTATATTCTGGATGTTTTTTTCATTTCAAACATTCACATTATACACACAAACAGTTTGAAGTATATTTCTCATGGTTTTTTTCAAATTTTGAAAAAAAAAAAAATGAATAAATAAATTTCAATATGATAATAATCTTCTTTATCGAACCCTTTGAATATAAATAAAAATTTGATATTGATGATTATCATTGTAAAAAATGAAAAATAAACATATAGTTGTATTGATATTGTGATTGAAAAAAAATTATAGCTTAATAGCTTCATCCATTTTTTTTTTGACATGGGGCTCATACAAACACCTTGAAGATTCAAGTATGTATTGTGAATTTTGCATGAATTATTTTTTCGAAACAAAATGAAAAACAAAATTCATAAATCTTACAAAATGTTTACGTAGAACATCATAGACATATAAATATTATATTGCTATTATTATAATACATACCCGGCTATACCACGATCAGTAATACGCCAACAACATTTAAGATTAATCCATTCTAATTGTTTCAATAATTTTCCAATAATTTTTAATAATCCATCTTCAATAGAATAAATATGTGCTAATGAAAGTCGTCGTAGTCCAAGACATTGGCTAAATATATTGATCAATTGATTATTGGTTACATTCCAACAATGGTCAAGGTATATGTTCTCCAATGTTGTTGTAAACATAAAACGAAATCGTTGCCCATAATCATCAACAGATATTGATCGTTTGTTGACCACTGTGTTTTTACAGATACATTTCGGATTGCCAACAACCATCATGTTCATCTTCATCATCATCATCATTTTATCTTCGTTAAATTTATATTTATAGCTATGTAAAAAGATTTCATTCATCAATGTTTCATCATCAAGCCAATAATGAAAACAAAAATTTAACGTCTTCATCGTTGTCGATGTACATCGTGGTTGTTGTTGTAAATGTGTACGTAATGAATTTTTCATATGATGATTATACAAAAAAATTCCATCATCATTCTCATCATCGATAATATAATGTTGATCAAAATCTTGACACACATCATCATTAGTGGTAAGCAAATCTATTTGTACGATATTTATTTGTCGATTTAAATATGAAATGATAACATTATAAAATTTTTGACTAACAAATCGTATTGAAAATAATCGTTGAACATGTATATGATGAAAAATTTTTTCAACAATCAAGTCATTCTGTAACAAATCTATTATTGTTATTTTAGTCAAATTTTCAGACATTGTAGAATCATGTTCTTTTGTTCAAAACAAAGTAAACAAAAAAAAACATCTGAATTCTGACAGGTTTTTATATCCGTTATGACTTGAGTATTTTTTTTTCTTTGTTGTCCAATATTCATAAATTGTTAGTCTTTTTCTTTGTGAAACGTGAATGTTTTTTGTCTCTGTCTGTGTATGTGTGTGTGTGTATGTATGTGCGAGAGAGAATTACGGTCATGGATTACCTAATGTTCCAAAAAGAATTACTATCATCATATTGTTATTAATCAAATCATATCATCATCATAATCATCATTATTATTATAAACATTATTATTCACTGTTTACTATTTCCAAAAAATTACCTTTTTATTACCGCACGGTATGATGTTAAAACATATATAAACCTAATTTTTGTTTGTACATTCATAAAAAAATCATAATTTATAAATGAATATTTTATATTGAATGTATCATATATGAACAGTTTTTGACATAGGAAATTTCCGTTTCGTTTATTCGGATTATTATTATTATTATTATCCTATTCATTAGAAAGACGTACAATTCTTATTTATTATAATCTAAATTTTCATCATTATGATCAAGGTATCATTATTCATGGTGTGTGTGTATGTGTATTTTACTATAAATAATCATATGTATTGATTTAATTGATTTCAATAATAATTTGCAGTGACGCAAAACAAGATCATCATCATCTACATCAACATTAACAACACATTGATCTTAATCGAATCAATGAAAACTTTAATCAATTTTTGAAAGTTCCAGAGGCAATTTCAGTGTTATTGTTTAAAAAAAATGATGAACCTTACACTTGTACATCTTGTACTCAAAGCCATGGAAGGGAATAAAATTTGCATATATTTGTTTTAATTTTTCATTTTAAAATAAAAAAAAATTTACCATTCCGCATATATTCATCCGCTGATTTTGCATTATATTGTCAATACAAATGATGAATGAAACAATTTTCCAATGAAAAGAAAAAATTAATACGCTTATTGCAAGTATATCAATACGGATTTTTTGAATTTTAATTTCGTTAGTTTTAGTTTTCATTTTCATCAGTTTAGTAATACTAAAGTTTCCTACATCGTTGCAATATTATCCTGCATTCACCTTGAAAAATAATTTATTTTTGAGAAACTAAAAAAAACTAAATAAATCCAACTTTTTTTATTGAATGATGATGATTATATGATTATCCGCTTGTCGTTGTTTACTTTATCTTTACACACAATGAATGAAACTAATTGATTATCATGATTATGTATGTACATTTTTTGAAATTAATAATTTTTTTGGACCAAATTTCTGTCTCAAATAATGACGAGCTTATATAATTGCTTTTTGATCATTAATTATGATGATGATAATTACCAATCGAATGCATGTTAACCAACTTTATATTCTGGCACATTTTTTTCATGTAAAACTTTTATTTAAAATTCATTCCATTCATTGGAAATTCATGATTAAAGATCGTAATTCTAAGTTTGTTATGTGAACAAAAAAAAATTATTCTTCGTCCCTAATATGATGACCACGATGAATTTTTCGTTAAATGAAACAGAAAAAAAAACTTGAATAATGAATGAATGAACCTTGAAATTGAATTGAATTTCATATTGTTTTTCTCATTGATGTGTCAGTAAAGAAAAAAACGAATTTAAAATGAAAAACAATTTAATCTACAAGAAAAAAAACCACCACGAATGATTTTATTACAATCATCATTAATAAATTCAATTTTTATCAGCAACATTTGATTTCAAAATTCTAATATGGCACGCAAAAAACTCTTAAAAAAGTAAACAATAGATTTAAATATATAACCTGAAGCGCAATAACAAGATAGATTCAATTATTTAAAAAAAAACAAAGACGAAAGACAAAGATTCGTGATAATTATCATTGTCAGGAAGTCATCGTTTTGACAATGAATTTTTTCTCTTTATAAATTGAAACATTCAAATGTCCAGCGTATTAAATGATGATGATCATCATCATACTTAGCCATTTCGATGGCAATGAGGACATTCAAAACAAAAAAAAATGTTTTCAAGGTATTCATGGATAATATTTTTCTCCATGTCTATAAATTGGACAAGAATTATTATTCAATTAAACAACAAAAGTAAAAAAAAAATTTAACACCATGGTCCATTAGTTATATTTATATGTTTTTATTCAATTCAAAATCGAAATTGTTTTTTTTTATGTGCCATGAACATACTTTGGATGATGGATCATCACCGTTTACACACCTGTCGATTTTTTTTTCATCTTCTAACCCTTTTCGGTCAATTCAATATAATCATTTTTTTTATAGCTGCATTGAATTATTGAATAAATCTTTAATTGAAATCAATGACGAAATTGACAAGATCATGATGAAATTTTCATCCACATCTTGAATATATTTTTGACGTTTACAATTCAAACCAACAAGTAACATTTAGTGAAGAGAATATAACATCATATCATAATGTATGATCTGATCTTATGGCAATGTTTAATGTTTTTGTGTTGTCAAAACTTTTCGATATCAATCATGGACACTATAGTGTAGTATATACTAGATATATTGTTGTTGTGATGAATCAACAATAAATGTGTGTAGCCAAAAAAAATGATCAAATTAAGGACTTGAAAATGAGATTTTTTCTTTTGTTGTAGATGATGAAAAAATAAAATTATTCTGATTTATCATGTTTCCAAAAACAACAGAATGTAAGTAATTAATATAAGAATTTAAATGGTATAATTTTCATATATAACAATGATCATATCATCAATCATCATGAAAAATTTAGATGGACATTCTAAAATAATGTGAATATGTATGGTAATGGTAATTTTAATCGTATTTTTTTCTGAGTTGATGATGTTTCATCACTGCATTAATCGATAAACGGATGAAACATTATAACTAGTTTTTGATGATGATGATTTTGTCTCATTCGAATCATTCATTTTTTTTTCTTTTCTTCTTCCTTTATAACGATAAATATATCGATATTTAAAACACAATCCGGAATAACCTTGAATTGATGATGGAACAAGCAAACATATCTTCGATGTTGATAAAAACAAAAATCTTTTATTTCCATATAGATAACACAACAATGATAACAAGAGAGGATGGGTCAATGTGACCATTCAGGAACATTGCAAAAACAATATTAAGGGCGTCATTCATTTTTTTTTTTCTCGTTTTGTTTTTTTATATTACTGATGAAATTGAAAGGAAGAAGATTCACTTTTATTGCATTACGTTCTCTTCGAACATTCAATTTTCAATCAATACTTTTTTCTGGATTTGAGAATTGTGCAGAAGAGAAACGATGAAATGAATTTCAAAAAAAAAAAAAAAAAAAAATGAAGATGAACATCACCATAATATTGAGGCTATATAAAAAGCCGATGATCAAAAGGGAATTGCTTGAATTTTTTCACTCTTTCACAAAAAAAATTGAATTTTTTTTCTTGTTAGCTCGCAGTGCGAGCTTGATTTTTTTTTTATTTTCGTTCATCTCAATCATAAAAGAATCGTTTCGTTTTTCGAACAAGCAGATTGTTTGATCGAGTGATTAGATTCGAGACAGAATTTTCAAAGTTTTTTCATATCAAAAAATTAAATGATGTTCCAGAAGGTAATGATCAAACGAAAAAAATTTGTTGAAATGTAAAACAATTCTATAGAACTTTAAAAATGGAAATTATTTCATTAAACACTTTTTCACTTCTGACAGCTAACAGTGGTTTTTGCCGTTGTGATTATAACCAGATTTGCCACCGCTGATCATTGGAAACGTGATGGCGATGAATGGTGGAAATCCTATGAAATTGCGTGAGTGTTTGATAAAAAAATTAATTTTGAAGTAACCATTATTAAAATAGTGAATATAAATAAAACGATTCCATTTACAGGCGTAGTGAAAGACAAGCGCAAGAATTTTTTCAAGAAGGTCAAATTGTACAATTGAATCAATTCGAAGATCAAGATGAAGACCATACATTGGCCGAAGTTGTTGATGATAAAGCACGTCCACAATTTATTTCAATTGCGACAGATCGAATAAGACCAAATCAACCATCACTAACAGCTAGTGTAAGACCAGGGGGGTTCGGTCAAAGAATTAGTGGTAGTCAAGAAATATCCACATCAACACAATCCAGACCTACTCAAGAATTTTCTGGTTCTATTCGTCCATCAATAGGAAGTCAAGGGGGTGGCATTCTTCTGGTTGCTGTGAACGAAGATGAACAACCATTACCCGCACCACGACCAGTTCAGCCATCCGGTCCATCTTCATTTGGAACATTGTCAGCACCAGCTCCAAGACCAGCTCCAAGACCAGCTCAGCCAACTGGTCCATCATTTGGAACATTGCCAAGCCCAAGCTTGCCAGCTCCATTACCGGCACCACGTCCAGCTCAGCCATCAGGTCCATCATTTGGAACATTGACAGTTCCAGCTCAGCCATCAGACACATCTTCATTTGGAACATTCCCAGCACCAGCTCCAAGACCAGCTCAGCCAACTGGTCCATCATTTGGAACATTGCCAAGCCCAAGCTTGCCAGCTCCATTACCAGCACCACGTCCAGCTCAGCCATCCGGTCCATCATTTGGAACATTGAACATTCCAGCTCAGCCATCCGGTCCATCTTCATTTGGAACATTCCCAGCACCAGCTCAAGACCAGCTCAACCTTCCGGTCCATCATTTGGAACATTGACAGTTCCATCTCCAAGACCAGCACAACCTTCCGGTCCATCATTTGGAACATTGACAGTTCCATCTCCAAGACCAGCACAACCTTCCGGTCCATCTTCATTCGGAACATTGACAGTTCCATCTCCAAGACCAGCACAACCTTCCGGTCCATCTTCATTCGGAACATTGACAGTTCCAGCTCCAAGACCAGTTCAGCCATCTGGTCCATCTTCATTCGAAACATTGCCAGCACCAGCACCACGTCCAATTCAGCCATCCGCTCAATCAATTGGATCTTCAGCCCGTCCTGCGGTAATTCCATCACCACAAAAACCAATTCAACCGTTAACACGTCCACAAGCTCAATTCAATATTGAACAACAAAAAGACATCATTGATGAGGAAGAAAGTCCAATTGTTCCTATTCAACGGACGAAACCATCCTCATTTGGAACTTTGCCCACACCACGTCCCTCGCTTCCCAAACCAATTCAAACATCCGGTTCATCATTTGGAACATTACAAAGCCCAAGCTTTCCAACTCCATTACCAGCACCACGTCCAGCTCAGCCATCCGGTCCATCATTTGGAACATTGACAGTTCCAGCTCCAAGGCCAGCACAACCATCCGGTCCATCATTTGGAAAATTGCCAAGCCCAAGCTTGCCAGCTCCATTACCAGCACCACGTCCAGCTCAGCCCTCCGGTCCATCTTCATTTGGAACATTGTCAGCACCAGCTCCAAGACCCGCTCAGCCATCTGGTCCATCATTTGGAACATTGACAGTTCCAGCTCTCAGCCATCCGGTCCATCATTTGGAACATTGACAGTTCCAGCTCCAAGGCCAGCGCAACCATCCGGTCCATCATTTGGAAAATTGCCAAGCCCAAGCTTGCCAGCTCCATTACCAGCACCACGTCCAGCTCAGCCATCCGGTCCATCTTCATTTGAAACATTTCCAGCACCAGCTCCTAGACCCGCTCAGCCATCTGGTCCATCATTTGGAACATTGACAGTTCCAGCTCAGCCATCCGGTCCATCTTCATTTGGAACATTGACAGTTCCATCTCCAAGACCAGCTCAACCATCTGGTCCATCATTTGGAACATTGACAGTTCCATCTCAGCCATCCGGTCCATCTTCATTTGGAACATTTTCAGAACCAGCTCCAAGACCAGCTCAGCCATCTGGTCCATCATTTGGAACATTGACAGTTCCATCTCAGCCATCCGGTCCATCATTTGGAACATTGACAGTTCCAGCTCCAAGACCAGTTCAGCCATCTGGTCCTTCATTTGGAACATTACCAAGCCCAAGCTTGCCAGCTCCATTACCCGCACCACGTCCAGCTCAGCCATCCGGTCCATCTTCATTTGGAACATTGTCGGCACCAGCTCCAATACCAGCTCAGCCATCTGGTCCTTCATTTGGAGCATTACCAAGCCCAAGCTTGCCAGCTCCATTACCAGCGCCACGTCCAGCTCAGCCATCCGGACCATCTTCATCCGGAACATTAACAGTTCCAGCTCAGCCATCCGGTCCATCATTTGGAAAATCACCATTTACAGGAGGTGTTAAAGGTCAAAAAACTTCCTCAAGCAGTCTAACACGCCCACGTTTCCCATCTCCCTCACCATCCCAACCATCCAGTCCATCATTTGGAACATTGACAGTTCCATCTCCAAGACCAGCGCAACCTTCCGGTCCATCATTTGGAACATTACCAAGCCCAAGCTTGCCAGCTCCATTACCAGCACCACGTCCAATTCAGCCATCTGGTCCATCATTTGGAACATTGACAGTTCCAGCTCCAAGACCAGCGCAACCTTCCGGTCCATCATTTGGAACATTACCAAGCCCAAGCTTGCCAGCTCCATTACCAGCACCACGTCCAATTCAGCCATCTGGTCCATCTTCATTCGGAACATTGTCAGCACCAGCTCCAAGACCCGCTCAGCCATCTGGTCCATCATTTGGAACATTGACAGTTCCAGCTCCAAGACCAGTTCAGCCATCTGGTCCTTCATTTGGAACATTGACAGTTCCAGCCCAGCCATCTGGTCCATCATTTGGAACATTGACAGTTCCAGCTCCCAGACCAGCTCAACCATCCGGTCCATCATTTGGAACTTTGACAGTTCCATCTCCAAGGCCAGCGCAACCATCCGGTCCATCATTTGGAACATTGACAGTTCCAGCTCCTAGACCAGCTCAACCATCCGGTCCATCATTTGGAACATTGCCAAGCCCAAGCTTGCCAGCTCCATTACCAGCCCCAAGACCAGCTCAGCCATCTGCTCCTTCATTCGGAACATTACCCAGCCCAAGCTTGCCAGCTCCATTACCAGCTCCAAGACCAGCTCAGCCATCCGGTCCATCATTTGGAACATTACCAGCACCAGCTCCAAGACCAGCTCAGCCATCCGGTCCATCATTTGGAACATTGACAGTTCCAGCTCCAAGACCAGCTCAGCCATCTGGTCCATCATTTGGAAAATCATCATTTGCAGGAGGTGTTAAAGGTCAAAAAACTTCCCAAAGCAGTCTATCACCCCCACGTTTTCCATCTCCCACACTGACAGTTCCAGCTCCTAGACCAGTTCAGCCATCCGGTCCATCATTTGGAACATTACCAAGCCCGAGCTTGCCAGCTCCATTACCAGCACCACGTCCAGCTCAGCCATCCGGTCCATCATTCGGAACATTGACAGTTCCAGCTCCAAGGCCAGCACAATCTTCCAGTCCATCTTCGTTTGGAACATTTCCAGCACCAGCTCCAAGACCAGCGCAACCATCCGGTCCATCTTCATTCGGAACATTGCCAGCACCAGCTCCAAGACCAGTTCAACCATCTGGTCAATCTTCATTTGGAACATTCACAGTTCCAGCTCCAAGGCCAGCACAACCTTCCGGTCCATCTTCGTTCGGAACATTGACAGTTCCAGCTCCAAGTCCAGCTCAGCCATCTGGTCCATCTTCATTCGGAACATTGACAGTTCCATCTCCAAGACCAGCTCAACCATCCGGTCCATCTTCATTCGGAACATTGCCAGCACCAGCTCCAAGACCAGTTCAACCATCTGGTCAATCTTCATTTGGAACATTGACAGTTCCAGCTCAGCCATCCGGTCCATCATTCGGAACATTGACAGTTCCAGCTCCAAGACCAGCTCAGCCATCTGGTCCATCTTCGATTGGATCTCTAGCAAGTCCTGCTCAACCTTCCTCTCCAACTTCATCATTATCGTCAGGTACATCTTCCGGCGAAGAATATGGTGTGAAAGGTGGTAGTAGTAAAACAAAAGGTCGCGGCTTCAATCCTAATTATCCTCGATTCAATCCACGACTAAACCGTGCTATAACTCAAGCTGCTTAACACCTCATTTGTATCATTTTTTCAAAGTGGTTTGTTTAGTTGGAATTTTCTTGTCATTTGTCACAAACCATGAATATTGTTTTTCTCTATCATTTTCATACAAATTTCGTTTCAGTTTTTTTTGCTTGCTTATGAATTTTTCTTTCAACTGCCATGCATTCGATTCAATATACAGTGGAAAATGTTTTACCTTCCCTATATAATAAAATTTGAAATATTGACTAGTTTCGTTTCAAAGGAAACGATTTTTTATTTTTTACATTTATTTTATATAGTCACTCTAACCACATTCAGCTACTTATCACCTATCTGCTTTCGATTAATCAATGAACGTGATTGAATACTAATATCTGATTTAAACGATGCTGGAGAACTTGGATTTGAAGTTGTCGATTTGGTTCTCAGACTATTTTTTGAATTTGTGGTCAATTTTGCATTATATTCATCATTTCTATACGACTTTATTCCACCACTCGATTCAATAATACGTCTCTTTATCGTTTCCGATAAAATTTTTTTACACATACCTTTGGAAAATTGTTGTTTTATAGCAGATTCTGATTTTCTGTGTTTAGTTTGAGCTCGATGATTTTGTTTCAAAGTATTGAATCCAATCTTTGATACAACACGACGAAATACATTTTCCTCTTCAAGTATTTGTACCATTTTTTTCTTATCTATTCGGATGGTTGGTATCAAAGGTTTTGAATGAGGTAACCGTGGACACGATGTCAATTGTATTGATGGTTGTTGAATGATTTTTGTTTTTGAAATCGATAAACTTTTACTTGTCGATTCGCGACGACGATGATGATGATGATCTTTGACGACTATTGTAAATGCTAGAGATTCTGAAAATTTTTCCATAGTTTTAGCATTCCTTTTTTGATCATCTTCGATTCCAATAAATGACTTTCGTGAACAAATCGAACCCATTCATTTACACTCTAACCATATTGGTTAATCAATCATTTTATAAAAAAAAATTCTTTAATTATTGAATTAAATTGAATTTTCAATTCTTAATTTTATTTTGCACTTAATAACAAAAAAAATATGCTAAATGAAGCTATCATTCAATTAAATGGTTTACTCAGTGGTTTCATTACAAAAGATCAAACTGTATATTGATAATGATAAATCAAATTCTAATGGCATCATTATTACATAGAAAAATGATCAATATATTCATAATTATTGTTTGACAAGAATAATACACTCGCAAATACATACATTTTATTATAATTCGATTTTCTTTTTTATCATAAATGACAGTCATACATAAGAGTATGTGTATGTATTTGTTTGAATACATATTTGACGTGAAAAAATATAAAGATATCTTAAATGGCCATTAATGGTCGTTGAATTTGTTATCTTTCAATCAATCAATCTTGACGGTGGAATATATTTTACGGGCAAAACTTTTTGTTCCCATGTAGCCAAATGTACCTGGTGTGATTATAATGAATAATTTTTAAAATGGAGTGAAAATATTTAATTTCCATCAACTTACCACACATGATACCCAAAGCAATGCTAAATAATGCCATATAACCGAAATAGAAGACTGTTTGAAATAATCCGTACATTTTGGTTTTGAAAAAGAAATAATAGAATGAATACAAATAAACGTAAATGGATGTAGATGCACCGGCCATAAAACTTGTCCATTGCCTATAATTCACAAAATACTTATTAGCATTTGTTTGTCAGTAAAATAACTACCACTTACCATCGATAATCCTCTGAATTGAGAAGAAAATATGTACAAACAATAGTCACACAAGAAGTGACTGCAGCCAAAATTAAGAATACCAATAACATGAAACCATAAACATAGTAGATTTTGTATGCCCAAAACGAAGTGAATATAAAGTACATCTCAATGAATATTGATCCAAATGGAAGTATTCCACCCAGTATCACTATGACCAATGGTTCCATGAACCATTTCTTTTCTGGTATCGGTCGTGGTACAGCATTGATTCTACAGGGATTATTGGACTGACCAGAAATATTACGTCCCAATACGGTACCAACTAGTGTCAAAGGTAGAATTATAAATATACAAATACTAGCGACAGCCAACTGTGAAAAAAACATCAATTATTGACTTGAAATTCTGCAAACAAATAAATAATTACCATCGTTGTAAATGGTATGGCACGTGATGCATGATAATATATAGCAATAAAATTTATGAAGAATGCAGTTCCACAAACAATCAATGGTATGGCGAATGCCGACCAAAACATTTGTTTGATCCAGTGTTTACCACCAAATTGAGCATATAAAGAACCACCGAAATAACCATTCACTGGAGATGCAGCAGCGTAAACAAATATGGCCACACTGAGTATGGAACCACGGCTAGTGTAAAGATCACCCATGATTGCAAAGATGATGACCAATAATGTAACGAATGCAATATGATAACCACAGCCGATCATTAAAGAGAATAACATAGGCATGGCTGGAGGACGAAATACATCTCCATGCACTTGTTTCCATCCATATTCATCGCCTAAATCTCGATCCATATCATCAAGTTCTTCATCACGATTATATCGAGCATAATCTTTTCTTAAAGTACGCATTAGAATCATTGTAACCAATCCGACGAGGAAAATGACCATCATAAACGAATTGAATATTGAAAACCAATGAATACGATGTTGAAAAAAATTTGGATCCAAATATTTGTCAAAACGATCTTCAAAATGAACACTTGATGATTTCCAATTAACTTCGTAAGAGAATTCTATTTCTTGGCCAATTTCCAATCGGACTTTTCCTTCACTTGTCATATTGACATCGACAATTTGATCACCATTGTAACCAATGTCGAATTTTTTATGTGTAAAAAAGTAGACAGCTGTTGAATCGGTTTCATCCAAATAACCAACAGAACCCATTATGGGAAGATCATCGATATACATTTGATACGAATAATAATTTTTGATAGCAAATTCAAATGTATGATAATTTTTTTTAGTCATTGTAATCTTGCAAAATGGTGTTTTCTCCATGTTAACTAAACACATGAAAGAGGAAATTAAGTTCAAATACAAAGATCTTTCTGATTCAAATGAACAAACCTTTAAATCGAATATCTAAACCAGAAAATTCCAATTCAACGCCTTGAATTGCTTCGCTTAGTGTTTCATGATAATGACTAATGCCTTTTTTTGGGCCACGACAAAATGGCAATGAAAAATATCCATAGGTTTCTTGACGATTATGATATGGACCAACGGTATTCATCCATAGAACAACTTCTTCATTATCTTCATACTAAATTAATCAATAAATTAGTCACAAACAAACAAAGTCAATACGAATACTTACAATATGTTCATGTTCATCACTAGCACCAAGCGGAATTTGTGCCATCAATAACATCAAAGACAAAAATAAAAGAGATGTTCGTCTTCTGAAAACCGACAAAGGCCGGAAATATTTTCTATTCATTTGCGAATATTCTGAAGTTCTCATCAATATTGATTGTTGGGATGATTTTTGTCCAGTCCTTTTATTATTATTCATTAATATTTGTAGATTCTGTTCGATATTATCATTCAACATCACATTTTCATGTTTAGAATTTTTGATCGTCATCATTTGGCTAGAAAATTTCTCGAATTTAGTCTGGTGCTGAATAGTGAATTTCATTGTTTCACTCGAACAAAAGGCACAAATCATTCAACACACATAAATACAAAACATCGAATTCCGAATTTTTTCAACGATTCGTAATTTATTGATCATGGAATGAAAAAGTTGCAATCAATTCATTGGTTTTTCTATGTAACGAAATAAAATACAACATTTAGATTCAATGATCATCAAAAGCAATGGTAACAATAAATTATTGATAAAATTCACCTCCAAACTTGAAAATTATCATCATTTAAATGGATCATATATACACGTCGACAATAAAAACAAATGAATGAATGATATCGCAGTAGACGGAATATGGATTATGATTAATTGATGGTTGTCGTTTTTTGCAGTTTGAAAATTCAAAATTTTTTTCTGGATACTTTCGGATAGGATTATAATACACAGCTGCTACGACGAAATTTAAAATTCAAACGATCAACACATTAATATCAGGATTGATGATTATGGTAGTCGAACAAAATCGATTAGACATATAATACAGATCAAATGATATCAATAGAAATTTTCTTAAATTAGTTCTGAAACCACGCCACCAAATCAGAGATATATACAATCGTTTATCGTTTTACTTTTTTTTTCATTTACAATTATTTGATATTCTAACACTTATAATGTTTTGAGCCGCATGCAAGTAAAGATTCTGCGCTAAATAGATATAACTACTCTAAATTTTTCTTTTGCCCAAAACGGTAGCTCCACGTCAGGCTAAATAATAAAATCCATTAAAATTTTTAATAAACAAGAAATATTTGGACACCATTGCCGGCATTCAGTGCACAAATGACATTATTTTAATCAATCGATCCATGATAACCTCTTGCATTGTTTACATTGTGTTTTAGGAATTTTCCCATTATTATCAAAGTTGTTTCATGATGACAATTTTAATTCGTTTAAATGAATTATTATGACAATTTTTTCAAAATTAAATTGGTTACGGTTCAATATTATGGCCAATATAGTGTCTATTTATTTTTTTCTATATTTAATAACAAATAACTGATTTGTATATGGATTTCTCGCTACAAGATGGCACTCTTTTTCATGTGTTAGAAAATTGAATTTTTTATTCTTTATTTCAAGAAAATTTGATATCTTCTAAGGAATTAATAATGGGTATACCGCCATCATTATATTGTATTGTAGGTTTTCTTAATGTAGATTTGGTAGACGTTGGTGTTTTGGCGAAACCTTTATCAGTTCTTCGCATAAGACAAACATTATAGTTTGCATTCAATGCAGCTTTTGCTTCTAAATATATATATAGATATATAAAGTAAAAGAATTTAGTTACATAAAAAAATGAATGATCAATTCTACGTACCATTATTATTATCGGTAATAAATAAAATTTTTGATGGTGATTCACCAATTGCTTGGGCAATATTCCAATAGGATTGTGGATTACATTTATCACCAATGGATGAATCGAAAAAATCATCAATCAACTAAAAATGAAAATTATAAATATGATTAACAAGACAGCATACGAAATAATACAATGTGTTTACCGGAAGACAATTTCCATGATTAGTACAGCAAAGTAATAATTGTTGAGCAGACACCATTGCCGAACTGAAAACAAAGATCTTGATTTGTTGTGAATGTTTCCAATTATGAAGAACGGTAGTGACCTCATCATATACATGGCCACGTAATAATCCATTTTCATAGCCCCAAATCCATAATAATATCTGTAGCTGTTTAATCTCTGATATACGATTACGATGTACAATATGTGCCAATGAATAATCACTGACCGATTTTACCACAGAATTTTTACCCGAAGACAATGGATAAATGTTAGGATCTATATTTTAATTATATCATTTTGAATAAAATTAAATGTAAATGCAAACTAAACATGCTTACAATCAGGATAATATTGTCGTGTTTCTCGCAATCGTTCAATCATCTCTTGACATTCTGGTCTATCGAACATTTCTTCAAAATATTTTCGAACATTATTCTTAGTGAATGGTAATAGGATGTGTGAAACGAATTTAATATCACTGATGGTTCCTTCAATATCCAACAATACGGCTATAGGTCGATTCATAGCAACCTGTTGAATAGGTTTTCGTGACATGATTGACCGATGCCATTGATCGAACAAAAAAAACGTATTTAAATTTCTATAAAATTTAATTATTTCAATTAAAACAAATTTTATTTCATAATCAATCATCAATAATTATTATTATATTTTTGAAAATGCAAATTATAATTGAATCATTACACTTAATAACTTCGGCCAAACAATGTGTAAAATTTAGCCATTTGCTTGCATTGTGGATGAATGCACAATTGATCAGAAGCCAATGTGTGTGGCTGATGTAACGGGATACATAATGATTTGGCACCCATTAATGGACCACCACCTTGTTCAGCCACATCTTCTTTGGCTGAATCTTTTTTAATCTGATCTTCACATTCTTGTCGCCCACAGAATGGTGATTGAATTATCGATTTACATTCTAATCGTTCCAAAAATGTTGACCATGAATCAGTGACACACATGTTATCCAGCAATAATTTTTGCGCCCGTTCAAACATATCTTTTTGTATACGTTCCAATAGCTCTGGTATAACGACATCAGCCTCGGATATATTGTAGGCATATTTCACACCAGTATCTCGTCTAACTGCTATGAATTTTTCTTGTTGTAAATCTTTGGGACCCAATTCAATACGTACTGGTACGCCTTTCAATTCCCAGTGATTGAATTTCCAACCAGGAGAATGATGTTCCTTATCATCTAATTCAACGCGAATATCTTTTCCGTTTATCAATTTATCACCAACAGTACGACAAGTGTACAATAATTTTTCCCTTTCTTCTGTTGTTGTCGAAGCTGTTATTCCACAAGGTACAATTACAACTTGTTTACATGCTACTCGTGGTGGCAATACTAATCCTTTATCATCACCATGTATCATGATTAGAGCACCGATGGTTCGGGTAGAAATTCCCCATGAATTTTGATGGGCATAACATTTTTGTCCCGGTTTATCTGGATCTTCAAATTCTATGTTGAACATTTTAGAGAAATTTTGTCCCAAATAATGTGAAGTAGCTCCCTGAATACCACGGCCATTTACATGAACATAAGCTTCACATGTGGTAGTCATTTGACCACCAGCAAATTTTTCCTTTTCAGTTTTGCGCCCTTTAATAACTGGTATAGCTAAAAGTTCTTGATAAATATCAGCATAAAAATCTAAAATTGCATAGACTTCTTCTAAAGCTTGTTGTTCGGTGGCAAACGCTGAATGGCCTTCTTGCCATAAAAATTCCCTAGTTCGTAGAAAAGGTGTAGGCTGTTTGAATTCCCATCGGACAACATTACACCATTGATTCAATCGTATTGGTAGATCACGATATGATTGTATCCATTTGGCGTACGATGGATACATTACTGTTTCAGATGTTGGACGTATAGCAATTGGCTCGGCTAAATCGGATGATCCGGATTTAGTTACCCATGCAACTTCAGGTGCAAAATCAGCGATATGAGTTTTTTCGGTTTCCAAAGCATTTTTTGAAATGAACATTGGAAAATAACAATTCTGGACGCCTAAACGTTTTATACGTTGATCAAAATAATGTTGTATCGATTCCCAAATCGAGTATGCCCATGGACGAAGTATATAACAGCCAGATACATCATAATATTCAATCATTTCGGCTTTCGTTATCACTTCCGTATACCATTCAGAATAATTATCACTCTTTTTTGTTTCAATACCTAAACGTGTTTGTTTTTTAACAGTTTTTGATCCAGTATCTTGCTGTTTTTGAGGATTTTTATTCTCTTTACGGGAAGACTTTGATGTTATTGAAGATTTTTCAGTTTTCTCTTTACTATTATCTTTGTTTGGTGATGATTTTGATGGCTGATTAGCAGAAGGTGTTGAATCTAGTTTCCAATCCTGACCAGTTTGTTGTTGAAAATCATTTTTTAATTTCAGCAATATTTGAATTTCTTTCTCCAATTGTGATTTTTCAACTTTTTCAGCTTTCATTTTGCGAATTTTATCACCTTGTTCACGAATCTGATGATCCAAATCAATACTAGTAGTAGCGGTTGAACTTGATGAAGAATTTTTAGTCTGTAGAGAATCTAGCTTCCAATCTGAATTGGTAACTTGTTTGAATTCAGCTTTTAATTTCAATAACAATTGTACTTGTTCATCAATTTGTTTTTTATCAGCCTTTTCTGATTTCAATTTTCTCACAAGATCACCTTGTTGGCGTATTTTATTATCAAGATCACCAACACTGGAAGAATCACCATCACTGCTGGCCATTGGATTATTATCAGCTGATTTTGGTTTCCAATCGGTATTCCAATCACTTCCAGATTGCTGCTTGAATTGACTTTTGAATAAAAGCAATTTATCAACTTCAATTTTAATTTGTTCTTTTGATGCTTTTGTTTGTTTTAGCTGTCGAACTACATCGCCTTGTTTTCGAATAAAGGAATCTAGCTCGACAAGTGATGAAGCGTTATTATTTTTCGAAGTTTGAACAGGAGGAGGTTCAACCCAAATGTTTTTCTTTTTCCAATCTTGAACACGTTTAGGAAAAATATTCAGATCAGTACTACCATCGGGTATTGAAATCAAATGAATTGGTCCAGGTTTACTGGAGCAATCTATCGTTGACATATCATATGATCTGTCACAAATGAAAAAGCCTTTTCGCTGTATCTGTATGATTCGACCTTTGGGCAATGTACTCAAATCACCATCGACAAAAGCTTCGATTACCATTTTAGAATCACGATTCAAAAATTCTTTAAAATCATCATCCTTTCCAAGAACTGGTTTTTTGATTATATTGTCAAAATAGACAAGCATTGCCGGTATTTTTGTCGTTTCTTCCAACCATGTAACCTTCAAAGTCTTTTTGAAATCTTTGTTATCCAAATCTAGTTTAGCTTTGATTGCCGTAACCAATCCATCAGAAGATCGTTCAATGGAGGTTATCTTTAAATTACCCCATTGTATAAATGTGACAGCTGTATTGGGCTGAACAAGTTGAGCATCTTGTTGATCAATCCACAAACGCTGCCCAATGGGTACTTGTCGTTGACCTAAATCTGAATTTTTAGGATGCAAAGCAGCCGATATTGTTTCATTTGGTTTGATAGTATCTTCAATAATGACAGGAACGGCATTCTCTTTTTCCACGGCCGAATAACGCAGAGCATCGGCATCGATTACTTTACGATTGAATGACCATATTTTATCCCAATCCATGACGACGACGGCTTTCGAAGAACCTTGTGCTGCAATGAACATTTTCAATCCCTCAACGGTCAAACCACGACGTAAAATTCCACGAACTGTTGGCATACGTGGATCATCCCAACCATCTACTAGACCCTAATCATGAATAAAAAAAATTGGTATTTTCTAGATAATTCAAATAAAAAGTAAAACTTACTTCTTCAACAAAATAGGTTAGTTTACGCTTGGACAAAACGGTATGCATAAGATTGAGACGAGAATAAGCAGCAATTAAAGGTTTTCGAATTTTGAGGGCATCACAGAACCAATAATATTGAACATCACGATCCATATATTCGCTAGTACGCAAAGTATGAGTGATGCCTTCAATACTATCGACAATCGGGCAAGCAAAATCATAGGTGGGATAAGCACGATATTTGGTGCCTGTACGTGGATGTTCTTGTGGTTTACATCGATAAATTGTTGGATCTCGCATGGCACCATTGTCTGATTTCATATCGATTTTGGCTCGTAGGCAATATGTTTGACCCTTGGTTGTTCCTTCCACCATTTCACGCCACATTTCTAAATTTTTCTCTACTGTATTCGATCGATTTTGTGATTCAATTCGTTCTTCACGTTCTTTTTTCATCTGTTCCGCATTAGTATCATCAACATAGGCTAATCCAGAACGTATCATGTCCTCAGCTTTAGTCATCATTAAATCGAAATAATCAGAAGTATATGTTTGTCGATCCGGTTTGATGCCCAGTAATTCTACATCTCCTTCGATTATCTGTCGTGAATCGAATTGGTATTTAATTTAATCTCTTATATCAAATCATTTTGTTATCATATAAATACCTTTTCAAACGATTCTTTCTCTTTTTCGGGATTTGTATCATCAAAACGAAAAACTAATTTGCCATTATATGCTTGTTGATAGTGAGCATTCAATAATGCTGCTTTTGCATGACCAATATGAAGATATCCACTGGCTTCTGGAGGGAATCGTACAACTACTTCTCCATCGATGGCACCTTCCAATTTGAAATATTTACCCTCATCTTTGCAACCACTGTTTTTTGAATTTGATTCTTTGGTCGGTTTTTGGGGAGCTGGATTCACTGTGATAGAATCAACTTGAGCTTTTAACACAACATTTTCATCAGATGTTTTCTTGACTGGTTCGACGTTTGTTGTTTTAGAATCAACCTTAACTTGTTGAGGTGATTGTTTCGATTTCTTTTTATCTTTGCCCATTTTTTAAGTAATACACAGTCAAAAAAAAAATACGTGTGTAATCACGATTTTTTGCGAGTATTTCGGCTATTCTCGGACACGTGGAAACATCCAAAGCTAACAGACAAGCGGCTAAATATTGTAGTTGTATTTTGTTTCTTTTCTTGTGTATTATCATTGAACTCAAAGTAAAATTCTTTTACAACAATAGTGAACAATTAGAGTGAAAATAGTATTTCAAAATTAAATTCTTGCAAAAACGGTTAGTTTATCATTTTGTCCATTAATATAATAATAATATAATATAACGAATTTGATTTCAATAAAAAAAAAAATAAAAATAAAATTCAATAAATTCAAATACAAAGTATTCGAATAACATTAAAATTATTCAAGTATATCAATAATAATAACATGTCTGTATTATTAGCTCATAAAAATGGATTACAATCCCGTAATAAAACGATTGATGATGATGATGACGAGAATGAATATAATCATATGAATCAAATCATCACCATAATGATGATGATACAGATGGCTATATTGATAGTATGCGCTTTTCATTATCATTTAAGTAAACCAACAAATCCTACACAAAAACGATGCCAAAATCGTACAATTGATGATGAAGTCGAAAATATTATTACAGATGAATCATCCAGTATAACGATGAATCCTACTGAAAATATATGGACTGTTGAAAGTTTAACGAAAAATTGCCTACAAACAGAAAAGAAGAAATAAATTATGAATGCGCAACAAAAAACAACTTTAATTCATTTCAACAGTTTTAAAATCATTTTCTTTTCAAAATCATTCAATAAATTAATTTCATTTTTAAAAAAAATGAATTTACATTCTTTTCAAATGTCGCTTTATCCGCTGGACATTGATCTCATATTTCTTTTGCTAGGTGATGAAGAACTTTTTCGTCCTAATGATGATGCTTTTGATTTGGCAATCAGCGATTGTCGCTTTTCTGACGATATGCTACTTTTCGATGTCAATGTTCGGCCAGTTGATGCACCAAATTTTGATTTCTGTGTCATTGTTGTTGGCGTTTCCATCGATGAATCACTAGATAATTGACTGCTCAATGGTGCATCAGTACTATCTTGAATTGTTGAAGTAGTTTGTTGCTGCTTTTTAAGTTTTTGTTTTGGATATAACCAAAACGATCCATAAATTACAACGCCTATTACAACCAAAATCGTGATAGCTGATAATATGCCCAAAATCATTAATATAGAACTTTTTCCTTCACTTTGCCCTTCTGGTATTATGGCAATATTCGGTTTCGTTATTCTTTTCTGATCACTATCAATCTGCGGCGGTGTCGTAACGTATTCTTCGGCTTGATCTGGAACTTGTCCACAAATGAAAAGTTGAGCTGATGGTTTTGTTGCGAATTGTTTCTCCAGATTTCTGTTGAAAAATACCGATACATCAAAGAAGTATGCATTTGAATTATTCGATGAAATCAGAAACACGTAGTTATCCACTATGAATCCAAAACGAATACTAGAAAACATTTCAAATGTTGAGCCACAATCTTCATTATCATCGGAATGTTGTAGACGGATACGTGTATTGTAACTCTTTACATGGAAACACAATTGTCCCAAAGGTTTTTCTTTCAGAAGAAATGACGTATATACCAACGTTTTCTTATTTTGCATTGCTAACATTAAATAATTCAGATGACTTTGGCCTGCAGAGGTATCGCTTTGAGTATCAGTACTCCAAATTGGAACGATATTAGCATTTTCGGACAAATCTTCTGTCAAGGAACTAAAATCAAAAACTCTTTCTTCATTTATATCTTGAAGCATTACACGATGCTTCAATTTATCCACCATATGGACAACAATAAATGGTCTGTTATAATCACTTTTTTGCGCAGCTAGATGAATATTTTGCAATGACGGGTCATTTGAAACACTTGTCTGAAAAGTTCCATCTTTCCAAAGATTTGGCAATCGAACTTCTGCTGTTGTAGCATTACCATTCACCAAATAGATTCGCTGATCTTTACCAAACAAATATTTCATCCGATAATATGGATAAATGGCAAACGAATGTTTATTTGTATATTGCCAAATATGATTCTCAAATATGCCCATCGATAAAGTTTCATCCAACGAATATCCAGATTGTGAACAATCAACCGATTCCACCGTTCGAATATTAAGAGCAGTAAAGGCGACAACAAAAAAGACTGCGATGATCAACATTTTCATTTCGAACAAACAAAAATAAAATTCAATAAATGAAAATGTCGATGTAAAAGTGAATAAATGTTAAAATCATAGTATTTTTAAAAAAAAATCATTTAATTACTCAAAAAAATAAAAATTCTCAATTAGTTTGTTATTAAATTATGCTTTTTCGATATGCTGTTTGTTTGTTGTTTTTTCTGTATAGATCCTTCACTAATAGACGATGTTATACTTTTTAATTTTTGAAGTGATTTCTTTCGCCGATTTCCATATACAATAGTTATAATTGTACCAAAAACAGTCAAAACAAATATACTGATAATGAAAAGAATTTTATAATCAAAATTAATAAGCCAACTTTGTTCTTCAATTATTGGTCTTGTAATTCGTTTTTTAGATGCCATTACATTATTATTATCTTGATTTTGAAATTCATCAGATTCTGTACAAGTAAAAATGTCTTTGAAATTTTTTATCAAAAAATCTGTCACTATGTTTGGTGAATAAAACAATGATTGATCGAAATGATATAAATTTTGTGTCAAAATCGATCCTAAATATACATATCCATAGGCCATATATGCAAAATCGATAGTAGACATTATTGATGCTGTTGAATGACATGTAACGTTTCCATCGATTGATTGTAGACGGATTTTAGATCGATAAGAATCTTCAACAAAACAAATCATTCCATATGGTTTTCTATTCAAATATAACGAATCAAATACAAATGTTTGATTTTTCTTTTCATCAATAGTTATGATCAAAAAATTTATCTGATTTATAATAATGCTTGCATCATTATCAGCAGTCCAGATTGCTATTATCTTGTCATGTTTATATTCATTTGTCAATTCTTCAGCGATAAAGTAATAATTATTTCCTGTGCTCGATTGAATTACAATTTCATGAGTTGATTTAAATATTACGTGAAATATATACAATGCTTCCATTAATGATTGTTGAACACAAAAACTTATTCGATTTTCTTCTCCTCCTTTTTCTAAGATTACTTTAAAATCTTTATCATACATGAGCACTGGATATAGTTGAGCAAATTTCGTTACTTTTCCATTGGCCAAATGAAAAAAATCATCTGTATTTCGAATTGGATAAATGGCAAAGGAATCGCTAAAGGTGTATTGCATAATCTGACCATCGAAGATACCCAACGAAAATGTATCATTTAACGTCAAACCTGGTTTAGAACAGTCAACCGTGAATACGGATGGAATGGTTCGAAATAAAACGATCAATATTATTGTAAACATCGAGACTTTTTTTTGTTAATCATATTTGAATTAATTTTGAATTTAAATATAAAAGTAATTTTATAATTTAATCAATGAATGAATCAAATAATGATTTGACATTCAGGATTTGTAAAATTTTCAAAATTTTGTACACGTTTCCAAACACGTGGTAGATTTTCATTATTAAATTTATGTGTGAAAATTATCGACTTTTTAAAATAGCATAGATTAATGTTTTCAGCTTTTATTCGATCATTATATCCTGGAAAATGATGATATTCATATTTGATTCGATACTTTATAATCATTCTATGAGGAATTAGACCAGTAAGGAAAACATCTTCCCAAGGAAGAGCAGGCATCGTATCCAATACACCGGTAGCATAGGTCAATAGCGAATTTCCAAGACCAGATAACATCCAATTAGCATCGGTATATTTGGGATAATAAACGTAGGGATAATCTTCAAAAGATGTGGCAAATTTTGACCAAAATCGTATTGCACGTGAAGAAGCCCGTATATTACCATACACAGATAACTTTGGATAATAATTATCGAGAATTCTATTTTTATTCTGCATAATCTTTGAAATAAATTTCATGAAATTTTCATAATTAACCAATGAATCTCCGTCAACTTTATAGATATTTTGAATCAATGGACAGTATATTGAAGCCCAACGAGCAATAGCTAATGATTTGATTGTCAAACGTCTATAGCTTTCAATGAATGGCCATTGAATTAGATCATGATATAGTGAATATTCTTGTTCAATCATTGCTTGATGAGCTGGATATTTTGAGTGACCAATAGCGAAATATAATCTTATTTGTTGAGTATTTTCAATAAATTTTTTTGCCCATGTTTGACGGATATGAGTACGTAATAAGAAATCATTTGGAGCGGTTATCACAAATATTAGGGCAGATAAATCAAGACCCAATGATTTTGAGTCACAAATTGTTCCACCGAAATTTAGATAAGTTATTGAATGGAATTCGGCAAGCTTCAAATTAGTAGTCCATCCTTGTTGCCGTCGTTGATTGATTGAATAATCCATAGTAAAATTCTGTGGATAATTTAATCGAAGAATTTGATCAATACGTGATACAACATTTAAATGGTAGTCCAGAATTTTGCCTAATAATAAAAATAATAATTTTTATTTCAATTATTCAAATCATCACAAATTAAATAAATAGATTAACTTTACCGAAAAATGATTGTGGAAAATCTTGTTCGATTTGTATGACAAACGAATTCGAATTTTTCCATCCTTCAAAACTACGAAATGATAGATTGAAATTATTAGCTAACGTCCAAAATTGCTGAAATGATGATGATGATGATGATAATCTGACAGATGTATTTGGTGAAATAAGAAATAAGGATCGTTGATGATAAATCTGTAACAATTGTTGATGAATATCATTTACATTCAACATAAGAGATGATTGTTTTTCGGATCAGCTATGGATAATTGTATAATTCTTTTTACATAATTTTTCTGTGTTTCTTCCAGATCATATAATTGATTTGAATAATAAACAAATAAGAATAATAAAGACATTGATGCAATAATTATAATATAATGAATCAATCGATAATAAAATCGTGAAATACGTAGCATGATGAATTCAAATGTCACATTAAAACAATTATCACATTAAAATCTATATAAATATATGTTTGAAATAATTATGACTAATCAATATTAACAAAAGAATGATCGTACATGATTCCGTATTTTTTTTTTTTTTTTTTTTTTGTTGAACCAAATAAACCAAATAAATAGTTAAGTTTTAGAAATAATGTAAAATTTTATCAGCTAAAATAAATATCATTTTTGATAATTTGTTGCCATGATACAGATGAAACAACAATATAGATTAGAAATTAAAATCAAGAAAAGAAACTATAAAATCATTTTTTTAGCGAACCAAATCATATAGATGTTTGTAGTTATTGGCCTTTCTATTGCCATTAATTAATGGTCTAGATGAAATCAAAAACAACAATACCAAAGGAATGTAATTAATAAACGGGAAAGTGCTTTTTGTTTTGCTTTTTGAAGATCATCATCTGTTCCCCAAACGGACAATATAGAAAGATTATCATAAGGCGTTTCTTTTGCAATCAATTCAGCCCAATATTGATATTGATCGACCTGAGATTTTTCTGGATGTAGAATACAATGAGCTCGACATTTGATTAATTCTGCGGTTTTGTTTAGCAAAATATCGATATTTTCGATGACCGTGTCACAAAGATGTTTTTGCATAAATTCATTGATTTCACCTGGCACTAAATTACGAATTTCATTAACAAGTTTTTCATTTGAAATGATTTGTTTAAAGAACGAATTAAGGTTAGATTCTGCCAAACGATTTTTTTCTTGGTTTGTTTGAAAAGCTATAATTTCAGTTCTGAGATTAAATGCACTTTCGGATTGATCATTGCTTAACGGTGTATTTTTCGGTATCCGATCCAAAATTTCATCAACCTTATCTAAATGTTCATCTCGCATTACTGTCAACATTCTTTCCGCCGCTTCGCGTTTAGCTGACTTTTTTGATTTGCCCATACCGTATACACACAAATTCATGTTTTCAATTTTACATTGAAATGTAAATAATCGTTCGTGAGGCAATCCGGTTGATTGAGCTTCTTCATAGATTGGTGGATGCCAATGCTTTTTCATACAGATTTCTTGCAGTTTGCCTATAGGATTTTCTAATTCCGACCAAGTACCAGGCATTGTTTGTCCTGGTTTAATTATTTCTTTATTAAAACCTTTTTGGCCATTGGTTGATGATTCATTCGATTCACAAGTTCGCTTGTTCTCAATGATATCCACCGATTCATCAACATCTTTTAAACTGTCGAGAATATCATTACGATCTTCTTTAATGTCTATTTTTGGATCTTCGAACAACCTTAATATCATTTTTTTTGCCGCTAAATGTTTGGCTTTCTTCTTTGATTGACCAGATGCTTCTTCCACATGTTGATTCACTTGTACACGAAAAGTAAATGTCGGCAAATGAACTTGTCCTTCTCTTGATAATAACGTATAATCAGCCTTCGTATTGTTGTGCATGCAAATAACATGTAATAAAGAAATTGGTGTGTCCATGGTTCTAAAATAATTAATAAAATAACATAATAAATAAAATCAAGTTAAAAACAGAATTAAGAAAATAATAACTTGAATCAACTCAAAACGTCCTACATGAAGGGTTCATGTGGACGATCATGCTTAGCGCGTTTTGTAAACCGTTGTGATTTTGAAAGGTATAAATTTTTAAATCTTTTGTTTTTTGACAGAAATCGTTAAAAAATGGACAAAGAATCTGTAAAACGTAATCATATAATCAATATATTGAGAAATCTTCATTTTGAATTATTCTTAAAAAAATTTTCACCCAAAACTGTCATAACAAGGTTTGTAGATAGTAATAATGAAATTAATTTGGATAAATTTTACATTTATTTCATTTACAGTCAATCGTTCGATAAACTCACTCCCACACAATTCAGTCTATTTTGTTATTTTCTTTTTCATCGACTAAATCCGGAATCATGTCATTTGCGTTTTCGTGGCGTATTTCCATCTCGTGATATTCAACAAGAAGCCGAATTTCGACGTCTTGCCATCGAAACTATTAACGATTTTGCTGATCGAAATCCAGAACCATTAGTTAAATTGAAAAAAATTCCTCATATACATTATCAACGTCTATCAGGAATCGTTTTCGTTGAACAGATGTTCAATTTATCTCTTTATGTATTGATCAATTATACTTCTAAATCAAAATTTCAACCAGCAACCAAAGAGCTTTGCGTATTGGATTCCGTCGACAAACGAAAAAAATTTGTTCATCAGCAATCTATCGTACAATATCAGAATGATTTGAAACAATCTGAACAACAAGTAGAGGCTTTTATTAAAGAATACGAGCAAAGAATCGAGGAATTGAACTCAAATTTATCTCATCTACGACAATATGCTTGCATTGATAAATTGCAAAAAATTAATGAAAATTTGGCTATAAAATTATCAAAAATCACTGATAACATTCGTAAAATGCTATGTCGATGGAACGAAATTCTCTCATCAAATGAAAATTTGCGATCACATAATCAAGACCAATCTAATTTGATTAATCTTTCAACGAATTTCATTGTGAAACTAAAAGAAACAATTAAAGAATTTGAATACTTTGTTCGAAAAGATGATGATTCCAAAGCTAAATGGTTAAAAACATTTCAACACTTTAGCTTGCTCAATGAAACTGTTTTGAAAGTCGAATCAAAATTACGTGAAATCTCCGCACAATTTGTTGAAATTGAACAGGAGAAAAATGAGATTTTATCTCATGAATTTGCAAAACAGCTACGCAAACGTATCGAAAATCATCTGGAACCATTGTTAAATTTGGATCTTCAGTTAAAAATCGATTAAATCAATGAAACCATAATTTTTTTCAATATAACAAAGTTTTATTCGATGAGGTAGAATACAATTTGAAAAATAAAATAAAAATTTTAATAAATTTTTTACAATGAATTTAGAAAAAAAACAACGATGAACTGATGAGTTTGACTTAGATGTTTAATTTGAATTTCGATTAAGATGAACGTCCTCTCCAACGTTTCCGTCGTTCACGATCCAATTCATCATTGTCATCCATATAATTATTCCTGTTCATAACAGAACATTCACCATCATCTTTGGTATCCGCATAAATCTGTTCATAATTCAATTGATTTTTACGACCTTTGATTGTAATCATGAATATATATTGTCGACCTGGTTGTAATTTTTTAATTTGTTGCATAATCAAATTATTGTTGATACGTTTTTGTGTTCGATATCTGAAAATAAAATAATGGATTAAGAAAATTTTTTTAAAATTACAAATTTACTATACCTTCGACAAAGAACTTTACGTGTTGGATAAGAATGTTCGTTCAAGTAACGATCATCCAAAACAACCATATGGTTGACATTATTATCATTATTATTGTCAGAATCGTTCGGACTAGAACTACGCCTATTTATTGTTGGTGGTTTAATTTTTTGACATAAATGTTTTGATTCTTCAAAACCGTGACCATATTTAGCATCACGTTGCAATATACAATAGGTAACACGTTCATCAGGTGAAGCATTCCAAACCAATGTGACCGAATCACATTGTTTTAAGGTTTCCATTACCTATGCGAAAAACAATAATATAATAATTAATAATTAATAATAATAATATGAAGTAAAATTTAAATTTACCCGTATAGATTTGTCGTTAGGTAAACGCGGAAATGGAAATTTTGATAAAGAATTTGTAACCAACAACACCATACTACGACTTTGCATCATTGCTACAGTATTGAGCTCTATAATCAAATATAACATTCCAGTATTGATTGTCCGATATGAAACGGGTATGGTAAGCTCGATTGTTCTTGTTTCCATGATTTCTTCGAAAAACAACATAGCATTATCAGTATCACTATCTGTTAATGGATTATAATCATCCATTATTTCATCTATAATGGAATTATCTGCCATATCAAAATTTTCCTGACGTCGATGATGCTGATGACGTTTTCTTCGAAGTTGGTCAAAATAATTGAGAGAAATTTCTTCAACATTTAATTGTATAGATCCTAATCCAATGCATGGTTGAATATAAATATAGAGTTTATTATTCTCTTCATTTGGCATAAACGGCAGTTTAAATAGAAAACGTTTGCGGTATTGATTTTTGAGTCCAAAAACACTCCAGTGAATAAACTATCATGTAATTGTTGCATTGAATGAAATTGTTCGCGCCAAATTTTCTGTTGAGTATGATGATCTATCAATGTAAAATTTGCTGTCCAATATTTTGATTGTAATCCATTGAGGTGATTAAGATTGCGTACAAATACATCGACAAAATATAATTGTCCTGGACGTAAGTCATGCACAGTCATTTTTGTCTGATTCGAACAGATTCGAATTTCTGATAATTGAATTTCTGATGAACACTTGTCTTTATATGGATAATTTTCCTGTATGACTAAACAATATTCGTAATTTTGATGTATATCCGATGAAATGACTGGATTCCACCAAATTTCAGCTGAAGATTGATTAAAAGTATCAAATTCTCCATACACTTGTTGGATCAAAATTGATGCTACTGGAGGCACAAATGGATATGGCATCGGATTAGATTTTGAATTCAAATACAATTGAATTGGAACATCAGATTTTTCATCTACTCGTTCATCGTTGTATGGAAAATTAGATTCCATTTGAATTATATAAAGACCTGGTTGAAAAACTATTCCATTTCCAAATGTTGTTCTTGACTGTTGCAATAACGAAGATGATGAATGCAACAGGTGTTCCAAGACCAGAAGTTTTCGATGATTTTTAGAACGTCTTGATAATTTACGATTAATCATTCTGGTCCATATTCGTTGAGTTTGACGATCATTCGATCTACGACCAATTTTTCGTTTATGAACTATTTTTGGCGTGGAAATTCTTGATGAAATCAATAACTCTGGAATCAAATTTTGTTTACTTACATTTTTTTATTGTTTTTAAATTGATGAAATATAATTCAATATGTATCGTGGGTTGACTATCACTTTGACCACATAATGTAGCAGTTAGTGATATATTTTCCGTTCGTTTGAATATCTGGAAATAAAATCTAACGTTTTCAAATGAAATTCAAAAATATAAATTATTAAAGTTATGTAAATCAAGATATTATTAATTCAATAATTTGTTTATTCTATGAATGAATCCAGTTTGCTACTCGATTTTTTCAAAAATTGATTGCAAAAATCAAGCCTGAATGTTAATGGAAACATGCTGCCAGGTTCATCGAAAAGAATTTTGATATTTAAATACTTGTTTTTGCTTTTTAACCATAAACACTACGTCAATCTAATTGAAATCAAAATTTCAACATAGATTTCAGTGAAATATTAAACAAATTTTTTTTTGGCAAAGAATATTTCGATCAAATGTTAAATGATAAAGTTATTTAAAATTTCAAAACTATTTGAATGGTAACGGAAATGTCATCAATCATCGATTCATAGTGGAATAACGACGAAACAAAATATTTCAATCAAATGGAAAAAACAACAGTAGCTAAATAATTTCGTAATGAAATCATTGCACGTTTTTTTTTCTTATGGATATACTCATCACCATTCATCATCAATTATAACTACTGACATAAAGTAAAACTCACAATTTTGTCTTGTTTGTCATGTCTAAAAAAGAGCTCATTAAACGATTCGAATTATCAAATCCAATAATTATTGGTCGATTTTCTTTAAACACAAACGAATTATTCGTTTCAAAAAAAAAAAAAGTAAAATGATTAGTCCGGGAGAATCACATTAACAACAGTGTTTTTTCTACTAATTTGCATTTATTTTTTGGCATTCATCCAAACAAAGAAACAAACCAATAAAACCAAATATAAACGTATGTTTTATTCGGTTCTACATCATTGTTCATGTAAATACAGATTTTGTCGTAGTTTCAGGATAGAATCATGAATGAATGAGTGTTCTAGTCAACATTCAGCGACAACAACAACCACAACAACAACAACATCAGCTTTGAATTTATAAAATAGAAGAATATAAAATTAGATCAACATCATCATGAAGATGATTGGTATATTCTGATTGGTTGTATTTGTTGATATTATACAATAATGATTCATACCAACCAGAAAAAAAACAAGACGGCAAAAAATCAAAAGCAAACGACTTATCTTTGAATGAGCAACCAAAAAGAAAAAAGTTCAAGTCTACCATCATCATCAATGCGACGAATTAGAATCCCATTGGACTCATTATTATTATAAAGCGCGTTAAACGGTATCGCACATTTGTATCTATCATCTATCATTTCGTTCATATGTTTGTTTGTATATATGTGTGTATGTGTGTGTGTGAATTATTTTTAGATACAATTCTAAATGATTCCCATCTATTCCTCATCTTTATCATCATCAACATCAACGTTTGACTGATAATCAACTTTTTTTCAACTTGCTCAGGGTTAATCAACTTGAACCGAGTGAGTGATCTAGATTGACAGACAGAGAGAGAGAGAAAGAGGAAAACCCAAAAAAAAAAAGAATCAAACAGGACATTCAAATATATAAATAAATAAGAGAATAATGACATTCGGAAATATGAAATTAACTCTATGATGACGATTATTGAAGATGATAAAAAGATTTGACATAATTCATAAATTCTAGCCATTTTTATGCAATAGAATCATTTGTGTGGTTATGTGTTTGGCTAAAAAAAGAAACTTCCTTGTTTTTTGACTATCACATCATAAAATAGTGAAGGCAATTAATTAGCAAACTTTATGGTCCTGAAATGACGCATTCAATGAATAAATTCTTTGGCTAGAAATTTTATTATAACTTGAATAACACTCTTTTCACAAACTTTATGTAGAAACAAAATTGAATTGGAAATTTACAAAAAGTTACCTTTCTGTTTTGGTTCCATGAACAATTAAATCCATTGCTTGATCGAATGGTAATTGTCGTTGAAAAAAATATTCATCATCAATGGATGGCAAATATGAGGATATTTTTTGTTGATTTTTTTGATGATTTTTGTGATCAACAAATTCATAAGTCCAATCAATAGGTTTATTGTAGGAAAAATGATCGGAAAAATTTGAATCAGTCGTAACGATATTTTGTTTGACATTATCATTAGATTGAACATGGATGAATGATGCTGATAAAAAAATGAAAAAACAAATAAATATTTGCGTTGAATGAATCATCTTGTCGATTTTGGCATTTTTTTTTTTTTGGTCTGCCAATTGGTCCACGATTATTATATGATAATTATTATTATTGACAAATAACAAATCCTGGATCCAAAGTTATATATCGGATCAAAAGCGAATAAACGAATTTAGATCAAGCATGAATGCCGAAATGGCAATAACTTGATTAGATTCAACACTAAAGTTTATATGGTTAAGATGAGATGATTATTGCATTTTGTAAACGTTCGGCAAGCATCCGACCAGCATTGACTAAACCATCACTGCCACCACCAAACACCATTTAAAAACGAAAAGGAATAAAAAAAAACCTAACCGAATATAACTGCTACTACCACCCATTAAATTTTACCATTTAATGATGGTTAAAATTGTCGGTTTTTTCTCTCGTTTTATTCGATGGATTCGCCTGTGGTATTGGTGATGGTGGTGGTGGTGGTGGTGGCGGTTATTCCATATTATTTGGTTTAAATAGTTTGAATGAAACAAAATTCATGAGAGCAGACTGAATGAATTTTTTTTCTTTTTGAATAAAGGCCCTCGAGCCTTTACGAAACAAATGTATAATGACCAAAACAAAACAAAACAAAACGAAAGTCGAAATGATCATATAAGAACCGCCTTATAAACACCCGAATGGTATAATCGAATTGAATTCAGTAGAATAAAACAATCATTTGGTCAGTTTGTTAGAAAACAAAAATCAACATCAGTGAAAAAAAAATAAAAAATTCAAATTTATTTCATAAAAAAAAATAATTTTGTTTGTTTACAACGAAACCGACAGAAAAATATTTCTCCAAGAAACAATAATAACAACAAAAATTTATAGTAGAATTTAGTTTTTTATGACCCTCGATAACGAATAATAATAATAATCGAGAGTGTTGTTGAACCAATAATAAAAAAAACCTTTCCTTTCTTGCTGTGCATAGGGTTGAAGACTTGAATTGCGAACAAAAAAAAAGGTCAAATCCAAAAAATAACAATCATGTCAAGGTAATCAAATAATAATAAGTATAAAGGTATAAAGGTGTTAAAATTATCAAGTTATCTTTCTATAAAGATGGTAAAACTGGTAATTAAACAAGAAGAAATGGAATAAAAATACACGCACACACACACACACACGAGCGCTAACACCAAAGACCAAACCTGAGACCTGGGGCCACAAAGCACTTTGTTGATTTTATTATTATTGATTTTTTGTATCGTTAAGAAAAAAAAACGATGATGGTTTTGAAAAAAATGTGCCATTAATTGATTTTTTCTTCTTCGTAACTTGAATGAATGAATAAACCAGAAATGTGTGTGTGTGTGTTTGTGTGTTTTCAAGAGAATCGGTCTGATAAATTACCATGATGATAATCATCGACAATGATGATCAAAATTTTTTTTACCATTCGAAAATTCAAACAATAATATGGTTTCGACATGAAGTTATTTATGGAACACCACACATGGCTGGTGTTTGGTTCATATGTTTGGTTCTTGCACGTCATCATCGGGTTTTTTTTCGTTTTGTTTATAAACTATTTTTTTCATTCATTAAGACTATAGTTCGTGTTTGACATTTATGTATTCGATATTAAATGCATCACATAAAAGCTATATGAGAAGAGAAAATGTTTTGTTTCATATATGAAAAAAAATGTTTACAACAAATAAGGAAAAAATTAAACTTTACTATAAATGTTCACTAATATGTTCAATTTTCACAACAATTACCATTGAAAATAAAGATAATGATGATGATGATTATACCAGACCATTACTACTAGATCTTTTAACCAGTTTATAGAAAAAAAAATCCATCATTCATAATATAAATATCTTAAGACAATAAGATTTTCGTTCAAAACTAAATGAAATTTTTTTTTTTTTTTTTTGATTTAAAGAATTGATTTTATCTTTTATCATGATTCATTTTTTCCACGCTTGACATGGTTTGTTATAACCATATATGATGATTAGATGAATCGTTTTTTTCCCAACAAGGGCTTGTTGTTGTTGTTGCTGTTTAAATTATCTCAAGGTGCTCGCTGTAGATTTTCACACAAACACACAGATATGAACAAAATACAGCAAAAAAAATTGATCACGACTATGATGATCATGGTCAAGGAAAATAAAAAAAAAATTGACATTAAAAACCTAAGCCTTCCTGGCCATTTTAATCAGGCTATTTAACAGTTTAATTATTATCATGATGATCGAATAGTCGAAGTGGATGAAAGAAAAGCAATAAAAAAAATAATCATCAATCATCTATCCATCCATCGGAGATAATAATAATTTTAAGGTAATTCACTTATTTTAAAAAAAAAAACATTCAAAAGAAACTAGATTAGTAATTATTCTAATCGAATTGAGAGATGACCGACAACGTTGTTGTCACTCGATTCAAATTTGAAAAAGTGATGACATTTTTTTTTTTACTCGATAATACCATCGATTTTATCTTCTTATAATCATTGAAATCGTAGCGGCTTGTTTGATCCCCATCATCATCATCACATAGAGATGAATAATTTTCTTTTTTTCGTTGATGTAATTGAACATTGCCCAAAATAAAGATCATTTCATCATTAATCTTTGAAAAAATATTTTTTTTCATTCAACAATAACTATAAAATTCCTATAATTCCAATACATGTACATTCATGGTGGTCTGGTTCGTTTATAGTAAGAAACATTCTATGAATGTTTGTCTACCTTAATGGTCGATCAACGATCATACATTCTCGTGAAATTCAAGAAATTCAAATGAATCTTATTCATTATAATATGACCAAAAATGAGCGAAAAAAAAACATTTCAAATCTAGTATTCGTGAATATAATTAGATTTGTTGATGTAAATCTATTAAATACGTATTGAATTCCTACTTAATTGTCATTGTGTTGAATACTACAATGATGATAATGACGGTGATGATGTTGGACCACACACCGTGATCACCAATCACATATTTGTGTAAAAGTGTGCTGTGTGTGTGTGTGTGTGTGTGAATGTTCAAATCCTCAATTCAACAATTCAATGATTCGAATGAAATCAAAAGTTGAATAGAAATAGGAAAAAAAACTTACACTAGAATGTCTTTCACGATAAATCTGATCTAGATATTGATATGACAGAAAAAAAATCGTCATATCAATGGATGATAATTGGAAAAAAAACTTCCGTGTTTGTCTATGTGTTTGAAGTGTCATGACGATAACAAATGTTCTAATTGTTTTTTTTCGTGTATACGAAACAAATAGTTTTGTACAAAAAAAAAATATTTGAATCAATTTACAGTGATGAAGAAAACTGACTGGTACGAAAAATTAAATTAAATTTTTCAATTCTTTTTTTCCACTGATTTTTGAATATTTTCTGAAATGATTTTTTTTTTAAAAAGACAAGAAAACTATCACATTAAAATGTGAATGGGTTAATTCAATTTGTAATGCACAAATCAAAATAAATTTCTCTTTTTTCATTCTTAGATGAAAAAATTTCTAGTTGATCACCTGTTGATCAATTTTATATTCCATTATGGTTCGAAAATTTTGATCAACAACTAATGATTGTTCACAGTGTTTGAAGTATTTGGTGAATGAACGTCGATAGATCAATCAATCAATCAATCAATCGTTCAATCTATCAAAATAGAAATGATTCTTATAGTATTCATTTATGTTTGGTGGTGGCTAATGTTGGGCCTTTGTTCTGTTCACTGTTCACCAGAATTCACTAACGGCAACGAACCACAATCTCAACAGAATAAACACAACAACAACAACAATAACAATAAGAATGATTCGTGGATCATCTATTCATTTCAATCGTTTGATCATAATCCATCGAAACATAATGAAATTGATATGAGAATTCAGAATATTGATAATAATCCTAAAAAGAATTTAACGCCATCGGAAACATTATTGTATCATGGTTATATACCACCTGTCAATCATCTTGAAGATCCAAATGGTATTAGTGAAAATGAGAAAAGAGTATCGGATGAACCGACCACCGAATTTTATCATTCTTCAATTTATGATGATATTTTAAAATCCAATAATTCCGGAATGATTGGTGAAACAAAAGAGATACAGAATCCACCTGATTCAATTCAAGATCTTTTAGAACCGGCTGAAGCTAGAAGTACAAATCTACCGGAAGATGATCCATCCGAAGATAATGCAACAAATCAATCACCAGATGATGATGAAGATTTTGGACCAGATCCAGTAGATGATGATACTGATGTATATGATGAAGATAGTAGTGATGATGATCAATCTAAAACAGCTGCTATGGACAATGATGATCCAGAGCATCATTCTTCAAATGGTAATATATTTTTTTGCTAAAAAAGTTTTTGAATTTTCATAAATTTTTTTTTATAAAGAAGATAACATTATGACTCGAAGATCGGATGATGATGATTATGATCAGGATGATGATGATGATCGAGCCGAAAGTAACAGAGATGAGGTGGAATATACACCAATTATGCTTGATGATGATGATGATAACAATAAAGAAGACGATGATGAAATTGATCGAGAAGATTTCGGTGATGGTGGTGAAACACAAAAGATTGTAAGCCATTTCTATTAGAATAATATAATATAATAATTGTAATTATTATTAAATCGAAATAATATTTCCAACTAAATATAGGATTCGGAGATTATTATGCCACAAATATTTTTATGGAGCAATCCAATCGAAACCATCAATGATGATCCAGATGAGAATGGTGAAAAAGAGGATGATTTCAATCTAGATGAAACACAATTTGATCAAGAATATCCTGATATGTTAGATCCACAAGCAAGTTCACCAATGGAAACATCAGCAAGTGTTAAACATGAAATTACCAATCAGACAAACATGTTCGTACCAATTCATGACAATACTGACAACAATGCTAATATCGACAACAATACAGCAAATGTAGAAGCTATTGTAACAGGTGAAACAATTATAATCAAATGATGATGATTAATCATGATTTAATTATCAACACATCAGCAATCAGCATTTATAAGAATATATGATGATTTACATATTTCGCATTTATTATTAAACTGTACAAAAAAAAACTTATATGATAATAATTTAGTAAAAATATTCGTTTTTATGCAGCATTATTTTTTTTTCTCGCTCTCTCTCTCATAACTAGCACGTAACTGAGTGAGTGAACAAAAAAAAAATAATGATAATTCTTTATATTTGTAGAGGCATTTCTGGGAATAATAATCAAAATTGATGATTAAATCGTCAATAGTGTATAATGTTGACAATAATGTGGGTGTGTGTGTGTATGCGTGTGTCGAGAAACAATAATTATTTTGAATTAAACAAAATATATATATAATAAATAGAAAAAAATATGTGTGTATGAAGTGACAAATTTATATAATTTTAAATGTTGATAAAGAAAGAATGAAAAAAAAAATCCGGATGAATAAATCAACAATAAAATTTGCCATCATTATCATTATCATTATCATGGTAAACAAATAACAACATTCAATTCGGATGAATTTGATTAATATAAAATGCTATGTGTATCATGCCATTTTTTTTTATTAGTAGGTATTGCGAGGTATTTTTATGATTTTGACCATGCAAAATAAAAACAGTGAAAAAATCGAACATAAGAAATGATTTCTTCATCAAACATAATTGTACTGTATGTATATAGTCATAGTCATTATAATTTATGAGACAGAAATAGAGTAATTTACTGTGATTATCATTCACGTTTAATCGGCAATGATGATCCGGTTTGATTATTATTATCCAATGCATTATTATTGATATTTGAATTGCTGTTGACTAGTAATGGAGCCAAACTTGTCTGTATATTTTTCACTCCTTTCAATGTATGATGTATAAGCTGTTCTAATGAGCTACTTAATTGTAAGCCAGTTTCATGATCAATTTGTTGAAAAAATTCCTTACAAAAAGGATTTGATTCGATCATTGATTCTGATTTGATCCATAAATCATTGGCCGAATATGATTGTTGCAATAGAAAAAGTTGCCGTGAAATAAAATTCATCATTTGTACCGGTACGGACATCGTTGCTGCTGATGATGATGCATTTGAACTAGGTGGATTCTGACATGAACTGAGAATTTTTTCATGTGTTTTAAAGAATTGTCCAATCGTTTCTTTATTCTCATGTATCTCTCGATAACGCATTCGTGTTAAACGTGAATTGAGCAATGCTTGACAACGATACGATAATATGGTTAATTTGAGATCAATCAATTGTGCCTGTTCTTGATTGGCCATTAATAATGATGGACGATTTTGTTTCGATAATTTAGCTGTAGCTACTTTGATCAATTGTAATGTATCACGATATAATTGATAAGCTTTGTCTACCTCGGATTTTTGTTCCATGATTAATCCAGACTGAATAAAATACATTGATGCTTCAATATATTGTAGAATTTGTTGTTGAGGAATTTTTATTGAATCCGCTTTACGTTTCAATGTACGTGCCATTGTTTGTGCTTCTTGTTCTGTTTGACATAAAGGTGAAAATCGTTGAGATGAATAATGATGATTAATATGTGGCGATGTTCGTATTGACAATGAATTAATATTATTTATTGGTATTGATACAGGTAATGATGCTGGCTGTGGTGAAGGTACCTGCAATTGTTGGCCATATTGTCGCGAACTTTGTTGTCGCCCTGTCTGATGCTCTAATGGAATATCCGATTTGTTATGTTTGCTTACTATTGTTTCAGAAATTTTATTTGACGTACTGATTTTATTGTTGGTTGAACTCGTTTTTAACATGGAACCACTACCAATAGCAGATTTACCATTAACATTAAGAAATTTTTCATTATCGGTTCGTGAAGATTTTTGAAAATCTTTTTGTTGTGAACTTTTTTTCGAGTCTGATTTAGAATTTCTCGATAAAGGTGGTATTGGTGATGATGATCGTCGATCAAGAGGAATATTGCCATTACGATCAATATGTGGTATGCGATTCAATTTAGGTAGCTCTATCGATACGATAAGTGATTGTTGGCCAGAATGATTTTCAGAATTTGTACCAGAGACAAGATCTACTTTTCGTGTATATGAATTTGAATCAGACGGATCTTTTTTATTTGTACCGATTAAATGAGGAGAATATCGGCCGGAAATTTTTGATGAAAGTTTTTTATTATTCGGTATCGACGATAATCGATTAGACGTTGAATTTTTCGACTCAATTCTCGATTCATTTGTATGATGACTAGTCGTTGATGCAATATTACTGTTATCGGCTATACGGGATGATTTGGTGAGTGGTGGTGCCTGTGCAGAAGAATTAGATATGAATCGTTCCTTTCTTCTTTTAACATCTTTCCATGTGCTGTTTTCATCATTTAGTCGATTTTTTTGCTGATTATTAGATTTTAATTCATCATTAAATTTTGTTGGTGTTTGTAACGAAGATGGCTGACTCATGGTCATTGCCGATGGGGACGGTGGTGGTTGTTTCTTTTTGTGGATTTTATTAGATGAAGCTTTAGTAGTGGTGGGAGCTTCCTGAAATGGTGAAGACTTTGATGAAGGCAGAATTCGATAATCTTGATGATTTATTTTTGAACGATCATTCTTTTTAGATTTTTCCGATCGATTAGTCTTTGAAAGCGGTTTTCTCGACCTCGAATGCGTTGGTAATTCATCGCTATTATCGTCTAATTCACCTTCTTCCATTTCTTCATCCGGCTTTTGACAATTAGACGAATGTTTAGCAGAGAATGAATCATTCGATTCATAATCAACATCATCTTCATCATCACGAATAGAATTTTTTGACCCAGACCTTGAAAACGATGAACTATGATCATCATCCGATTCATCGTTCTCAGATAGAACAAATTTTGTTGATTTAGCGTCATTAATATTTTTCAAATGTTGTTGTTTGGTATTTTTTGAGCTAGAATTTTTTCCCTTTGACTTTAAATGATTATTTTTTGAAATTGAAGCTTTATTTCGATTTAAATCTTGTATCGAAATTTTATTATTATTCACTAAATCTTGACTATTACTATTATTATTATTATTATTGATGTTATTGGATGATTGAGTATCTTTATTTGAAGTATTCGTATTATTATTATTATTCGATGATGAATAATCACCTGGAGGAAGAAAATTATCCAGATCCCATTTATGTTCTTCATCTTCATCATCATCATTATTTTGATTGTGCATCATAAATGAATGTGAATCATTTATCGTATGATGATCACCTTGTTTCAATTTCATTCGAGCATCAACAATTTCAGAATTATTAAAAAATTCACGTGATTTTTGTCGTCGTATCTTGCCATTTTCATTTCTATTATTATCATTCCTTTTTGAATGATTCATTGAGCCCGATTCTGATTCTCCAGAACTATTGTCATTAGAATCTTTTTCTTCTTCCTCATCATCATCATCGTCGTCGGATGATGAGGATGATGATGATGATGAAGATGAGGATTCTTCATCATCATCCGATGATGATGCTGATGATAGATTGAATTCACCTGTATGAGTCTTGTTCTCTGATTTTGATAATGTTGATTTTTGTGATTGATTAATTTGATTATGTAATGTTGAATATGGTGATAATGATGACATTTGTGGATGATGATTATGAATTTGTGATGAAATATTATTTAGGTTATGTTGTTGATGAGTATTTGAAGTTGATAACGTATTATTATTATTCTTCAGACTATTATGATTAGCAATAATCTGAGAATTAGATATAGCTGTATTTTCCGATGACGATATGTTCGTAGATGGAACAACATTCATCACTTGTTGCTGCTCATTATATAAATCATCAAGACCAGTTACAGGTTGTGATGGTAATAAGCTTTGATTTGGTATCATTTCAGCAAAAATTTCCTGTACTCGACGACGATTGAATTCATTACGAGAAATACCCACCAGATTTGAATTGATACAATCGGATGAATAATTGATTGAATTATTTAAAAATGGTACAAATTTTACAAAATCACCCAACGTGGATTTGATCTCTTTGGTTGTATCATCTTCACGTTCAAGACGTACAGGATCAGGAAATAGTGAATGTGATTTATCAATAGGATTTTTTTCACGTCCAATCGTTGCATGATGATGATGATGATGAGAATGATGACCAACAGAAGATACAACAGCCGATTGATTTGATGCTTGTGATAATGCTAATGCTTGTTGACGGCGTTGTTCACGTTCACGTTGTCTTTCACGATCACGTTGTGATGATGTAACCAATAAAGAATTGGTCGATGATGATGATGATGATGATGATGAACCGGCTGATTGAGCCGTTGTTGAAGTATTCGATAATTGATGATGTGCATGCATCACTAATGTGGATTCAATTTTTCATATGAAGAAGAAAAAAATTTGTTATCAGGAATGATGATAAATATTTTTTTATGCGTGTTTAATTTTTTTTTTGTCTTTTGAAAACCTAACGAAAAAAAAAAATTCAATAAATATCTCATCAACTTGTTGAATAAATATGAATAATATATATAAACTTACGATTCGATTACTTTTTTTTGTTTGATTCGATGCGAAAACAAATAAAAAAAAACAAACAATTCTAACAACCAAAAAGAAAAAGAATTCTGTTTCAAATCCGTGTGTTCAAAAAAGCTCGTTCAAAGAATATATCGATATTTTGTGTGTTTTAGATTTTAAATAAACAACAAACAATAATATAAACATGGATCAGTTTGTCAGTTTTTGTTTTATCACATTTGATGATGATAATTTTTTGAAAGAACTGAAGAAATGAATTTGTACGAGAAAAACAATTAGATTGTTTTTTTTTGTTTGTTTGTTTGTAAACAAAATTACAGAAAAAACTGCCAAATTATTATAATGTGTGTGTATGAGTGTGTGTTGTGTATGAATGTGTTGGTGTTACATATGTTTGAGGCAAATAATTCTTTAATATAATAATAATCATTATATAACTTGAATTTTGTTTTTTTTTTTTTTAAATGTCACATTTTTCAGGAGGAAAAAAAATCCGATAAACAATTTATATATCACTGGAAAAAAAACTATTCCAATTTATGTATTTGAAAAAAAGGGTTCAGTCACATTTTTTTCCCCATTTCAATTTCTGGTCACTTTCTCATCCACACTCTCAACACTTTTTTCTTTCATCTTTTTCATTATTTTATCATCATAATTTTTTTTTTTTGAATAGAAAATGAGTAAGTTAATGTTTGTGTTTGTAAATGAATGAATTAAATTAAGAAAAAAGAGAGTGTGTGTGTGTGTTAGAGATGAAAAAAAAATTTAGGTCATATTTCGTTGATGAGGGTCGTAAGTCGTATTTTTTCATATATTTATATGCTAATCACCTAATTCGAAATTGTATAAATGAAAATAGAAAATCGTTAATCGAAAACAATTAATATATTACCTTTAAAATTAATTCGATGAATGAAACAATGTTTTCAAATGATTTGAATGTGATTGTTTTTTTTTCGTTGGTAATTTATTTTTTTGCGCTAATTATCTACCATGAAGAGTGTATTATATCGATTTGTTGGTTTAGTTATTCTAAAGTTTTTTTTCCTTTCTAATCGGATCAATCAATCAACAAGCATATCGCAAAAATTTTGTTGGTTTATAGAAATGGGGGGAGGAAGACAACGAATAGAAAAACCAAAAACCCAAGCAGAAAAAAAAATTAAAGATCATGAAAAAATCAATAGATCCATGTATGTGATCAGTGCATTGGTTGCTGGACACATAAACATCACAATCAACAACAACAACAACAACAACAACAACGTCGACAGTTATATATAACATATACACATAGTGTATTGGTATTGAAAAAAGGTAGTAGTTTATAATTATGAAAACAACACCATTTGATTGAAGCATATTTTAAAAGTGATGAGAGAATGAGAACAAAAATTTTACATATGTATAAATGAGCTAATCATAAACACTAGTACAAACAAAATCAATTCCCAGTTGATTCACGGAAATCAATCAATGATATTTGAAAAACTAAAAACTCTTCAATACCATTTTGTGGATCCTAACACCAAGGTTGTGAATTTTTCGATCCATTTCTTTTCATTCATTATTTTGTGATAGCATTCTTTTCATTCTGTAATTAAGATTAAACACTACCCACTCTATTATAACCAACCAAATTGATACCAACTAAATTGGTGTAAGTTGAAATTTATCTTTTTTTCCCAATTGATTTTCATTTTCAAATTCAATGTAGAGAAAAATCGAGAACATCTTTTTTTTAAAAAAACTGATTCGAATTTTTTTTGTCATTTTAGTTTTCTATCCATTTCATAGAATTGATCATTCCATTTGTTCACTAAATACGATCAATCGAACGTCAAAAAACAAATAAACTTAAATTATCTTTTGCATATAATCTTTCTTTCTTTTTCTGGAAACGAATAACGAATTCTTCTCTGTTTTCGCCTTTCTTTAGTACATTCGTATCATGTATCCACACCCAAGCTATTATATAAATATAATCATTATAACTAAATTAAAATGTATCCTGAAAATGGATTCTGGAATTTGTTATTGTTGTTGTAGTTGACAACACCAGAGTTTTTTTTTCACTGTGACCATTCAACAACAAACAAACAAAAAAGTAACCATTGTTATCGCGCAATTTATTATTATTATTATTTGAAGCAAAACCAACAACAATAACAAGAATAAAAATAAGAAAAAAAAATTATCTAAAAAAAACAGTGAAGATCCAAAGACATGAAGAAGAAGAAACGAAAAAATCATGAAAAAAAGAACATGAAAGTTTTTTTTCATGCTTTCAGATTTAAGTAAATCGTTATGATCGTTAAATTATGATAATGATGATCATCGTTCTAATCGTTGTCGATTGATCAATAACACATGACGTTGATTTACTTGAATGATGATAATGTCGTGATATATATATATACTGGTGTATGGTAGAAAATTTGTAAATACAAAAATTCTCTAAAATACAATATGTTCAATGTCAATGTTTTTCTATGTGAAAAATATTTTTCTATATCAATTGATCAGGTAACAAAGAAGAAAAAAATGAATAGAATCGCTGAAAAATCTATTTTTTTTTCTTTCTATTTTTTTTGTTATTGTTTTTTAAAGAAAAAAAACAAAAAAAAAATTTCCCTTGTACATTTGGCCTTTAGTTCATTCATTTTGATCGAATGATATCGATATCAATCTCTAGATTCTTGATTGAACCATAAGAAGAGAAAAAAATTTTGTGATCTAATTTATTTGAAACATCATGATGATTAAATATCGATCATATTTGAATCAATTTATTAGTAGTAATCTGATTGATTTGGAAATGAGAAATTTTATTTATTTTGCCAATTCAAATTGATGATAAGCTCATTTTTATTTATTTAAAAGAAAAAATGAGAGAGAAATTGAGAATATTTCAATTCTGAATGGTCAATAATTCTATAATCAATGTCCATTGATTGATTTTTTTTTCAGTGATTGAAAAAAATATGTTTGATCTGGGACCGTATTGATATGAGATAGACTATAGCAAGAAATCATATTAATCTTTTTGAATTGAAATGAAGTTGTAAATTTTTTTTTTTTTTTTGTTATATTTCGATTTTCAAATCGATCAGTCAATAAAATAATCATCATCATGGATTATGGGAATCGAAATTTCTTTCGTTCACTTTAACTTTGAATGAGTAGTGGATCGTCATATTAGATGAGATTCATCATCATCATCAAATTAATGGATGAATTTGAATGAAAATGGAAACGAAAAAATTGAAAATGGAATCATGCGAATAAATGAATGCATGAATGGCATATATATCGATTTCTCATTATTCGCTTTTGGAATTTTTTTTTTTTTTTTTTTTTCTCACTGTCTAGTCTGAGTTTTTTCTTCTTGTTTTTTTTAATGCCCATGTACAAAAAAAAGTTTCATAGTATTTAATTATCATAGCCTTTTGGTGTCCACACAATGTAATATAATAGAATGTTTGTGTGCTTGTGTGTCTGTGTCTGTGTTTTACAGTAACAGAATTTTTGTTGAAAGTTTTTTTTTCTTTAAAACTATAATTTTGAAAAAATTCAAATGATGAATTTTGAATCAATTTTTTTGTTGATAAATAAAAAAAAAGAAAGAAAAAGAATGATCGAGATGAAGAGGGTAGAAAAAAAATGTTCGATCATCATTTCTTTTTTTAATGGAGAGAAAGAGAGTTTTCAACCCGAAAAAAATAAAAAATAACCGGGTATCTAACATTCAATGTTTTTTTTTATTCATTCATTCATTCATTCATTTTTCCTGTTTGGTTCTTTCGCTATCCAGAATTCTTTGTGTATTTATGTATATATAATATATATATAGATCTATAGGATGTTAAATTTTCTGCTTGAAAAACTTTTTTTTCAATCTATCTAGTGATCATCATCATCATCATCATCATCATCATCATCATCATCATCATCGTTGAAATGAATGTTGAATGAATTCCATTTCTCATATACATGGTTATAGGGGACAAATCTAAATTCTTGAGTTTGATTCGATTTGATTTTGATTTTACTTACTACTTTTACTTTTTTTTCAATGATAGATATAGAAAAAAAGACTACTATTATTATCATCATCATCATCTTCATATATTGAATGAATTGAAAATAAAATCGAAATCAAAAATGCAAAAGAATGTGGAATCCAAAATGTCAATTTTTTTTTTTTGCTTTCGCTTTGTCATTTGTATTGTACATTTTTTTTTGTCATTTCACTTTTCATTCAATTCGGTGTTGTGTTGGTGGTGGTGGTGATGATGATGATGATGATGATGTTCATTATTCGTGTTTAGAAAAATGTTTTTTTTTCTTGTTTGGCCGTTAACAAATGAAAATGTGTGTGTGTGTGTGTGTGTGTGTGCGAATGTGACATATGGATTTATGAGATTATTCTGCATGCATACATATTCATTTATAATTCTATTATAATAGAATTCAAATACAAGTTTTTGTTCTTTTAAAAAATTTTCTTGTTATCGGCCAAAGATTTTTGAATCATCGTTCTGGAACTGTTGTTGTTGTTGTTGTTTTGTTATTAAAAAAAACCGTTGTATTCTTGATTATTTCTATACCAAATTCTTATGAATATTTTGTTATATATAAATCAACATCTATCATATATGTTTATATTATCTTCCGATTATTTCAATATATACACATTAACAAAATTCCAATCGAATGAAATGAAAAGAAAAACCATGTTCATGTCCATTTATGAATACGTAGAATAATAACGTATGTGCTACAAAAACCTTGAAGAATTCCATGGAAAATTTTGTTTATGGAACCAATTGAAACTGGGTGAAAAAAAGATGTTATCTGTTTCTTAGTTTTTATTATATATTTACAAAAATATATTTTATATATTAACCATAAAGTTTTTGGTGATCTCAATATTATTACAAGTTATATATGATTAAACAAATCAACATTGAACAACAACAAATGTGTTATTTTATCTTATATCTAATATATATCTAATTTTATTATTACTATACATTGGAATGTAAATCAAATTTTCTCCAGAAAAAAATAGATCTAATTCAGATTCCATTGTACTAATAATAATAATGACAAACAATAATAATAATAAAGTCATTTCTTTTCCGTTTTTTTTATACGTGAAAATCACATCATCTGTTAGCCTAATTATTTGTGTGTGTGTGTGTGTGTGTTTGTAGTTATTCCATTATATTCTACTGGCTGTTGAATATATAAACAAGATATATCTTTACTAACTAAATTATTATCCTAGTATGTTAGTTACTACTACAAATTATCACAATAATTTGTTGATGATGTAAATAATGTATAATGCAACTTTTGATGTATATTATATGGTATATATGCAAGATATAATATAATAGGTATATAGTTCCTAATACAAGAAAGGTTAAGGTTTGCTCCATCCAAAATCAGCACCGAACCGTTGATTTAATTATTTTTTTTTTTGCTTTTTTTCTTTTTAAATGCTTGATCGGATTTTCCCTTATAATGATGATGTGTTATTTTATTCTGATATTTTTTTTTGTTTTGTTTTACATTTATTCAACTCAAGATGGCGATGCTACTCTGCTATTTATTGTGTGTGTGTGTGCTATCATCACTTAGCAATTATTGTTTCACCATTCATTGATCACCAAAAATCGATGGGATTAAATTGTTTCGGTTTTTTTTTGCTATTTGGTGAATGAAAAAAAAATGTAAAATGAAATAAAATAGCTCTCATCATAAGCTGATTTTTATTCTTATTTTTTTTGTTGTCTCTGGTATTTTTGGTTGAAGAGGCGTAAAAATGAGAGAGAATTCATCAAATGAAACGGTTCATTAATTTGATAATTAATGATTGTATCTCGTTAGTTTTTTTTTCTTTTTCCTCTCACTTTCTTTTTTTTTATATATACACCCTTTTAATACATTTAATGTCTGACAAAACACTACGGTAATTCAACTATTAGATAGCAACAGAATGATTCTGTTGTCATGACAAGTGTAAATTTATATATTTATATATAGGAAAATAAGTGAGAATAAAGAAAAAAAAAAAAAAATCAATCTATATTTATCTGTTAATCAAGAATTTTTAAATCTGTTTTGTAATTTAGAAAAATGTCTATTTTCTCATTAATACCTTGTAATCATTTCCATTATTCTTTTTAAAATGAACCTCATTATTCTCATCAAATGGATAGAATTCCTAGAATTCTTTTTTCTTCATTTTTTTTCTTCATCTCACTTTATTTTTTTCATTTCAAATACAAAATGGTTAAATGATTTTTTATCATTGAATGAATCCATTCATACACTGTGTAGGGTTAACTCGTTTCAATTGGACGAATCGTTTTTTTTCATTATTTCTATTTATTTATCCCTTTTTCTATTTATTTTTTCAGATAAAACAATAACAACAACAACAACAACAACAACAACGACAACAACAAAAACCAAAATGGCAATAAATCATCATTATAAATCCATATGGATACGATTACTATTTATTCTGCTGATATTTTTAGCATCATTTTTTTGGCTATTGTTTCTTGTTCAAGTGGCTAGACCGGATATTAATTTGAATATCGGTGATAAAAAACAAAAAATCAGGTGTGTTCATGAAATTTTTTCCTCTCTCTCTCTTTTGTTCATATGAGCTTTTGTATTTGTATTTGTATTTGTGCATACTTTTATTGTTTTGATTCCTCTGTCGCTGGCTTATCATCACCATTCATTAAATTCATATTTATGAAGATGATTTTTATGTTGACGTTTGTATTATACAATGTCTTTATTATGTTTTTAGTAGCAGCTGCTTTAGTACGAAAAACAACAACAACACCAAATAAAACCTTGTTTCATTCATCCGTAAACGAGCTGATAAACCCCAAAAAAGAGTATAAGCAGAATGACTTGTTTATTGTTGTTTTTTTTTGGATATTCCATCAACTAGAAATTCAATCACTATCATGTGTAATATACATGATAGTGAGATGAATGTCACAAATGAATTACCATAGCCTTAAGGAACATATTCTTAATATATGATATGGTCATTTTTTGCATTGTAATTGAAAATTTTAGCTTTATTAATTGATTCATACACAACACAGCACAAACTTGCATATTGAATCAAATCATTGTTGTTATTGTTATTCATGCTTGTTTCTTTTTTTTTTCTTTTACATTTAGTTATGACGAAGAATTTTTACATGATGATCAAAAAACGAATCAAGAAATGTCGGACATCTTAAAGAATAAACCCAATGATGAAGATTCAAGAATTTCATTTCCAAGTAACATTGAACAATTAAAACGATTAGCCCGTATATTATCATTATATTCACAAACTCATTCACAATATGTTTTCATATTATTCTGTTCGGCCTATATATTTAAACAAACATTTGCCATACCTGGTTCAGTTTTTCTGGTAAGCTTAAAATAGTCATTCATTTTATTTAGAAGATTAGACCAAAAATAAACATTACCCGTCTAAATGAAATAAATCCGAGTTTTTTTTCGATTTTAATTCTAGGATTTGATTGCGTTTTGCGTGTGTGTGTGTGTGTGTGTGTGTGTGTGGATGGCCTGATTGGGCTCTAGTGTCCAGATAAAAAAGAATAAAGCAAATTGAATAAAGTATGGTAGCAAGAAATGTACGAGACTATTATTTTATTCTTTTTCAAGTACATTTTTTTTGGTTAGTTAATTTTTCTGATTCTTGAAATAATATAGAATCATAATGATGACCCAACCACGGTAATAAAGTCAATATAAAAAGAGAGAGAGAGATGAAATTTCTCCCTACAGCATTTTATAAATGTCAATGTTGAATGAAGAATCAATAGATAATTTAGCCGAATATAGTTTTGTTTTCGACATTTGCACATTCATAAAGAATAGACCATATACCATAGGAAAAAAAAGAATATTTCATCGATCTCAAATAAAATATTTTTCAGTCGTCTTTGTTTATTTTCTTTTATTCTACTACATTAGTAATACAATATCAGTATGCTTAAAACGAAGCTAATTTGATAAATAATTGTTCGATTAATAATTGGCCTTACGGGATATAACCTAGGCCATACACACACACAGAGACTACTAGCTATAGAAATAAAACAAACGAATCGACTGAAAAAAAATGAGATCGTGAATCACATACACAAACAATAGATCGATTGAAGAATCAACTACTTAGAATCGTACATAATATATTGTGAGCTCAAATAGTAATTTGATATGATTTTATTCATCAGTATTTATATGTGCATAAACGATGAAAATAGTTCCACCATAATAAGCTTGTGGCTTCCCCTTTGTTGCCATCACCACCACCACCGCCACCGCCACCACAAAAGTCCAGTCTATCAAAACATTTATCATAATATATTAAATACTTTTGATATAAATGATCGTTTAAGTTGTGCCCGAATTTTTTTTTCGTTTATGTAATACGAATTCTATCATTAGTTTAGTAAGTGTAATCATCAATTCAATACATGTATGCTAATTGTATTTATATATGGTGTATCAATTTTCTTTCCAAAAGTAAGAGAGAATCTTGCTAGAATCTATTTCTTGGAACAGTTTATTTTTGTTTATTTTTTGTTGTTGTTTTCGCTTATTTTTTTCTTACATTGAAAAGAGAAATTTGCCACCATATATCTTAGCTTTAAAAGTAGTTATTATTTTTTTTCTGGCCATCGAAACGAAAAGAAAAATTATTCACTCATTACTTTTTCTGGTTGATCGATTATATTATCTTTGTGTAGAAAATAATATCTGGTCTTTATCCAGCCATACACACGTTATTTATTTTGTGGTCGTTTAGGCTTTTTTTTTATTTGATTACAACAAAACATTATATCCACATGAATTTAAGAAATGGTTATCAGTCCCATTTAAATATATAAATTTTTTTTTCATTCATTTATCCTTTTTTTATATTCACTGTCTGTAGAATCTTCTTGCCGGTGCCATTTATGGTACATGGATCAGTTTTCCACTTTGTTGTCTACTATCAGCTATTGGAGCAACATGCTGTTTTTTTCTATCCAAAATGGCTGGCCGTCATTTATTGGAACACTATTTTCCGGAAAAACTTAATTATTTCCGCCAAAAATATATTGAACAACAACGTCATCAGGAAAATCTTTTCTTGGTACTAATTTCACTACGGCTATTTCCTATGACACCAAATTGGTTTCTTAATATTGCCTCACCAATAGTCAATGTTCCTTTACATTTATTCTTCTTATCTGTATTAATCGGTAAGTAATGGACTTGTGTGTCTGCATACACTCATATCGGATGGAGTGGAATATGTCAATAAGATTTTAATAAGATATATACAAAAATGTGAATATTTATTTGTAAAAAAAATTGTGATAAAAATGTTGGTCGAAGAATGAAAATCCTAAAATATTTTCATTTACATTTCATTTTGTATTTTTCAATTCTGATTTCGATTTCTGTTTTTTTCTCTTTTAACTTGCATACACCAAAAAATATATATGCTTTACAGGCTTAATGCCGTACAATTTCATTTGTGTACAGACCGGATCGATATTATCGCAAATAAATTCAATGGACGATGTGTTTACAATAAAAACATTCATTGCATCATTATTCGTAGCCATCGTTGTTGCTATACCAACCTTATTGACCAAAAAAATTCGACCACCGATCATGTCCACGGCCAACAGCAATCATTTGGATAGATCGAAACCAAAATCGAATCAAAACTAAAAAAAAAATCCCACTAAATAAGACGATGATAATAAAAAAAAATGCTGCAATTGAATAGAAGTGAAAATCGAATCAATTGTGAAAATGAATTGTCTATGATTATGATGATGATGATCAAGATGACGACAAACAAACACAAACATTCAAAATAAAAAATCGGACAATGATCCAATACCCTTGGAGATTCCAAATCATCATATATTTTCTTTTCTATATTCTCATTTTGATGTCCATTGTTTGATCAAGATTGATATAATTTGATTATCATTTTTTTTTCTTTCTATAACATTCATTTTATGTATGCGCTCATTTTTAGAATTTATTCTTCTTCTTCTTCTCCTTTTTTTTCTTTGTTTCTCTATGAATGTTGTTATGTTCGTTATTTTTACTTTTTCTTAATGATAATGAAAAAAAAACAAAAAACAAAAAAAAAAAAAAGAAGAATCATATTTTTCATTCATTCATGTTTGTTCATTACATTTGTATTTGTTATATTAAATCATGATTAGTTGATGTTGCATTCTGTTTTTTATTTTGTTTTGTTTTTCATTCGCTTATAATGGTGATCAGTATACTTGGTGTGTGTGTGTGTGTTTTTCTTGTCTCGATTCGGACAACATAGAATTTCATAATAATATGGCATTTCTCGTTTATCAATTTTTTTTTTTTTTTTTTTTTGGTTGCCTTTTCATTTGATTCCACTCATCCCTTCTCACTAGCTTTCATTTTTTTTCCATTGGCTTATTCTCACATTTTCGTAATGATAGATTGATTCGTTGGAAATCACATATATATGCCAAGAGTGAGTGGAATTTTGGTCAAAAATTATTTTTTGACAATAAAAAAAAAAAATAATAACAAACATCATGTTTCAGAATTTTTCATTCACATTTCATTTTCATCACCACCATTTGATTAATCTAGTATCATTTTTCAATTGTATATACAATTCAGTGTTTGTAATGACTAAACCAACCAATCATAATATAATTTTTTTTTTTGATGTCATGTGCATCATTCCATTGATTAGTAGTAAAGGTCCGTTGTTCATCCATTTATATCTATATATATGGTACGTAAATTTTCAGAGAAAAAAAACCACAAACATTATGATGTTTCAAACATTGTGTGCAAAGAAGGAATTTAACATCAGGAAAATAATAAAAAAACCGTCATCACATACATTCATCAAATAGAATTGAATTATGTAGGAGAGAGAGAGAGTAAAAAAAAATTCCAAAGGGACAAAAATTTAGAAATAGCGGCCTTATAATTGTTGGTAGGTTGGTTGATTGCAAAACACATTAAATTGATGAAACTAATTACAAAGAATCATTTTGTGTATGTGTGTATGTTGATGTGGGTGTTCAATATTCTTGTATAGACACTTACACACACACACACAGTACAATAATCCCCAAAAACATGATTTAAGAGCCATCACAATTTTCAACAATCAACAAAATAACATGATCAAACACACACACACACACGCATAGAAAAATGCGTCAAATAATAATCGATAAAACAAGAATAATAACAATATATAAATGAATTCCATTCAATGAATCAATGGAATTGATCATCATTGAATTTTCTTGTTTTTCTAATCAAAAAAAAAAATTGTTTTCATACATTTCCATCTGTCTGATGGATGATAGAATGATGAAAACCAAACCAAACAAAAAAAAAAATGTAATCGATTGGTCTAAATTCAAATCAAATTAAATCGAATGATCATGGACAACAACAAACACCATAATCAGTAGCAACAAATTATATTTTATCATCATTTCAGTTTTTAATGTGTTTCTTTTTTTTTGCTTTGTTGTTATATATTGAATTGATTTCTCCTCATTTCCAATCACATCAATGATGTCATTCAGTTTTTTTAAGCTTTAAAAAACAAGAAAAATAATGAGAAAGAGAAAAAAAAATGAAAAATAAAAACGGTATAGTAGTTACGGTATGGTTCAACCTCGAAAACAAAAGAAGATTAAAAATTATGAAAGTATGGAATAAACAACCTCTCGAAATGATTTTGGGAAAAAAAATCAAAATTGTTGTGTGTGTGTGTGTCGTGAATAGTCTTAAGAATTTGTTAATGGAATGCCTGAAAGTTTTTTTTTCTCTTATCATACCAGGATAAAACTGCTGTTCTTTATATATATTGCACAGAATGTTACAAATTTTTGTTGGTTTGTAGCCAAAGTATGACAAATCTTTGCAATATCAGTAAAGAAGGAAAAAAGAGAAACAGAAAATAAAATAAAATGGAATTTTTTTTTTTGTTTTGTTTTGATCGATCACCATCGTTCATGTTGTCGTTGTTGTTGTCATTGGCAAATGCCAATAACATCGACAAATAATTCGAGTTCAAATTTCCAATGTTCAAAATGAGAAAAAAAAATAAATAAATCCAACTTTTTTGTTCCGATTACGTGAGTGTTCGTGTTCTATTATGTATGTGTGTGTGTGTCACTTAAGTTCAAATACAGTGATGATTATGATGAATGTCGAATGTTGAAAAAAAAAAAAAAATAGACAAATCATTCTTTATGAATATCAAGAAAAATATGAATCGAGAAGAGAGAAACTAAGAGAAAGTGAAATTTAAACTTTTTTTCTCTCATAAACATACATATAACACTTAGCATACTATAATGGATCGATGAATTTTATTTTCACCAGTAATAAATAAATGATAAAAGATACTTGATAAACTTTTTTTTTCTTCACTCATATGATTTGTATAGCTGAGACGAAAAAATGTGGAAAATGAGAATAAAAAAAAAATCCTAAAAAATGGATCGAAAAGAATAATGGAAGCAAAAAAAAAATCAAATCCACATTCAAACACACATATTCTTCTGTGTGTTCTCATATAACATTCGTGTCTATTCATAAGAATCGTATCCATCAGAAATGAATGTTTGACAATAACAGAGACAATAATAATAACAACAGCAACAGCGAAAAAACGGTATAGATCCTTGTCCATTCATTTAATCACTTGACAACAACAACAACAACAACAAATAACAATAAAAGCAATCCACACCAATCTATAAGATTTTTAAATAGAAAAAAAAGAAAAGATTTTATTCGTGTTAAGTGTTAGAATGTGTTCCAGATATATCTTCTTTCTTTCTTTCTCTCTCTTTCTCCATCCACAAGCTCATATCCACACGCACAAAATAAAATTGTGATGAGAATTTTGATCGATCACCACCACAAAAAAAATTGGGTGCCAAATAAAAAGAGCTCTTTCTATCGGTGAATGAAAACTCACTAATTTTAGCCAAATTTATATTGTTTGTTTGAAACACTGTTCCATTTTCCGTGTGGACTCTATTCTGTTTTCTTTCTTGGTTTAGATATTCTTAGCCTTTTTTTCAGATGATACTGATGGCCATATCCATAAGTTTTCAAATCGTATTTTCTTTCGAAACACTCGAGTTATTGTTCATGAGTTTCGATGTTGGTTTGGTCAAATATCATTGTCGACAATTTCAAACGATGACAATGGCTTCTTCGATCCATCTATTCCGACATCATTGGTTATCATCATCATCATCATAACAATCGTCGTCCATTTATTTTTAGTCGGTTCAATGGAAATAACAAAAAAAATAGCTAAATAGCTCAAGCAAATATAAATAGACATAAAAAACCAAGAATAGATTACCATTATATATATATATGGCAATGACTATAAAGATAGAAGATCAAAAAAAAAGAAAAAAAAATTCTAAGACATTTCACATTCTATAATGTGGCACAATGAACGACGATATTTGATGGAATAAAACAAAAGATGAGTGAAGAAAAAAAAAGAAAACAGAAAAATTCACTCAAATTCTTTTTCTTTCTTCATCATCATCATCATCATATTCCATATAATGTTTAGCAAATATGACAGCCATTGAGGAAAGGAAAAATTTTTTTCCGTTTTCTCTTTTTCTTTTTTTTTGAACCGATCGGATTCTGATTATTGCTTTTGTTGTTTTTGATTGTCATATATACAACATGGATCATGATGATGTTGAAGTTGATGATGATGATGATGATGATGATGAACTTGAAACATATATCTCAAACGAATTGTATGCTGTTGTTAGTTATTGTTGTTGTTGTTGTTGCGTGAAAATTGCTGAAAACATCAAAAAAAAAAAAAATAAAAATTCTTTGAAAGATAAAATGTTCGATCCAGAAAATGAAAGAAAATGATAACCGATCATATATACAAAGATGAGATATGAAAAAAAAAATTTTTTTTTTGACATGACCCAGAAGACAATAATAAGCTATTTTTTTTATAACGCACTGTTCAAACAGAACCAAACAAGCGTTACAATGTTATCGATAAACATTAAACAATGATAAATATTTCAATGATCAATTTTTTTTACATTTGAATAGCTTTCAAATTTTTTTTTAGAAAAATTTTATGTATGGGAAGCAAAAAAAAAAAAATTTACCACAATATTTATTCTCACTTTTATTTCAAAACCATAATATAATAATAATAATAATTAGGATTAGAATATACAATAAATTCTGCAGAGAAATAAATTTACAAACACCCTGTTTAGTTTGTTGTTGTTGTTTTTTTGGTTTGGTTTGGTTTGGCCGTTTTTTCTTTTTTACAATTGTCCATTTTGTTCAAATTCATATCAATATTTCAATACAGTCAACACACATATAATATAAACATAAATATATGAAGAGACTACATAGAGAATTACAGAATGATAATAAAAAAAAATATAACAATAACAACAATGATTCATTTCTGTTTAAAATTGTTCAGACTTGTTCATTTTGGCTACTATTTTCATCATCATCATCATCATCATCTTCATTCATATCAATGTTTGTTATAGCGATCATACGGGCATTTGTAGTCGTTGTCGTGGTTGTTACCATTGTTTCCATTGTTGTTAATGGTTTTTGTAAATTCAAACAGGTTATAACAGGAAAATCAGTCTGTAAAACAATTGATGATGATGATGATGATTGTGGTGGTGATGGCGGCAATGTGGATAAAGAATCAATATTGAATGATTGCTGTAATTGTTCTTGTTGTTGTTGTTGTTGTTGAGCCGATTTTGATGATGATGGTAATGATTCATTTTGTGTGGTCATTTTTATTGGTAATGATGATTTAAAATTATCACATTTTTCATTTTTAATGTTCATTTTGTTATTATTATTATTATTATCATCATCATCATCATTATGTTCATTGATAGCAATTATATTGGATGACAATGATTCTACATTATCATTATGTACCATAATTTTACATGATCGTTGTTGATCATCAAATTTCTCCACATTTATACGATGTTGACGATTCTGTTGTTGATTATTGAGATTACATTTACCATATTGACTTAGATATGCTTCCTCACGTAAACGGGTACCCATAGAACGACATTGAAAACATAGTAAATATTTGAATGCACGACGGAAATCCTGATGAAATGTGACATAAATTATTGGATTGAGCATCTACAGAAAAAAAACAAATAAAAAAAAAAAGAATGAATTAGTAAAAAAAAAGTTATTTCCCATGTGAAATAATCACAATATATATAAATAAATAAACGGTGATAAAGGATTCACAATGAATGAATTATAAATCGAAACATAAACAAGAAAATACACGCAAGTTGTAAAACAAAATCGAAACTGTCATGCTGAAAATGGAAAAAATTTGTTGTTTTTTTTCTGGTTTGTTGTGTGTGTGTGTACCAATTTAAATTTTTCATAAAATTTAGGCAATAAAATTGCCTTGTATATATGTCAGACCTTCATCCATAATATATACGTATATGTAGGTATATATCATGAATTCAAATTGACGATGATTCCATTTATTTGATTGAATTTTGTCATTTACGTATTTATCATCATCACCATCATCATCATCATCGTCATTATTTACGGTGAAACCAAATATATAATCCGTATTCTTGTGTCAAATAGAAATGAATGATATATAAGGTTTAAAACGAAAGCCAACAAATAGAAAAAAGTTATTTTATCATCAAAACAAAAGTGTTGAGCACACACACACATAAACACCCTTTTTCCATCATCATTTATGATGAAGAATAAAAATGACAAGTGAATAAGAAATTTATATTATATGATGATGATGATGATAATATTATTAGTTTAAAGGTGAAAAATTTACTAAAATAAAACAAATTTACATAACAATAATAAATTTGCCAGAAAAAGAAAAAAATTGTTTCAATTTCTTTGTGTGAATGGAATAAAAGAATATTTATTCGCATACATTATTCCAGTAGCACATCTTTTAGACCAGGCCAAAAAAAAATTCATTTATACATTCATACAATATGTATATTTATTTATTCCTTCAATTATTCATCCATTTGGTTAGCATTCACTTTGTGTTTGTAATGAAATCAATTTTGAAAATATTTATCATGGTTTCTTTCTCTTTTTCTCTTATATTCTAATTATTTTGACCTTGGAAAATAATGATTCGATTTGATTTGATTTGAATTGATTCGATCACGATATTTATGACTACAATTTAGATATCGATGATTTTTTTTTGACATGAAATGCGAATCAATAAATAAAAAAAAATGGCTTCTGTAGCCATAATAATAATTTCCAATGTGAATCGTTTGTAATCCGGAAAAACAAAAACAAAGTACATACACATATGTGTAATATATATAAAAGGTAAATAAACATGTAAACGAAAATGAATAAATTGCTTCAGTCGTATTCTAACAACATAATTTTCTAACAGTTTTTGTTTTGGGTTCCAAATCTTTTATCTGGAAAAAAATCGATTCATTTTTTTTCTTGTCATATTACAATAATAATGTCTATATATACAAATTCAATGAAAAAAAAGAATAATTCCAACGAAATCTAATGATTCTTTGATAAACACAGACACACACACACACACAATACAAATACATAAACGAAAAGACATTTGTCTATAGATTCTTCATCATTATTTTGTTGTTGTTGTTGTCATATTCCGGTCAATAATAATCATATAGTCTAACTATAGATATTATTATTATTATTTAGTAATATTTAGCCAATAAGTTTTTTTTCTAAACGAAATAAATATTATATTATATAACATTCGATCATTTGTTAGTTTCTTTGTGGATATCTTTTACTCAACTATACATGCACACACGATATAGTATATGATATCGTATTGACGAATTATGGGTTATTATTATTATCATTTCTATTATTATTGACATGTTGTTTTTCCCTCTATATACCATTGACAGGATGGGGAATGGAAAAGAGAAAATATTCTGGCAACAACAATGATGATGATGATGATGATGATGATGATAGAATCTTGAATCAATGATTGAATGAATGTCGACATTTTAATGTATGCGTTCGTCAAACATGTATGGTGTGTTGTGTACATATATATGATATATAATGACAAAAAAAAATTACAGAAATCAATATGATCCATACAAATACAAAGAAAAAAAATGAATTGATGGGATCAGGATGTTGTTTGATTTATCAATGTGATGACAACGAAAAAAAAGAAAAGAAAAAGAGCAAGAGAAAGGAAAAAAATTCTCAGAATGATCGATTGTCCATTTTATTTGGTTATATTTAATAAAGGCACATTGGTTGGACCAAATAATTTGGTATGGGGATCCAGGATAATTTTTATATATTTTCTTAGTGGCAAATATTTTTGCATTTCAATACCGCTGTTGATTCAATAACTAACTATTATTATTTTTTTTTTTTTGATTTTTTCTATAGTTGGATATATGTTGGACATTGAATTGAACATTGAGTATTTTTATTGAAAAAAAAAATTAAAAAATTGACACTTACTGAATTAACATAACCTAACCATAATGCAATACTGGTAACATATCGTGGAATTTGCATGACTGAAGCAGAGAATGGACGTAATACTGCCAATATAAAAAATGGTAACCAACAAACGGTGAAAGCGGTCATTATAATACCTACAGAAAAAAAATGAACAGAATGAATAAATGGTTAAAATCATGTATGTAATCATAGCTGAAAATAATAATAATAATAATTTGAAATTATTTTCTTTCTTTTGTAGTTATGAATGAATCATCATCATCATAAATTAATGTGCATATTCTGTACATTGGCATTGGAGGTGAAAAAAAAATCGAAATCGAAAAACATTTTTACAAATTGTTTTACACAAAAAAAATGTTCATATGCCAATCAAATAAATACATATATGAATATGAATATAATGTCCAGTCATGTATATATTGTGTATTGTGATCATAATAATTACTCTAGTTCGATTCATCAAAACCGACACGTATCCACACCCACACACATATAGAAGTGAAACACAATGATCGACTAAATATAACATACGACTATAGTCGTAAGAAAAAAAAAATGAAACATGAAAACAATAAAAAAAAAGTTGGCTTTCCTACATTTCATTTATTTTTTTTTCTGCATTCCATATAATGTGAATGAACGATTATAAATGAATTGTGTGTTGGATCAAAAAAAAAAAAAATGAATTGAAGAAAATAGAATTGTCATATATTGTATATGTAATCAATTCGCTCGATGATTATTTAATGATTCTCAAAAGCTAAAAAATTTCGTTTCCTCTTTTATCATCATCTAAAATAATAATAATTATACATGTCAAACGTTATTGTTATTTGTGGTATACATTAAAAAAAAATGTATCCTACAGGGTGATATATGGACGAATGAATTTCTTTTCTTTTTTTTTTGTTTTGTTTTGTCTTTCATTCATGACAGACAATCAAGATTATTATATATTTGAAATTATTATTATCATCATTATTCAATATTATATTATATATATCACATGTATATAATTTGATCTAAGATTGCCATAATATAGTGAAATATAAATATGTTTATAATACTATACTATATAATTGTATAATCATGATTTACTATGGGTAAAGTGGTAAAGTTGATTTTGAAAAGTGATTTAGAAATAGATTTCAGTATGATTCATATATTTATATATATGTAGGATTATTTCTTTCATTGGTCTTAACATCATATATGATGAAATGAAAATTTTTTTATCGTTAAAATATTATATTCGTAACGCATTATTCACCTAATGTGACCGATGCTTTTCGTTCACGTAATGCATTTGATGCACGTTGTTTCATTGCTAATGTTGTTGAACCACTTATTAACATGGAACCACCACTACCATCATTATTGATATTATGTCCACTGTTAATTATTGATCGGCGACGATTACGACGAAATCCAGATTGAAAATTTGTAGACGATGATGATGCTGATGATGATGATAATAATAATACATTGGTTTGTTTTGATGATTTTTGCTGTGTAGCTGTTGTCGTTAGTGATTTTTGATGGCCATTTAAATGTTTATGATTCGAATAACATGTAATATTATCGCCATATAATTTACTGGCAGTATTGGCTGTCGTGATGGGTGCTTTTGTGGTCAACATCACTGTCGATGATGTGGTTGTTGTACCATCTGAATTAACCATCATGGCAGCTGTTGGTGTTATCACTGTTGTTGTTGTGGTTGTTGCGGCCGGTATTTCATTCGAATTTTGTAACATATTCTGTTTGCTCAATTCATCATCACATTCAAAATAATTATCATTTCGAGAGCAACAACAACAACAACATTTATGATAGAATTTTTGCCGCTTTCTTCTTTGTTTGGATGATTCACGATTATAATTGGATTTTTTTCCACATTTTGATTTGATATGATTTGATTTATTATTGTTTTGAGTTGTTGAATTATCATTGTCGTTTGGTGATGATGATTGTTGTAAATAATTTTGATTCTTATCCAATAACTGTACAGCTGTTTTTGATGATGTTGATGGCGATGATGATGTGAATGGTTTTCCCATTGAATCAAAATATTTGATTTGTTGTCGTTGTGATTTTTTTGTTAGTTTACGCATTGAATAAAATCTATTCAGTTTTGATGATGTATTTGATGTACGCATAGTCATTGAACTGGAACATGATGGACGTTGATCACGAAGTTCTGCATCGACAACACGTTTGGCAGCCACATATATTTTATAATACATGACAATCATAACGAATAATGGTATATAAAATGCGCCTAATGTAGCATATAATTGATATCCTAAATTCTGGCTCACTTCACATATTGGCTGTTCAGGTGTTCCATGTTCATTGCCAAGAATTAACACTGGTGGTATAGATATTAAACATGATGCTATCCATACGGCCACAATAAATGATAAGATTCGTTTGGTTGTACGGCGAACACCATAGGTTAATGGTTTTTTTATGGCAAGATAACGATCTATTTATAATAATAAATTAAATTAAATTAAATTAAATGAATATAAATCAAAAATTAATATTTTTGTATGAAAAACACTAAATACGAACCAATTGAAATTGTACAAAGATTTAGAATAGATGATGTACATGCAGTAACATCAAATGAAACCCAAAGATCACAGATACCATTCGATAGGCGCCATGATTGTGAAAGCTCATATTGTAATGCTAACGGCATGACCAATATTGCCACACAAAGATCTGATATAGCCAATGATACCTAGAATTGTCAAACAAAAAAAAAAATGAAATAAAATAAAATCATTACTTTTCAAAACTCATTTATTCTTATCAGATGGCAGAAAAAAAAACAATAAACTTTTGACCTTGTATTGCTTTCTCTTATTTTATTCAGGTTCTTAACGGGTTTTCTCATTTTTTTTCGTATATAAATACATTTGACAAGATGAATTTTCGTGGAAATTCAATCTTTTTTTGTTTGTTTGTTTGTTTTGTTTTTGTTTTTGGTTGTAATATCAACTACACTAGCAAACGACGACAACGATGACGATGACAATAAAAAAAAATTTATCCAGAAAAAAAACAAGTTAAATTGAGTGTGAAAAAGTTAATATCATAGAGGATTCCTGTGATTTCAGATCATCATCATCATCTTCATCATCACATAGCTAGAGTTTCAGTGTCGGAATTTTTGTTTTTCTCACTTAAAACTATATATAAAACCCACACAAAAAGACACAATCAAAGAAAAAGAGACAGGAAGAAAAAAAAAATAAAATCGGACAAGTTCAGATTAAAATCAAGACAGTTATTTCTGGCTAACATACAGAGAAATGATTTATGATCATCATGATAGTTATTATTATGAACACGGTATTTCCCGAGTGTTTAAGTCTGTTTTTTGTTTGTTTTTATTTTTTCGTTCATCAGCAAAAGTTTTCATTACTATTTTCGAAAATATTTCAATGAAATCTTCAAATTTTTTAATGGTAACCCGATGATAAAAAGAAAAAGAAAACAAACTTAAATTCAAATAAAAAAAATTGAATTCTTCATGACTTGAATTATTATTGAAACAATCTGATTAGTGAAATCCGATTCAAATAATTTGAACATGATTTGAGAAAGTTTTAATTAAAATTGATTAAATATCAAAATTTTTCTCTTTTTTTTTAATATTTTCCGCTAGAATGACTGTACCAGTTTGTTTATCAATCGGTTTAGTTTATTTCGATTTTTTTTATTAATGAAATAACGAATAACATCACTTTCGATCGATTTGTAATCAAAAAAAAAAAAAAAAAAAAAAAGCGGAAAAAAATTCAAATCAATTTCGTTTCACATCATATCATATCATACTATTCAATAGTCAATTTTGAGAATAAACTTTCTATATTGGAAAAAAATCAAGAAAAAGAAAAAATTCATTATCTAAGAATTTTATTGAAAGGAAATAAACGAGAAAGAAGATAGTGGAAATAGAAATTATGAATACTCTTGGATAAATTGAAAATTATATCTTCTATTTGATTGTTAACTTATGTCATAAATTGATTTTGTCATTGTCTTCAGGCCATTCCAATCGTTTCTGCCATTTCATTCAGTAAAAACAGTCACTATACGATAATAATCATAACACATCCGAAAGAAAATGACAATGAACGATTTCATTTTGTTGTAACAATAATGCTTGCCTATTTCTTTGTGTGGTCATATGTCATTATCTATCAAAATTAATCATTCCCTCGGGTATCCAACAAATATATATATACTTTATATAAGTCTGTTACGAAACATTAAAAGCCAACTTTTTGGTCTAAAGACCTTGGCATTAAATATTTTTTTTTCGATTCGAGGATGTTGGTTATGACGATGTTGACCACTAAAATGTTGGAAATTTAACTGGTAGGGAAAATCCACAAAAACAAACTTTTTGGTCTGCCACACACACACACACACACACACATACACATAAACAAAAAAAAATCATTATCGTAGGTTTATAAAGACCATAAACGATAAAACATCTCAAATTTTTTTTTTAGAATAAAACAACAAATAATCATAAACAAAGGAACAAAAATTACCAAAAAAACGATCAATGAAAATCTGGGAAAATCGAATTAGACAAGATAATCAATCATTGCATTTTTTTTCTCTTCTTGGCTGCCGTCACTTTCCAGAGCCGATGCCGATATTGTCTAAGGCTACATTGTCGTTGTTGTTGTTGTTGTTGTTGTTATAATTGTTACTACTATTGATTATGGATTCTATAATATCCGTAGTATTCGTGGTGACTTTTTGGTCGTTGTTTTTTGTTCTACAATTCTGTCACCATCAACTTAAAAAAACCTAACAAGCAAACAAGGAAAACAAACAAAAGGGAGACAGTATGTAAAAAAAAATTGTTTGCATGACATTGGCCGCTTGTATTGTCGTTTATTTTTTTTTTTTTTGTTTCCCATTCTTTTCACTTTCATTTTACTCATCTCCGGTTTATGACTTTTTCTTCCGATGACAGAATTATTCTCAGATTTTCTATCGAGATTTCGTTATTTTTCTCTTGAAAAAAAATGGAAAATCATTGATTCTATGGGCCATCAATGACTATGATCAATGTCATTTATCTCTACTAAAAAAATATACATTTGTTTAGATTAAAAAAAAATTTTTTCAAACAAAACATATGAAAAAAAAACATCAATTTATTTCGGCAACAAACAATACTTGTGACCATTTTTTTATTTAATGCATTACAAAAATAATAATCAGAATCTATGATTCGAATGAAAACATTATTACAGTGAAACGATAAAATTTTTCATTTCCATATCCTTACTGTTCTGGTTGCTTACGATCATTTACAAATCGATGATGTTATCATTACTATTTTTATATTATATAAAAATAACATTACCGTATACGAACAACGTGGTATCTAACAATCTTCATCATCATCATCATCATCAATTCAAATTTGCCAATATATAAAGAGTCAAAAGTTGAACAAGCAAAACAGACAAAAAAAAACAACACAATCTAGATAGAATCAGCATAACACACACACACACACACTGTACAGACCTATACTCTTTTTTCCATCTATTAGTTGTGGTTTTGTTTTTGTGCACCGCAAATTTTTCATTCATTTATTCATTCATATTACATAATATATAATGATATGCATTGCATAAAAATAATTTCTGTATGCTTTTGTTCTTCTTTACGAAAAAAAATTCCATTTTTTTTCTTCTTATTATTCGTCAATGTTTTAACTATCATTTATTCCTATATATATCAATATTATTATTATTAGTGAAATGATAGAGAAAAGTAATACTTGACGCTTCTTTATATAAAAAGTATATATGCCTCTGGCATCACACACACATATTCAAATCATATGGTAATTATGAACCATCATCATCATCGTACAAATATATTTTCCATTAATTCAAATTCAAACAAAACTCAATTTCTAATATACAACATTCTATAGTTATATTCGTATGAAAACATATAAAAAAAAATACACAAATGAAACGAAAAAAAAAACAAAAATAATAAATAAAAGAAAATGTAATTCTTTTTTTCTTTCATTTTAATATATTCGGCTGTTTCAGGCTGTTACACAAATATGATGATGATGATGTTATCATTCTCGTGTAAATGGTTATTTTTTTTGTTACCTCAGAATATTTCTCAGAATTGATAACCCCTTACGGTTTCAGGTTCTGTTTCAAAGTTTATTGTTGATCAGATGCTAGTATTATTTTTTTTTACAGAAAAAAGTTTTTAAAAGATTTTTCAACTAGTTAGAATTCTTTTTCCGTTTTTTTTTTGTGTAGAAAAAAAGTAATGATTTCTACTTTGAAAACCTTTTCTGTCGAAAAATGCAATGGATTTCTGATTATTGTTTGTTATGTATGCACACACACACACACACATAAACACATCATACTGGGAATTTTCATTTTGCGGAAAAACAAAACGAAAAAAAATATCAGAATCTTTCACTTTTTTTTTCTTGTTTTTGTTTTTTACATTTAACTTGGCTGATTTATTTGTTGTTTATTAGTGTGTGTGCGTGTGAGAGAGAATTCAAATGAAATTTTAAACAATCATTTATCTTTGAATACTGGTTGTGAATTTACTATGCATAATAATTTATCTGTTTACCATTAAAATGTTGTCGTCGTAGTCGTCGTCGTCGTCGTCATCGGTTTTTGTTGTTTGTGCATTGCATTTGACTTAAAATTTATTATACATTTTCATTCAATCTATAATAAATCGATTGATCAAGGTCTATCACAGAAGTTTACACACACACACATTGAGTACTATTTATTACACAGAATCAATTTAACTCAGACCGAATCAAAAAAATTAGAAAAAAAATCGAAATTAAAGGTTCAGTGAATTTTGTAAAAGCAAACATTTTATGCTTGATTTAGCCATACATGAATGAGTAAACAACTTGAAAAAAATAATTTTTTTTCTACTCTACATACAAAAGAAAGAGATAAAAAAGGGGAAAAAAAGTCAAGTATACCACTTACCAAAAGGTAATTGGATGGATGCCGTAATTTTCGTACAAGAATGACCGATAAACAAACTAAAATATTGCCAATAACAGTACAAACGATCATCAAGCTCAATAGAACGATTAGTGTTATTTTTAGATCTAAAAATTAAATTGAAACAATTTTTTTTTTAATTTTTGATTAAAAACAACAATCAACTTACTGGGATTAAGATAACTATCATCATTATTGTGACCATTATCACTCAAATCATTATCAGATGGAATTAAAGGATTGATCGTATTATTATTGTTATAATTATTGCCACTAATAGTGCTCACATCGATTATTTGTGCAAATGAAGGCGATGTTTTCATTGATGTTGGCAAAAATAATTGTGATTCAATCAGTAAATTCGCAGTTATATTATTGATTACTGTTGTTAGATTTGGCATTGAAAAATAAGGTTCACTTGATGGTATAAATGTTGATGTTGATGTTGTTGTTGATGGTGATGATGAAAACAAATTTTGACATAATTCCAGATGTTTATCAACTGAGAATGATTCATTTTTTGATTGGGAATCGGTATTTTATCATTAGAAGAAACGGAAAAAGATGATGTAGATGCAGTGGATGAAGTAACAATGGTCATCAATTTATTACAAAGTAGATTCAATTGATCAACATTTGAATATTTTTGAGCTAAATCATTATCAAGATCATTATTATTGATTGCATTACTAGCAGCCATTGTCGAATCAAATCGAATATTATCATTATTAGATTTGAATTTGATTGGTTGATATTTATAATCATCATTTAGATCGATATTTAACGAAGATGATGGTGATGATGAAAATGATGATATTGAATAATCTTCCATGGAATTAGAAGAATGAATTATCATTATATTCGTGACGATACTTTTGGTTTTTCTATTGTGTTTTGTTTTGTTGTGTATGTGTATATGAATTTCGGTATAAAATCAATCAGCTCAATTGTTTAGGTTGCAGAATCGAAAAATTTCCCTTTTGTAATCCATCCGGATATTATTGAATTTGAATTTTGGCACAAAAAATTTTCCATTATTATTCATCTCAATGATTATATCAGCGTACTTTTTGTTTCTGGTCGATATTTTTATTTATTTACGATATATACTTTGATGAATGGATGTATGATACATATATTTTTCCCTTGAGAAATCATATTTCATTCAATTCGTTTCAGCTATTCTGTTTTTTTTCATTCGTTTTATAATAGTTTATACAATGAAATATTCTCCAGAGAAATTGGCCATTTGATCTTCATAATGGGATATATTCACGTTATGGTTTACAGATCTAAAAACGAAAAAAAAACAAGAAAAATTGTGAGAATTATGCATAAAATGGTGATGATGAAAAAAAAAGATTTAATATTTTTATTTATGAAAATTTACGGGAATCAGATTTCAATGGATTGATAAAGCAAAGTGTTTTGTACATGAACGAATATTTCATTTCATCAAATAATAGGTAGACTTCATGAATTATGGTTTTAGTTCCTGGATTTCAATAAAATGCATATGGGCATAATGCATTACTTTATTCAATTCAATTTATGGTGATGGAATAAAAATGAAAAATTAGCAAAAACAAATTGTGACAAATGGTAAATTTTTCCACCCTAAAGCTATGATGAAGACTTTTGATCAACGTGAAACAAGTCTTGTGTTCAATGAATCATCATCATCATCATCATAGTCATCGATAGTGGCGACAACAACATTATAAACAGTAAAGACGTGAATGGAATACTATTTTTTTTTTGAATTTTCTGGGCTTTATGTGCATATAGCCGCAATGTATTTAATGTATTATTTACATTTGAAATCTAATGAATTATAATCATTAAAATCAACAATAGCAAAATAGTCAATACATGGAAAAATTCTACATTTGAAAAATCATCAGACTTAATATATCTGATTTAAATGCGGCCGACCAATTAACAAATCGTACTAATCATAGAGAATTCAAAAAGTCGAATTTAATTTCAATTTAAATCATAAAAGATTTGATTGCAAAAAAAAACAAATTTCATCCATTTTGAATAGATAATAATGATTTGTTGATTCTGTTGGTTTTATAAAAAAAAGATAAAATAAATTTAGCCACAATTCTAATCCATAACTGTAAAAGTCATGATGATATAATTATAGTGCAAACACACACACACACACACACAAAAAAAACGCACATTCATTATTATTGCTCATATATTAATAGAATCAATGGGAAAATCTCGTTTTTTTGTTGTTGAAACGATATTACGAAATTGTTCATTTGACTATATATATTTGACTAAGTACATTAAATGTATGTGTGTATTTATTTGTGTTTGTGTTTTATGGGTGACATGTAAATATTTAGTCTAAGGACTCAGAAAAAAATATATATTCCATTTAGTTTTACGCCATATATATATATAGAAATATATCGGTTTATGTATATTGCAAACAGAACCAACAAGAATAATAAAAGACAAAATAAAAACATGGAAAAAATATGAGTTAAAAATAGAAGAAAAAAAATAGATAAAATGTGAAAATCGAAGCTTAGAAACTTTGACAAAAAAAAAATTAATTTGATTGACATGTCAATAAACTGATCAAAATCTATGTATTGTTTATGTGTGTGTGTGTATAACACAAATTTTTTAACATGGAAACTTGAACTGGAAACAGAAAAATAATATAATTACAATGATGATAGAATTGAAGAGTGTTTATTGGCTGTTCTCTTCATCATAAGAATCAGCGTATTCAATCAACAAACGACAACAAAACAATGACAAACACAAGAGAACAGATGTGAATATATAGAATTTGTCAATTTAAAAAAAGAATAAATTTAATAACCAAAAAAAAAATTATTCATCAGAATTCTGTAATTTCATTCATTCATTCATTGTTGATTTACAACCAGGAAAAATAATTGACTTTTTTTCAATTTGAATCTGATTGATTGAATGAGTGAATGATTTGTTCAGCTTGCTTTAGTTTTTTTTTTTGTTCATCATCATCATCACCATCAACAATTGATCATTTGTTTGTAGATGAAAATGATGAATTTTATTGATGAAAATTGTCATTATTATCGATGGCCTTTAGAGCATCGATTGGCATCAAAGTCTAATCTATTTTGAAGATTTTTTTTTATTCTTTTGATTATTTGCATTCCAGAATCGGCTGAAAAGTCACCTGAAGAATCATCAGAAAACAAAATTCTTATATTAATTTAATTTGAATTGAATTTCGATGTGTGTGTGTTTGTGTTTGTAATTTAAATAATTAAATTCAAATTTATTAAAAAAAACTTGAACATGGATTGATTTGCTTTGCATTACAACTATATGTTTTGTACATTCATTTGTCAATATTCATGGTGGTTGGAATGAATGGATTAAATTAAATTAAATTAAATTTTATTATTTCATTCTACACCATTTTCATACACAGACACGTAAAAATGAAAATATTTGAATCAAATTGTATTAGATCAAACGAAATTGAAATAGAATTTTGTTCATCATCTCATTGTTTACCATTACTTTTTGTTTATCAGAATCATTAGAATTACATATGGAATCTGTCACGAAATTTGTCGATTCTTTAATAATAATAAAAAAAACGAAATTATAAAATAAAAATATTTTTGTTCACTACTAATAATGCTAAAAATGATAAGAAAATAAACTTTACAGTATATAATATATAAAGTTTCATACTTGGCTAAGGTGAAACATGTACTTGTTTCACTAATTTAATTTACGTTTTCGTTGTTGTTTGATTTGAGGCTGCTTACTTGCGTGTATGTATGTGTGTGTGTGTGTGTGTGTTGTGTTTACTTTGATTTTTTTTCCCATTACACAGAAATCACAAGGATCACATAGATTAAATTCAAATCACGAAACATATCATCATCTTTAATAGAAAAAAAAATTTGAAGAATAAAATTGAAAGGAAATTTTTTTTTTCTTCATCGTATATTTCTAAAATTTTTTTCAAAAATAAAAAATTTTGATGCATTTGTAGGCGGTGGATGTAAATGTACAGCATTGGCATCTGTTAATTGATTCTTTTTTGTCGTAAAAAATAAATTCTACATGTTCTAATCATAATGATAAACATAATCAATATGCGTGATGATGGATAAATGAAAAGATTAAATAAAAAGGTCAACAAGTCAGTCAGTGGTTAACGTGTTAATATTTGGAATCAAGATGATTCGAGAATGGAATAAAATTTTCTAAACTTTTGGTTTAGCTTTAGCTAATATATTATAGTATTCAATTTTTTTTTCTTCTTCTGTTTATTTGGTCTTGCTTTTCATCAATAATTTTTTTCCACTCCATTGTTGATTCAGCGTTGTTTTGTTTTTTTTGCTGTTCTTCATTGTCATCATATTTGGTCGCCATTGTCTTTCTGTTGTGTGTTCATTGTGTATGCTTATGTCACATCTAATAATGTTATATATATTATTATTATTATTATAAACGTGATCGGAAAATTAACTTGGATTCGATTCCAAATATATAACATACACACACACACACATCAATAACCTTATGAGAGATGCAATGAGATGAAATGAAAAGCAAACATACACACACACACACACAATGAGTTGATGATGAAATGTGTGATAAAGAGGACATTATAGATATCTAGAATGAAAATAGTATGGTAGAATAACAATAATAACGATGATGATGACTAGAAAAAAAGCAATGTGGAACAAAAAATGTACAATACACATGCAAATCTAGTTTCGGAAACAAAACAAAACAAAAAAAAACCAAACAACAAACAACAAAAAAAAAAAAAATGAAAATGACAACCAGAAAAATCGAATGGAATAACAAATAATAACTGGATAGAAAAAAAGAGCTTGATCTTGATATCCTCTCATAGTCTAACAACAACAACAACAACAACAAAAACGGAGAAAAAAAATGGAAAAGATGATTTAATGATGAACTTGCATTTCTTTCTTTTTTTTCTCCATACATTTTCATAACGATTCTGTTGATGATGATTCCATGTTGTTTTTTATGATGATGATGATGATCGTGATCGATAATAGAAACACCTAACATATATCTTTATGAGATGAAATATGATGATGATGATGATGATGATAATGGTTCGGCAATCACCGATCGTATTATTTATTTTCTTTTTTTTTTTTTCTGATCAATTTTTTCCCTTTTTTTTTTTTATAGCCAGACATTTTGATTACTGTTTGGTATGTGTGTGTGTGTGTGTGTGCATGTGACTTTGAAGATCTTGATAAATGATAATAATAAAGTCATGTACATTATCATAAATAGCGATAATGATAATAATGAAATGTGATTTAATGCAAAATAACCATTGTAATTTATGTAAATAGAATTATCTCTGTTCGATATTCAATCAGATTGGTCAAAAACGATGATCATGAAGACCTAGAAAAAAAATTAATACATGAATAAAACGAACAAATTATTTGAACTCCAAATTCGGATGGCCATTTTTTCAACGACAACAACAAAAACAACAAAAAATGTGTTTTCTTAACCTATATATAAATCGATTGAAAATGAAATTTTTTTTTTGTTTTGTTTGTAAGAATCCAAATTCAAATAATTTTGAATTTGAATCAAACGAGAAAAAAAAAAATACAAGCAAATCGATTGTGTGTCTATTCACTATCCAATTTCAGATAACAAATGTTTATCAATGTTTGTATTTGATGTAGAAAAATAAAATAAAATTAGTGACAATTTTTTTTTGTTGTTACAAAATTCTTTTTCTTACCACAATGATGAATTTGTTTTTGCACAAGAAACAAAAAAAAAAGAAAAAAATCTATAAATGATTCTAATGTTTTTTTTTCTTTTAAAATAAAATGGAATTTCATTTTAGAATCTATAAAAAAAAATCGATTAGCATGTCTCTTGTATTCACTGATAAAATGGATCAATTTTTTTTTGGTTTATTCTTCAGGATCATATAGATACAATATAATCGACATTGTATATCTGTCAAACAAATTAAGTTTACCACATAGATAAAAATGGACAGATGAAAGGGGATTGAAGGGGGCAAAAAAATATTCGATTTTATTTTATCTTAAATCAATGTCAAGTATTATCAGAAAATTGTATTTATTTTTTTTTCAGTAGCGCTTGAAGGCTTGGTATGTAAGATTGTTATTGAAGTGATAAGAAAAAAAAGCAAAACAAAAATTTGGATGAAAAACGGATTTAAAATCTCTATTTTCAAGTGTGAAATGCGATTTTTGTGTACATTGCATCAATCAATCTGACAAAATATAATTTTTTTTTCTTTTTTTCTGGATGATAATCATCAATTAATAATAAAAAAAAAAAGATAAATAATCAATAATCAATCTACTTTAATTAATAATTTGGAAAAAAATAATTCCATTGAAATGATTGAGTCGTAGAAAATGATGATAATGAAAAATACTCAATATCGGACAAATAGTATAATTGATAATTGATAAACTTGGAATAGATGCAATAACACTTGGTTTAAAAT